CCTTTGGCATCTGTAACAAATTGTAGGTTGTGACATATTGCATGTTTATGCCTTGTTTAAATTATTTACAAAATGTTATGAAAATATCAAAATAATATGTTAAAACCTCATTTAAATAAAAAACATCAAGAACATTCATTTTGGGATGATAACGTCAACTGTTTTAATTTATTACAGGTCGTATAGACCTCCACTGCTCGATTTATTGCAAAAAGATTGACTTTTGTGCATGTTGGTGATGTTGCGCCATTCTTACACCTAAAACCGAACTGATTTTATCATTTTACCATACTATATGCTTTTTGAAGAAATAAATATGACTTGAATTTTCTAGCAGAAATCGGCTCCCCGTCAGATTACTGGCAGTGACATTAAAGATACAATTTTATTTTCTGGGGTGTCTCAAAAATGTATATCAACAGCAAAGATAAATCAATCAATATTTTCAGATATGTTTTGCATGGTCATTTAGGAAAAGCATGTAAGTTTTCTCTCCAATACTAAATATTTAATTCACTCTTGCCTTTTTGATGCATTTTGGCTCACACAGTGAGCCTATGGGATCGACCAGGCGTCCGTCCGTCTGTTGGTACGTTAGTCCGTCCGTCCGTTGGTCCGTCCGTCCGTCAACATTGGCCGCACAAATTAAAACTGCTATTCGGATTGAGTCATAAACACATTCATTTTATGCATATCCATAATGCCTATTTGACCTATCATCGCCATTTCCCAAGTTCGCCCGGTTTCCGAAAAATTGCTGATTTTGACGTCAAAAAGTCAAATTTTCTGTAAATACTAGACACTTGGTTGAAGAACTTTCAAATAACTTGTAGTAGTTGCTTTATATGCAACTTATGTCCTCTGAAGATTTCAAAGCTCTTGGAATTACAGTTTTTGGTGTTTACTTTATAAAATTTGACAAAAAGTAGGACTTGGTCATTTTCAGGAAACTTTCTCATGTATAAAGTCAATGGCAGGTTTTGTGATTGACAAGTATCTCAAAGTTTGCCTTATACTTGATCATTTCTTGCAATGAATTACATTATTACTAGATTTAAGCATTCCCTACATATTGCTCAATATATGTCAGCATAAAATTTTTACCGTTTGTGAGATATTTGACGTCAAAAAACAGTAAAAATAAGTTATTTTTTCAACTTGCTTCAATTTGACCAAATTTTTTTTTGAAAATCATCTACAAGTTGCCAGGAGTTCAAATCTGACATTAATTTTAGGATTTGACCTTTAATTGACTTTCAGTGACCTTCGAAAGGTCAAAAAAGTTGATTTTTCAAATTGATTTTTAGATGTAAATTTTGGTCAGTTTAATCACAAAAGACCTTACTGAGCTCTGACTAAGTAAAATTTTCAAGGTCAAAGATCATCAAACTAGGTCACACAACTGTGCTATCTAAGTTTCTCAAAGTTTGAGACTACAAATCCAAATCAATATTTTGGTTTGAAAGTCAGGATATACATTCCTCTGAAGGTTCCAAACTGTGTGAGCACAGGACCGTGGGTCCTTTCATTAAACCCTTTATACCTCCTTACATTTCGATGAAAGCCTGCATCCTTACTGCTACATTGTCTATCATATATGATAATGTTTCTGTTGGAATGTTTTGAATTTCCTTTCACATGTTGACCTCAAGTTGTTCTATGTTGTTCTCTTGGCTTGGGATAAGCATAAATATTTTTCTTAAAGACAACCCAGAGAAAAAGTTTGGGGCATCAAATCTGTTGAATAGATAGGCTCTCACAATGTCTTTACACAGAGAGAAGAAACTGCTATCATGGGAATTTTTGTGTGGTCCTTGCTGAACATTTGGGGGGGGGGGGCTCAAACTGTCTGGAACCAGAGTGTTCTCATTTGGATATCATTCTGTTTCCGTAACTCTGGCAGATCCATTATCATTTAACCGTTAAATCATTTGACTATAATTGACCTGGTTCTCTGTGCTATTCTGCCATCTTCAACCTTGGAACTTCTTTCTCTGGGGCTATTTGAAGGAGCATTTTAAGCTAATCCCAAGTCAAAAGACCTAGAACAACATGAGGCCAACACCCAAAGAGAAATTCAAAACATTCCACCTGAAACATCAAATGTGATGAACAATGTAGCACAAGGATACAGGCTGTCATTGAAATATCATCGTCTCTTTCCACTGGGTCTAGGTAGGAACAATCGAAACCTTGTGAATCAAGATGTGAAATATGAAGTTAAAAGATCATCAAAAAGGCAAGATTGAACTAAAGACTTTGTATTGGAGAGGAAACGTACATGCTTCAGCAACATGACCATGCAAAAAATATCTGAAAATATTGTTTTGTTTTTCTGTGCCGTTAATATACTTTTGGGTACTGGATGAAAGAATTGACTGGAGATCAAAACAGAACTCTGTTATCTTTGTTCAAAAAATGTCTAAAAATGTCACATTTTTGTCACTTCCTGTTTTGTCATTTCCTGTTAAGTACCACTGTACCTTAAGAGCTCTTCAAAGTATGGTTATATAGTCTTTATGATTTGTGCCTTTGTAACTCTGAAATGGTCAACCAAATGCTTACATTGATGGAAATTCTGATATATCTCTAATCTATGTCTTTTAAGGTACAGCTGGAAAGTAACATTTTGGTAAAAGAATTCTGTACCTGCACATGTTATTTTCTGGTACAAAATAAAGTATGAAGGCATGTTTCAATTTCCTTGCTTTTTTCAGGAAAGTATCATTACATTGTCTTCTTTTAGAATAACTGGTAGGAGTTCAATGGGAACTCCAGGAAATTCCGATATTTCACACTTTCTATTTTTCCAAATTTTCTTTCAAAGTTTTCAGACAACACAGGAACTACCATAAAAATAGACAGAGTAATGATCCTTTCCTGAAAAAAGCAAGGAAATACACACATGACTTCATACTTAATTTTGTACCAGAAAATAACATGTGTAGGTATAGCAATTTTTTACCAAAATGTTACTTCCCAGCTGAACCTTAATACATGTACTGTAAAACATGTATTATTTCTGTGCATTTAATTTTCGCGATATTCGCGAGGGGCATTCCACTCGCGAAAATATTGTGTAAGTGAAAATTAAGTGAATTACAGTTGAAAGAAGTTAACCTAAGATTGCCGATTTACCTGAAGTGATCGTATAGATAAAGTTGGAGGTCAATTGTATCAAGGTGTAATGTAATTATACTCATAGTAGTTCTTATGTGAAGCAAAGCAGAGTATATAGCGAGTCTCTCAATTCACAGAAATTCAGTCAGTCTGCCTCTTTTGTTTATTATATCAGAGTCCAGACGATGGGCATTCGTTCAATCTCCCGATAAGTAATTATAATGTGGTGGTCTCCAAACCATACTAAAGTTACGTTTACTAAAAATAGTCCATTGAATGAAAGAAATGTTTTAGTTAAGAATTGTTTCGGCATTTACCAAAGAGGGCTTCTGCGCAGGTGTTCTGCACATGTCAAGGCAGGTCAAGGTTGTGAACTTTCTTGTTTCTTTTCAAAAGTTTTCCTTATTCTCACGACTCTTACACTATGTTTAGGCGAAAATGATGATCTATCATTAGATTAAAAACACAAGGTATAATTTTAAATCTATATCCGATAGTCTTTAGTGGAAATAATGAAGATCAAATCGGGGGCTCTCTCTGGGAAAAAATCCTTCAATTCGGTGGGGGGTTCTGGGAATTTTTGCATATCGCGAATATAATGTCTAGCAAATTGACCCGGGGGTGGCACTCTCGCGAATAATGCATGTAGCAGATATTAAGTGTTTTACAGTATCTGCCAATTTAATCAAGGGTAGAGTATATGATACTTTCTGACATATACAAGATTTTTGAATGTAGTGTTCATTGAGATTTGCTACTCCATGAAGTTGAAATTTTTAAATTACCATGTCTCTCAAGATTTTATAAAACTGGTTTGATTTGGAGCCTGAGTGTTAACTATCTACACTCATTTACAACCTTTCCACTTCTATTCACACCCAGTGTATTTAAAATTGCTCATGAAATTAACGTTTTGGATTCTAAGTGTGGGTTTGTTTATTCATCCCTACACAAAGATAAGGCCTGGTACGATATGGGAAGTTATTCCCACTTTTTTCAATTTTTGACTTGGGGTTTGCACATATCCTTCAAACTCCCGTTGTCTACGAACTAGCGAAGATATAATAAAAGTAAACTTCAGACAATCTACAATGATAAATTGATCCGGGTAAATAAAAAATCTCAAAAGCTAAAGAAATTCACTTTGTATGGTTATCAAAAGCTGAAGGAAAAAATGTCACATGGATCTTGAGTTAATGCAATTCAAAGTATGGTTCAACAAACAAATCTTTAAAAGACTGTCATATATTATTTGTATGATACCCCTTCAACACCTCATAACTTTTTCTATAATTCAATTCAATTTATTTTATAATTTCTTATATAGCATACATGATAAAGTCAAGCCGCTAGATACCCAAAGGTAATAATGTTACGGTGATAGAAATTAGATACAGAAAACATACATTATATTATTCAGTGTGAATTCTTAAATGATACAACTTTTTAGGGATATAGAGAAGCCACACATTCATTTGTCCAGATGATTAGTTGACTAAAACATTTATAGGCTCATTTGTCTTGTGGGTGTAGGACTACGAGCATTCTATTGATTTGCTTGAAATTGTACAGCCAGATGTTCAATTATTAGTTTATTTTTATTGGTTTATTTTTATTAGTTTATTTACAGTGATCATGATTAACAGATTCATTTATTTCCCCAAGCACACATCTCTATTCCAACACATGATTTGTTCGTCTTAATAAATTGAATATACATAACATAAATTAAAATAAAATAGAATAAATTAATTAATAAAATAAAATAAAAATAAAATGAAAATCCAACAACAATGCCAAAATATCAAAGAAAAATGTTATTACATCAACTTGAATCTGTTCTATTTCCATGTCTTTATGATTCTGATTGTGGTTTTCAGTACCAGCAGCAAGTGACTGTGTTCGTGATAGGATTCCAGAATGTTGCTGGAACCAAACTCAAGCTGCTGCAGCAGGTCAATGATGTGAGTACAAAATGTGTCTGCAAAATAACATTTTAATTTGTCACCAGATTTACAGATCAAGTACAGATTATAATGTTCATCAAAATAAGTGAGACATTTTTATTTTGCCTTGTCCTATTTTTTTTACTCAAGCAATGGTTGAACTTGTTTAAAATTGTTTCCTTCTTTTTATGATCGATATTCAGTATATCCCTTTTCTATTGAAAATGAGATGGAAGTTTTAGTCAATAAAGCTCAACAAAAGTGAAACTGTATTATATCTTGAACAGAAATACTCAGATCTATAAATACATATAATCATCTGTTTATTTGTTCCATTTTATTGACTTTTGTTTGACATCACATGAGAAGAAAAATCATCATTCAGTTTTCCTAATTAAATAAAGTTTGACAAAAATAGTCACTGAATAGAAGTTGAAACATTTAATTACTATCCCAATGAACAAAGTTCTAGAGGGATATGGGAAAGCCTTTCATCCGTCGAGTCATCTGTCCATTTGTTAGTCTGTCCAGAACTCAAATACCGATAGACTAATTAAGTTCAAATTTTACAGGAAGATACACCTTGAGGATAGGACCACTGCTTGAAGAGGAATTTCTAATATGGGTGCTCAATTGTTGTTTTTCTAGTTATGTCTCCTTTTAACCTCTTTATACATCTGTACATACACACATACATCACTTTAGATGAATATAGATGGATTGAATCTAACTTTCAAGAATTGAGAAAAGGTGCAGGTGCTGTATAACAGTGAAGCCCAGTCTTGAAGGATGGAAAAGGTGTAACATGAGACCTTTCATAGTAGCTGAAGATGCAAATGCACAATACACATTTTTATAAATTCTGTAACACTATTAAGGTAAAATCCACTTTTAAAAATCAATAAACTTCGCTCCCAATCAAGTGATTATCACAATGAATAATACTTTATTATGTTGCAGGACTTTTTGGATCGAAAACTTGAAATTAGCGGGATTCGCGGGAAACATGCAAAACCCTAATTTTGATCAATCCCACAAGTTGTGGGACACTTGACAGCGAGTCCTAACAAACAATTGTAATATCAAAAGCATAATTCAGCCCCCTGGCCAACTTTAGCCAAGGGGGGTTCACTTTTCAAAAGAAATCTAAGGGGGGTCACATTTGACAACTTTGGATCAAATTACCTTAAAATTGAAATCATTTTTGGTCAGGGATTTGTTTGAAGTCCCTGGACTTCCTGGCTATGGGCCTAGCATTATGCAATCTTTTTTGAATCTGTTTTGAAGGAAACATACTTGAAAAAGTAATAAATGTATTGAAGAAAAGTACCTGCAGACTGGGCAAGGTACAGTGATACAATACCAGAGAGCAATCCTTCCATACCTACTTGAGAAAATAAATATGGCAAACCTGGTAGCATTATAACTTGCACTAGAGAGCTTATAACAAGGATCTTAGTGTCTTTCTGTTTCACCAACATACCCAGTGAGAATGTGTTCAATCCATATATAATTGGGCTGAATGTCCATATTTTGAAAGGGTACTCCAAAAGATAGAACTGCTCGGCTGGAATATGCAAAAGTCCAGAGAAAAACATCTTTGTTAATGGTGTGACCCACGCCACTAAGGTGGTTGTAATAAGAGATACTGTCACAATAGCTATTATGAAATTGACCAGTCTGTGGAACTTTGCTTCCATATTGAGGTTGAAGTCATGCTCGGATGAATTAAGGTCTATGTTTGACAAGTATACAGTTATTAGTGTCGGAATTGCAAAGAGCCATTTGGTCAACATATATCCTCCTGTGTGTATAACATTGAAATATCCAAGAATAGTACCATGATCATATGAAGTTTTAGCTATGTTTGCAAGTATTATGTTTAATATGAATGGGTCTGTTCGATCTATTAGCTCCTTTAGTCCCATAGGCAAAGACATCTTTAGAACTGACACAAACTCTAATGGAGTCCTTTCTGATGGTGTTAAAGTATCCAATTTTGAAAGAATCTGTTGTTTCCTGTATACAATGGTCAGAAAGATCACCGAGGTAACAAGAGAAACACAGGTTGACAACACTGGAATCAAGATTGAATGAGACGTTGCTAATGTTGTTTGCAACAAAGCAAATGTAACTGTCATTTTCATGAACAGTCTAACAAATTCAGACGCGATGCAGTACTTTCCATAATCGAGTCTCAGTAGTAGCCCTTCTAGAGCAGTTTCGAAATTTGCTGCAATGGGGCATAAACAGAGTCCAGTTAATCCTAGTTTTACGATATTGTGTTCATTGTCAGTTAACCCAAATAACAACTTGATGATATTCCCCATTGGAGTCTGACCAAGTGATACCATGACAACTGCAGTGATACAACCAACAAACAGAATAAATTTAGATCCCTTCCAGAAATCTTTCCTCGATTGTACAAAAACAATGAAAATCTGACTCGATTGTGATGGCGACAGATATGCTTTGGTTAATCCATGTACTGTCCATAGTATAGCGAGCCCAGCGAGTGCCTCTCTGAGGTTTGCCGCATATGTTTGGCTTATAATTTCCAACTGCCGGTTAATGGCTGGTTCAAATATCGCAAGACATATGGGTAAATACATCCGACATATTTTAATATATTCCATTTTCATCAACCCCTGGTTTAAGGTGATCATCCAGTTATTCCTGTTTATTTGCAATTTCAAGTGAATGTAATTTAAACTGTGAAGGGGGTGATTTATCCCAACTTGACCTGGTCATGACTGGTACATGGTATTTATCATACAAATAGCTGTACTTTGTTTGTGAAAAAAGCAGGTATAAGGGCCTGATAAACAGCATAATACATGGACATAATGAAAATCATTTTGTTGTGAAGTGAAGCGAATTAAGTGTCCACAGGGGTGTAACATAAACTGTGCTCTCCTCCCATCTCCATGTGTGTCCAGTAATGCCTTGGTCACATTTGCTCCGATTTTCACTATGGCGCCGATTGAGTATTTTGTTCAAAATTGTATACAATATTGAACAAAACACTCAATCGGCTGGGCGCCGGCCGATTGATCGGCGGATTCGGCGCAAACGTGACCCAGGCATTTCTTAGATGGGATAAGTAGTTTCAGTTTCACGATGGGCTAAGCTGTTAATTAAATATTGGGTTGGATAGCATGTCAGGTATAGTAGAAAGTTCCCTTAAACTTTAATATTCATCAGTTAAGTGCTTCAATTTTCACATTACTCTTATGTATCTGATACTTGTATTAAAATATGTCCAGGAAAAGAAAATAGTATCTGTCCAAAACGGGAAAACATATTTCACTTTTTGTGATTTGATAACATGGGGTCTTAGGCTCGTACCCAGCTTTTACCATGGGGGGAGAAGTTTTACAAAGGGAGGGAGCTTGCCAAGGAGGGAGCTTTTTTCAAGATGGAAGTTGAATTTCACAATCAATCCACCATTTTTCAGAAAAAAACACATAATCTTTGATAACTCAAATTCCAGTGGATGAATTTGGTTCAATTTTTATATACTAGCTGTTTGAGACAAAATTTTCATGATAGCCTCTAATTATCTAAATATGATTTCTTTGGTGGGATTTGCTACTCCATGGAGTTGCTGTTTTTATAATTTTTATTTATTCAAAAATATAAATCAAAACATGCAACTTGACAGAATCTGATACAACACAATGACATCATACTCAAAGCATCTAAAATGTTAAAAACATGTTTTTAACTTTGGCCACAATTTGTGGTGAAAAACAAAAACAGGTTATATCTCCACAAACGTTGAGTCAATTTTTGTTTCACATATTTTTCCAGAAAGTATGAGCATCCTCTAAACAAAAACTCATAAAATCCTACATGTGATTGTTACTATCTAGGCATGTTAAGGCAGCCAAGGGCTAATCCTTTTTTCAGTTTTTCATGGACAGTTCCCAGCAGATGGAAGAGGAAGATCTGGCAACACCTACCCCTGAGTTTAACCTTGATGAGGTTGCTGAGAACATGGCATCAACTATAGACACAGCCCAGGATCTCTCTAAGAAGCTAGGGGAGATCAATCATGAAATGGTGGAATACCTCACTAGTGTATCTGCCACCAAGGCTGGCAACAGGTAATCAAACATATTCAATTCATGTTAATACATCCATTTAATCCTACTGAATTCTGTGCCATCTATTGACAGTCAATCTTCAATTCATGTATTAACATGAATTGAATATTAACACTGTCAATAGATGACACAGATTTCAATGGGCTTAATTCAAAGTCACCTATTGAGAGTCCTCAACGACATACAGTTTATTGTACAAATTACATTTATACACAACAAGCTGCTAGATTAAGACACCCAAATGGCGTATGTTCTGGTGTAACAGTGATGAATGGTTTCCATATGAATTCTAAATTGGTCAATTCATATTCCAGATATTTTGTAACAAATAATATTATACAGTTATATGAAATTCGTCCAAGCATTTAAACATATACAGTAAAAACCTGTAAAGTGGAACATCTCTGTAAGTGGAACACCCCTCAAGTGGAACGCTTTTCAAAGTCCCGCAATGTATTGACTTATTGTTAAATAAAGCTCTCTAAGTGGAACACCTCTCAAGTGGAACACTTTTCAGAGGTGCCAAAGGTGTTCCATTTACACAGGTTTTACTGTAGTTCCTCATCCCAGGAGGAACTAAAATCATTATTGGAGTATTAATGTTGTATAAACAAACAAATATTGATGTATTTATTTTATTAATGCATTCACTAAGGGCCCAGCATCTTGTCACGTAAGTCCAGTGTCGTCATAGTAACACAAAAAACTTTTTTCAGGGAAACTTGGATTATGCCTTTAATGGGTTAAACAGAAAGTGGTCTAACACATTTTAGAAGTAGAACTTTTCCAATAGATGTTTCAAATGACTGAAAACCACCTGCTATCACAGACTATACTTTATATATCTGGAATCCATAATCCATAATGTTCTGATATATGAGACCAGCATTAACTTTTGATATATTTATTACAACACAAGTATTGTTTTCTTCCTGTCTTATCTCAAATGTATATCCTCTTGTTATCTTTTTTTCAAACAGGGAGAAAGCCTTGCATTGGTGAATATACAGTGTAAAATAAGATTGCATTTGATCAAGAAGAAGTTTTTTCTTTTACCAAATTGTCTAAATTTTCCAGTTTTCTATTGCCTTGGATGAATCCATCGCATACCTCCAACAATAATATGTACTTTCTACGCAAAAAATAGAAAGAATGATGTATCCTTAATGTAAGGCTAAAATGTCTATTCCTCTCGGTGGAGGCAAAAATGTAATATTTTCTTTGAGTTCTTAGATCTCTTTCTCTTGCATAATTCACAATTCTAATAATCTCTGAACAGAATAATAATTTTGGTAAAATTTCTTCTTGTCAAATGTATCTCATACGCAATGCAGTAATCATTAATATTAGCCTATATTGTTAATATTAGCCAATATTGTGTAATTAAGAAGATGGACTAATAATAGCTTACATGTATTGTCAGGCCCGTAGAAAGATATAACTGACTAAGTTTGCCAGAACCTTTGAGCTGTTTTCCCTAAAATATCATGAAACAATCATTCTGGTTTTCATTTCCCCTTTACCATGATGAATATCACAAGTTTATTCATGATATCTTGGAAATCGAGCTCCATAAACAACTTGTGTTGTAAGGTCAATATCTAGTTATACAGAACCATGTGATATCTAGTGAGCTCCCTACGAGAGTCCATAATAAAACTAATCAAAAATATTGTTTAGCTATATGTCCATCACAGGTCACATTTTCCATTGTAGTAGGTATTGTTAATTGTACACTTAAGCAGTATGATTTACATCATTAAGGCGTAACCCTCCAGAATCCCAACTTTTCTTGTTAAAGGGATTAGATAAGGGATTGTAGAGAGTATAAACTGTTAAAGGCATATATTTTTAATATTTTCAAAAACCACACCAATGTTTCCCCTTCCATCCTAATTTTATTTTCTGAAAAACTGATTGACATATCAGATCAAATCTAGAAAATGAAAGAATCCTGAATCAAAGTCAAATTGTTGGACATTTTCGAAAATAGGCATCACATTAAATGATGAGAGCCAAATATATCATAAAATTGTGACTATACTCAAAAACCAACTCAAAATTCGTCTCTATACTGTCTAGTCCTTTTAACATCCCAGACTGCATGTCCTAAATATGAGTAACAATTAATATTAGATACCCTCACCATTAGCAGGTCATTTAGCCAGATGAGAGAGCACAAGTGACAACATTAGAAAATAAGAACAAATCCCTATAAACTAGTAGCAAACTTGACCAAAACCCCAAATAGTTAAGGAATATTATCAGTTTGATTTGCAACCCCAATTCTGTATCTTTTTTCATCCACATACATCTTAACAGAGATTTTAATATTCCTTAATACTTTCAAAATTATACATATAAAAAACTCATCTGAAAAGGTTATTATTTAAAGAATAAAGAACACCAGAGAAAATACATCATTTTGTCATTTATATGAATTCGTACATTGTGTTATATATTGTATGGGAATATTGTATGTGTATGTTAAATTTTAGGGGTAAGAGAAAGTTAGAAAAGGCATTAGGGGCAGCTAAGGAGGACATACAGAAACTCACAGATAATTTGCTGGCTGCACAGCAAGGTAAAGAAATATTGATTTTCATTTTATATTTTTAGAAGGATTGATGAATCTCTCTTTTGCATATTTTATGATACCTAAAAGATCATATTTTAAGGTGTCAGAATGATATATTTCTGAATCTAGTATGTTTGATATTCTACAATGATGTAGACTGTATATGGACAATGTATTTGAAGTCTTCTTATCTGCATTTTTATATTTAAAACTTTGACATCTTAGTATATTTTGAACTTTTTACCTCTTATATTTAGGACTATCCCTCTTATACTTAGAACTTCCACTTTTGATATTTAGAACTTTCACCTCTTATACTTACAACTTTCATCTGTTATATTTAGAACTGTCACCTCATATACTTAAAACTTTCATCTCTTATATTTTGAACTTTCCCCTCTTAGAACTTTCACATCTTGGAACTTTTACCTCTTATATTTAGATTTTCCACCTCTTATACTTAGAACTTTTACCCCTTATATTTAGAACTTTCACCTCTTATATTTAGAACTTGAGGACAGAGAGGAAAAGATGCAGCAGCTATTCAAACAGATAGAAGGAAAGTCTATGGAGGTGAACAAGTTCAAGACTGCAGCAGAGGTGGCTAGGGTAGGTTAACATTTACCCTGATGCACAGAAACAAGTAGATATTACTACACTCTGATAAGGATAGGCAATTTGACAGTTTTGATGCTGACAAGATCCCAGACTCTAAAAGTAGCTGTAATAGCTGTTTATGGTAGTTTGAATACGAAATTGAATGCAGCTAATTCTGTGACTGCAACTCTGAATGATTGAGTAGCTCAGTTTTGATTGAAACAAACATAAATGCTATCATTTCAGACATAATTGTTATCATTTCAGACATAAATGTTATCATTTCGGACAAAAATGTTATCATTTCAGAAAGCAGCTGCTGAGGCTGATCTTCTTCAAGATGAGTTAGAGAAACGTGATAAACGTATCACAGAAATGCGTCGTAAGATAGCCGACCTTGAGCTGGAGGTTGGACAGGTGTCTTATTCTCGGGAACAAACTCAGGGGAGAATGAGCAAGGCAAATACCCATGGCAAGGTAAGCTATGAATTGATGCTTGTGCTAAACATTACATGCATCAAACCTCGCCATGTTAGATTTAATAACATACATAATACATAAGTAAATGGTAATAAGTAATAAAATGAAATAAAAAGTAAATAAAACTAAACAGTAAAACTAATAGTAATAGATAATGCTTGCTGGGACCAATGGGGAGATTGAAAGATGGTGCAGATAAAAAATATTCTTATTTGAGCATTCACTAAAATATTTATGTCATTTCAGGAAAAGATTGAGTCACTGCAGACTGCTCTTGATGACAAAATAAATGAATTGGCAATAAATAAAAAAGGTAAGATTGAATCTTAAGATTTATCATTTAACATTCAATTGAAATAAATCTAACAGCTTCTTATTTGCAGTTAAACCTTTACAGCTTTTTAGGAGGGAGACTACTTCAGGGCCATCATAACTTATACTATCCCCCAAGAAATATCACCCAAATTATGAATATTCAAATGAAGACATTTAAATCTACAAGATGTAAAAATATCACAATTGTCCGAAGCAGGGGTAATGGTGCAGTAGACAGTAGACCAATTCAATAAAATACAAGTCTCGATTTGGAGAAAGAAGTTCATCAGTGTATTGCACTAATAATTTTTTTATTAAAAATCTAGAATCATCACCCAAATTAGATTATGAGTATTCAAAATATTCTATATCATGTAAAAAATCAAAGTCCGAAGCAGGGGTAAGGCTCAGTTAGAGTGATGAACTTTGTCCTCCAAACCTAGAATAGCCCTTTAAAAGGGGATATTCCCATCTTTAATTACAATAAATTTGAATATCTCTGCATCTTAAATCTTCAACAGCTCTTTTAGACTTCTTTTAGTACACAAAATCTGTCATTTTAATTGAAATAACCTATAATACTTAATAATATTTTTTCAATTCTAGATTCTCTTAGGTCAAACCTACAGGTAGAATATATTAAATGCATGTTTATACATAAATTCATTGAACTGTTTTAAATTGAACACAATTATAATATCACGTGTTCCTTCACGATCACAGAACAAATATGTGAAAAACTACTAATTTTGATGATATTATAGAAGATGCAATGGTACATTCATATCAGCTTCATTCACCAAATCATTTTTTCAGTGAAACTACCAAATTCTGATATTAAATGTTTTTGATGGTGATATTGTAGATTTTTATGATGATATTATAGATCTTTCATTGTGATGTTATAGATTTTTGATTGTGATATTACATATATGTATGGTGACATTATAGATTTTGGTGTTGCTATTAACTATAGAAGAGTTAATAAAAAACATGCAAACATCACAACATAGACATAAGCTGAGAGCAGTCTGATAGTCTGAAACCAAATTTAATTATCACATTTAAATCCACGAAGAAGATGACAATTGAATTTGAATTTATCATTTTGTCATCAGACTTATTCAGATCTATTCAATGATTATTCAAATATTCCTTTAAATAATTCCTAACACCAATTTCAGTTGAGAAATCTGAAAAACATAAGAATTCTGCTGATGAAGAGACTGCTGCTAGCCAGGTTGTTTTAGAGCATTCTATGATATTAAGTATGTTTTACATGTGTGTAAATACATGATACACACATACATTTTGCATTATGCTTTGTAGGATCAGATCCCAGCTATGAATGTGTCTGTTTTTCATTTACCCTGCATGTTGGAGGGTCATCATGTTTGAGGGTTTTCATGTTTTAGGGTTATCATGTTTTAGGGTTATCATGTTGGAGGGTCATCATGTTATAGGGTTATCATATTTGAGTGTTATCATGTTTGAGGGTTATCATGTTATAGGGTTATCATATTTGAGTGTTATCATGTTTGAGGGTTATCATGTTATAGGGTTATCATATTTGAGTGTTATCATGTTTGAGGGTTATCATGTTATAGGGTTATCATGTTATAAGGTTATCACGTTCAAGGCTTATCATGTTTGAGGGTTTTCATGTTTTAGGGTTATCATGTTTGAGGGTTATCATGTTTGGGGGTTATCATGTTTAAGGGTTATCATGTTTGAGGGTAATCATGTTTTAGGGTTATCATGTTTGAGGGTTATCATCTATAAGGGTTATCATGTTTATGGGTTTTTATGTTTGAGGGTTATCATCTATAAGGGTTTTTATGTTTGAGGGTTATTATGTTTAAGGGTTATTGTGTTCATTAATAATTTCACTTATCAATAATATGATTTCCTCAATATTTCCAATATTGTTGAAAATTGAATACAGTCTTGGACAAAGCTTCCAAAACATCTAATCGCCAATTTGAGGAAGCGTTCACTAGGTTTAGGCTCTAAAACTTTTACTTTCAATACATTGACAACTTTATAGAAGTATATTGAGTGATGATCATGGTAAAATCATAATGTTCTGGGCAATTATTGAAGGTAACAAGCCTGGGCAATTATTGAAGGTAACAAGCTCTATCAAAACAAAGTGACTTATTTACTTGCATATGTGGATTTGCTTGCATGCATGATTGAAGTCATAATTAATTGAATATTTGATTGATGATCGATGAAACTGATCTCATACATGTTTTTTAAGTTTTATTTTTTAATGATTTAGAGATACAGAACTCAGAACTTAACGTTCTGATAAATGATATAGTTCATTTATGTAATGGTAAGATTTAAAAATGAAATAAAATATAATATATACCTCACCTCTAGTCAATACCTTAAATGTAATAAAGATAAGTCCATAGTACTGTAATTTCCATTGAATTCCATTAGGTTCTCACATTATGCAAAATATCCTCAAACCTCAAAGCATTCATATTACCCTTAAACGTCAGTATACCTCGCACCCTATTAAAATATGCTTTATAAATGTTAATGCCCTTATTAAATGTCCATATACCTGGAACCCTATTAAAATATGCTTAATAAATGTTAATGCCCTTATTAAATGTCTACATACCTCGTACCCTATTAAAATATGCTTTATAAATGTTAATGCCCTTATTAAATGTCCACATACCTCGTTCCCTATTAAAGTATGCTTTATAACTGTAAATGCCCTTATTAAATGTCCACATACCTCATACCCTATTAAAGTATGATTTATAAATGTTAATGCCCTTATTAAATGTCCATATACCTGGTACCCTATTAAAATATGCTTAATAAATGTTATTGGCCTTATTAAATGTCTATATACCTCGTACCCTATTAAAATATGCTTAATTAATGTTAATGCCCTTATTAAATGTCCACATACCTTGCACCCTATTAAAGTATGCTTTATAAGTGTAAATGTCCTTATTAAATGTCCACATACCTCGTACCCTATTAAAGTATGCTTTATAAGTGTAAATGCCCTTATTCAATGTCCACATACCTCGTACCCTATTAAAATATGCTTAATAAATGTTAATGCCCTTATTAAATGTCTATATACCTCATACCCTATTAAAGTATGCTTTATAAATGTTAATGCCCTTATTAAATGTCCACATACCTCATACCCTATTGAAATATGCTTTATGAATGTTAATGCCCTTATTAAATGTCCATGTACCTCGTACCCTATTAAAGTATGCTTTATAAATGTTAATGCTCTTAAGCTTGAGCTTCTGAATGCAACAAAACCAACCCCTAACTCATTGCTGATGTTGTTTTCTGAATATTGTATTTATATTAAATTTGGCAATTTAAATTTCAGCTTTATTTTACCCATGATGCATTTCATGTTCATACCTTTCCCACAATGCATTGCATGTATTTGACCTTGTGTCTTACTTTTCAAAAGTGTGACCTTCATATTACATAAGCTTATAAGATGTATTTGATTTTTATATTTTACCCACACTGCATGTTTTCACATTTACCCACAGGGCATGTATGTTACTTCTACATTTAATTTATCCACAATGCATTGCATGTATCTGACCTTGACCTTTCTTTCCAAGCCTCGGAGGAGCAATCTCGTGGCAGTGAAGCTATCCTTATGTTTAGTATGTAATTACTAAATACCGCCATATGCTTTGCCCTATATGTTGTAAATTATTTTATTCACCATTCAAAGGTTTGCATGACAACCCCCCACAGTGAGGGCCTGGAATTTGACACACAATATTGCCCAATGAGTTGGTTCGATTTTGTACTTTGTCCCAGGGGCTTTTAAATGCATATTCTCTGTAATTGGAATTTTCACCAGCTATTATTGTTCCCAGGGTTTAGAAATTGACCCTCTTAGGTAGCTCCAAGGGTAGGGAATTTGACAGCCGAATTTTTTATTTTGTCAAAATCCCCCTTCAAGCATGTAAACTTTTGAATGGAGCATTACATACACATATATTAGTAGCCGAGACAACACAAGTCCCAAGTGTGTATATTTACTCTCATTTCTTCATTTTTAAGAGTTAAGTCATCACATTTTGCATGCACATTCTTTGGAGAAATCTTAACATAGAATTTCGTTGGTTTTGATTATAATTTATTTGTTAAAAATAGGGAAACATTTTATTTTGATTGGTCTATAACCAAAATTTGCCATTTTGTAACAAATGCAACATTTTGACGAAATTAATAAAAGTCTCTACTTTTGGTGTAATAACTCCAAAATGACCAAATGTTTTTTTATTCAGCACAAATGTAGCTGTTTTGGGTAGTTGAGACATTTCCGAGAAAAAATGGTATGCAGAAACATTTTTTTTAAATAAAACGGGGCAAAAAACGACCCATGAAGATGCCTGCATCATTTGAGATTTTGGCATGTTTCAATGGCCTGAAAAATGGATGGGGTAGGGGAGTGGCATACCTTTTGAACTTATTCCAGTTACCATTTAAATCAAATGAATGATGACATATTTGGTATCAACCTAAAGCTTGTAATGTGTGCTTCAATTTGGTACCCATATTATAACATCAAATTATATATTATGACATCACAGTGGTACCAAAACGACCTTAAATGGAAAAAGAAGCACCAAATGCAGCAAAATAATGGTGCGACTCCAACATTCTTTTGACAATTCACTACTTGCCACAATCGATGAATGCATTTCTTATTGAGGTACACTTCCAATGCATGATCTGATGACTGGTAAAAAATAACTAGTGATAGTTATTGTCAATAAGATTAGAGACAGCATATTGTATCTGTCATTTATAACTTGGAGTTTTATTAATAAACGTCAAAATGTTGCATTCGTTGCACAAAATGGAAAATTTTGATTATAGACCAATCAAAATCAAATGTTTCCCTATATTCAACAAATAAACTATAATCAAAACCAATGAAATTCTATGTTAGGATTTCTCCAAGGAATGTGCATGCAAAATTTGGTGACTTAACTTTTAAAAATGAAGAAATGAGAGTAAATATACAGACTTGGGACTTGTGTTGTCTCGGCTACTATATTATTTTCCCTAATGAATGCACATTTAGAATTGTTTTATGTTATGAGTTATGATAAATGATTATTAATTTATTTAAGAATATTTTAAACACTTTATTTTATTATTACATTTATATGTTTTATAAATGTGCATCTAATGCATACATTTTATATTGCTAGAGATACATTTTATTTTCTCATTTTAAAGATATTTTGCTATGTCGTCAGGTTTTTCACACTTGATTGTTTTAATTGTCAAACACTGCACTGGTGCTCTATAGGTAGTTGATTTTAATGGTGTATTATTTTTAAAATAAACATTTTTTGAAAACAAATAATATAAATCTGTTTTGTTCAATATGTATCATATACTTGGAATATCCAAAAGAGAATAATAACTTCATATATATTATGAAAAATATTATATTTTAACCCGAACAAAGGTATTCATGATGTATTTAAATTATGTTTTAGAACTCCAAAATCTCCATGAACAACAGACAGAAGAACTTACAAAAGACCATGCTGAAACAATTGAAAAAATGAAACAGGACCATGCTGAAGAAATAAGAAAACTAATGGTACGTTCTTCATTCAACTATTTTTCCTTTTTACTATTGAAATATTTTTATTCATTCATTCATTTGTTTATTTATTTATTTGTTTTACACATATTTATAGATTTAGTTATAAAAGCACCCTATATTATTATATTTTCATTAATTAGTCAAATATATTATTTTAATTTCAGTAGTCCTTAAATATGTATATATTTAGTCATTACCTGTACATATAGTTCTGTTTAATTACACTTTATTTTAAGCATATGGATTGCACAGTTTTTCTATACATTTCTCTTGTTCTTGACAGTATCACATTTCACTGGATTTGGGCTTATTTCAAATCTTTCACATTTGTTCCAATTTTTTCATCACTTCCACACTTCCTGCAACTCTCTTCATTCCTTTACCATTCATGTATGTATTTCTTTTGCAATTTCTGATTCGTTTTTTACACATTTTCTTTTCTTAACACAGTTCTATTTTATGCTCATGCAGATAACTCCATTTTGAGCTAAGAACTTCCTCTTTTAATGTGCAGTATGTCATTTTCAATGTGAATTATCGAGATCTGGATCTCAGTAACTATTTGGCTGTAATGATAAGGGACGATTACATAGCAAGTATGATCGTTGAGGCCAAATTCATGAATAGCTTTTAATCTGTATTGTAAAACACTACAATGATCAGATGATTGATAACATCAGGCGCAATCACCAATCTCAGGTTTAGAATGGTATAAGTAAAGTTTAAAAGATGTCGCCGCAGTTGATATTCAGGCATATTGCCTTTTGTTACTATGCTGCCATAGTAACCCTCTTGGCCGCCTGGTGCGGACTAAAACCATCTAATGAACCCTTGTCCTTTCAAAAGTCTAAAAACAGCATGTTAACCAAAAACAATAATCCATTGAAACATGTATTTGTTAAGACCATCAGAATGTTTTTAAAGCAATTAAGCAATATTTATCTTTATCTAAGTGATATTACACTCACAAACTTTTATCAAATGAAGGATTTATTTGATTTGAACTCCCAAAAACTTTTTGTGTTGATTTACAAAAATGTTCTGAAGTATCTTCAAGTGTTTGATATATTAAATACTTGAAGACAATACCCTATTGCATCCCAAAAATGAACTTTATTGATACTATTACAGTATGTTTGAAAGTATTAACTGGCATCCGTACTTAAACTGACTGATTGTGTAACATATTTTAGCAGGGAATTCATGAAAACAATAATTGATAATCAAATAGAAATTTCCATCATTTGAAATGAAACCTGGCCTTTCTTTTTGTCCAAATAGAAGCCTACAGAACAATTACTAACATGTAAATCACAGAATGTATTACATTTTGAGTATACAAATAGAAGGGTTTCTGATGCTTTGTAGAAATCTGAAAGACTGTTGAAATCTGAATGTAGAAAAAGGAAATAAATACCTTTTCGACAATAGAATAACTCTGGTTGGCTTTTAGAAACTTATAAATGAAATTAAATTATATGTTTACTTTTATAAAAAATAATTAACGCAAGAGAGAAATCAACAAATAAGGATATTTAAAGGCTTGAAAAACACATTTTAATTAGTATAATCAAGAATTTTATCAAAACCCTTTTGGCAAAAAGTAATATGAGCTAGACACGAATGGCATTTCATGTGTGGGACTTAGTTTAAGGTTATTCCTTAAATAAAGCAAATAGACCCGGGGATTGGATTAGTCTGTTAATACAAATGAAGCATTTTGCTTTTCAAATATTTTATTGTGTCTTTTTCATGAGAAAATTTGAGACATTTTTGACGTCACCTTGACATCATATTTTGACACAATCGAGGGAATGTTGCTAATGAACAAGTGAATACTGAAAATATGTTAATGTTTTTCCAAATGAAAGGCATTCTTAACTAAAAACAAGGGAAGCACACTAAGAAATGATAAAAATGGATATAGAATTTTACAGTGCCAAAAGAAAATCACCAAAATGACTAATTGAAAAGAGCTCAAATAGAATGATAAAAAAGTAAAATGAGTCAAGTGGAATTAACCTGCTATAGTTACTATGGCGATAACTGAGTGCAACGGTTAAATTACACTTTATAAAGTCTCACTAAACATTAAAGTATCAAAAAACGTAACATTTGGAAGGAATCAAAAATGGCCCTTGAAACGGCAAACTATGTGGACTTAAGGACTCTTATAGACAGTGCACCCCCTCCCCATCATGTGTCATATGGTTGGAAGGTAGGTATATATGCATATGTATATAATTCATTGTATTACATACCTAGCGAAGCATTTGTATGGAAGTCAATGGGAAAGTTAGCGAGCTATATCCACCGATATTGCCCGATTACCCCGATATAGCCCGCTTACCTCGTTTTGATATTAGATTTCTTTAATAACAATGATAATATCATGACGTCACGTCATTGATACAAAGTAACCATGGGAACAAAGGCATGTAATACATCAGTTATGTCACTATGACGTGAAATATGCCTTCGTTCTTGCCCAAATATAGAGCCTCCCAAGGTCGGCCTATATTGGGAGAACTCAGGCATATTTCACGTCATAGTGACATAACCTCTAAGTACTTTCATGTATTTGATAAAGGGTAGGGGAGGAGGTAGAAATGCTATTTTACTTTTCTTTTGTTTTCTCATCTTTCCTTGAACTATTTTCTATACTCTTTTCTTTCTCATTGATCTATCTATTTTCTTCTTGCTTTTTACTTTACTTGTTGTTTTCTGTTGAATATATATGCAAATTACTTTCATATCCCACAAATGCACAATATTCTTTATACATGCCTTCACATATATTACTATGTATTTAGTACACGTTTGTTACTTTTAACATTAATTTTGCCAATAGGGGGAGTTAGCATGGTGGCAAACCAATTATGTACGTATTCATTATAGCGGGGATTCTTTTAGCTTGGAGTAGACGGCAGTGCTTTTGAGCTCATCTATATTTTGCTTTGCCAACATCTATGATTCGCAATTAAATCACAATTTTCATGATTATGTATCAATTGTACAAAATATGAAAACTGATTGATTAGTCCTGTAGTATGCTTGTATATTGTCTGTGAATTGTACTTGTAAATTATTTTTTAAAAACAATAGGGAGCATCCCAATTTTTATGTATTCTGTTCTAAAACATTGATATTAATAAAGAGCTTGGGAGGTTTTTCAATGGCTCAGGCGGCAATGCTTAGCAAGTTAACAGTTTAGATTTTGTGAAAAGAGAGAAGGTGTATGAGTTGAGTGAAGTGAACTGTTTCCATAGACATGCTTTGCTTCAACAGATGTTTGATACCTCGTACATGTTGCTAGAATCCCAATATACCTCATGGGTGTCAATGTCCTTGTTTGATGTTTCCCTTCTACTGATGAAAAGAAAGACATGTATGCAAACAAAAAGTGATATCTCAGAAATAGAAATGTAGAAAACTGCAGTGATCATGTATCCTTTGAAGCTTAGGCCTCCAAGACCCAGGATATGATCATTTCCCTTCACTTCACCAGATACTGGAGAAACAATGCCTATATACAAGTAGTATCATGCCCTGTCATTGATTTCAAGGCCTTTTATTATTGGAGGATGTCATGATCACCCAGTCCCTGGTATAATGTTTTCTTTATAAAACACATGATCATTCATTAGTGTGTTTTATTGGATAAGTCGTGTGCACACTGTATCACCAAATTCATCATCATTTTCATGGGATAATATTTTGAAAAATTTATTTCACATTTCATAGGAAGAAATGCAGGAAGTGGAAGAACATGTAGTATGTAGTTATTGTTTTATATTTCATTTAATACACATTCACCATACCGTGAGACAGCTATACCATAATACAATTTAACAACACCCATTTTCTAACATTGGGAATGGCAATATCATCCCTCACAATGGTGTTCCTAACCATGAGACAACTTTACAGGGAATGCATTTCAAAATAATTATGAACAAAATGACTTTGGCCAAATCTCTGTATTAATTATTCTTTATGAAGTGTGCTCTTTGATTAATGATCAAATAATTTGAATGCCTCAGTCTCTGATTTAGTGTGCATGCATCTATTAACCTCGGATATAGGACTTCTTTTACTTTATCTTAGTTATATCTTAAGGTATTGATTCTGAAAGACATTTATGAAAAACAAAACAGTTATTTTGAAGGTTTTATTTTTGGCAATATTACCTCCATCTAACTGATTGATCTAGCTATCAGTATATATTGCTTCTGTCTCATTAACTTATATATATAGTTCGTTATTTTGAACATTTTGTCTTGGAAAACACCATTTGCTTTTTCTTGTGATTTTATGACTGAACATTTTTAACATTATTAACAAGTATCTATATCCAGTTTCTCTGCAATTGGTTGTTGATCAGTTATGTAAAATTGATGTAATTCTTCTGATTTATTGGAAAGATTTGCTTCAAAAATGGTCAAGATGGTTTGAACTTTGCAATCTGAGAAAAGTCAACTGATTTATTTTTCTATAAACTGTAGATTATTTCAATCAAACAACTTATGCATCACTTTATATACAGAAGTATACTTTCTTCTGCTAAAAATAGAATATGAATTTCAGTGTTTTGTTATAAATGGGTCACCATGACCTTACATATTTATCAAATAATTTTTGAAATCAGTTCATGTGTACAAATTAAATTTTGAGCATAATTGTCATGAACCTTCATTTCCCTGGCCTTAGAAATCTAAATCTGATCAAGCTAAATATAAGTTTCTCTTTCAGACTTTCAATATTTTGATTGACAGCTCTATTTTTAGAAGTGAAATTGATGGCTTGTGTTAAAACTCCAAGGTCAAGCTGATCTGGTCACTCTCTAAGACAATTTAAAAACAGAATTTTGATTGAAATTGATTGTTTTCAACTACATTTTTCTCTGTAAAAACATTTACATACAAAAAATAACTTTACAAATCAGTTTTGTCAATCTCATATCAGTTTACTTGAGAGGTTTTGATAAGAATCATTTTTATTTGAAAGGTTGTTTTTGATAGATTTTATGGGACTGTTTTGTCAAGAATTTCATGGAAAAAACAATTTCACTATCTTCACATGTTCAGAGTTTCACTTGGATTTTATACCTTCACCTAAAAACATTTACCTCCAAATCTCAACATTTTGTGATTTCTATAGAATCTGAGACATATTTTCCTGATGAGATGGAATTTTGCTTTTGTTTTGCTTTGATTAAAAAAATTGAGTTTACTATAATAATGCATATTTATTCTAATATTAGTTTTATATGTATGATTTTACTGTTTCATTTGAATCTATATATTCTTTAGTTTTAATTTAAATTATTTTACTTATTTTGAATTATTTTAATCTCTATCATACTATTTATGTTTATTATATATAGTTTATATTAAGATTTTTATTATTATCTTGCTAGTATAGAATATTAGTATACCTTTAGTTTAGAATAAATGTCAGATGTAGTTTAAATTTTTATCTGCTTAAATATTATATTCATTTGATTTTAATTAGATTTGCTTTTCTAAACTTAAAGTTTCAGCTCTATTAGAAGTTCTTGTAGAATTAGTTTTATCTCCATACAACATAAACCATGGTGGTTAGAATTATATCAATAAAGGAGTGGTATCGATATCGAGAACTGAATTCAACAATGTTTTTCTTTTAAACCAATCATTGAAAACATTCTGTAAAAACACTGTTTTTGTTTTTTTAGTGCAATTGTTTTTGCTCCTTTCTACCAATTCTTGAGAATAAGATAAAATGTCTTTCCGAACCTTGTTTTAAAATCAACCAAAATTTCCTTTGTTCAATTACAATATTGAGAGACCTAAACATGTTGTGTTTATGTCGTTTTGTCCCAATGAGGTTCGAAAAGATGTTTCATTTCACTCTGGAAACATGATACCAAGAACAAAACAAGTGTTTGATGTGTTTTCTAAAACAATATAGATGAAAGTTTATATATATTTTTCAAATTATATTGTTACCATTCAAAAGATGACCATTAAATTGACGATGTGTTAAATTTTTAGATTTTTTTTATGACTGGTTTAAGAGAAACGTGTGTTCAAAAAGTTCTCCATATCGATACCACTCCTTTAAAAATACAGAAATTTACATTGAGTTCATCACTTTAGAATTGCTAGAAAAGTATCTACACATGAAAAAGAAATCACCATGAATTCTGTTGTATCTATAGTATATAACCTGGCCTTAACTTGAATTTAGAACAAAATGAGTTTTGAAAAGAGCAGCGATGTTGATGCATTGATCAAAGAAAAGGAAAAAGCTATGGAAGAGATGTTTGAGAGTAAAATGGAAGATGCACGGAAACAATTAGAAAAGGAAATTAAGGCAGCAGCTCCACCAGAACCTAAGGCGAAGAAAGGTGGTAAGAAAAAAGGGAAAGAAGAACCTAAAAAGGATCCCAAAGCAACTGCTGAGGCTCAAGCTGCCCTCGCAAAATTGCTGAATGCAAATAAGCCACCGACTCCTGCGACTCCTGCTGAAGTAGGTTTTGTTGCATGTGGTTGCTCGCCATGACACACCTAACAGTGTTTGCTCAACCGTTGCATGTGGTTGCTCACCATGACACACCTAACAGTGTTTACTCAACCATTGCATGTGGTTGATCACAATGTGCTGATTTATCATGACACCCCTAACAGAAATTGTTTGTTCCACTGTTGTATGTGATGATTAATCGTGACACACCTAACAAAAGATTCACAATTGTACCGTCATATTTTTTTTATTCATCGGAATGAGCCTAACAGATGATTGGCGCCTCCTTGGTTGCCTGTGGGCAATTCATCATAATTGAACTGTCACATTTTGTTACTCATCACCATAAGTCTAACAGATGATTGGCATCTCTGGTTGCCCATGGGCAATTTATCATAACAAGCCTAAAAGATTTGCAATCTTCACCAGTGTGATAAGGGATGGAATGCCGAATGCACTTGGCAGTGACACACAAATTAATACTACAACCTGCAAACTAAATGTATTCATTAAGTTCAAATTTGCTTTTTCAGCCATTATTGTGTTTTACTTTTGTTCATGTTTTAACTTTTTATCAATAAGTTTGGTTTGTTCAGTTGAAAACATTGAACACTATGTAACAATTGAAAAAAATTAAATTAAAAAATTGCGTTATTAAGTCTTTAAATCGATCAAGGATATAACATATGCTCGAGATTTTCCAAATTAGCAAATGTAGGTCAATTTGTGCACATTTTATTTGTTTGTTGTTTTCCAGGGGTCCATGATAGAACAGAACAAAGAATCTAGCAGAAACACTTCAAGAGCAGTAAGTGAATTAACAGAGAATTCTTTAATTTAAAACAAATTCTTTAAATTAAATTTGTTGAATGAATAAAGCAAACTCAGTGAGTATAAACAGCCTTCACTTATAATATAACCATAGTTAACATGTTAGAAACTTTAACAATTGATGCAGTGTTACATGTAGATTAGTCACTCTGAAGCAGGTAGACAATAATTAATATGTGAACAGTAAAAACTATAGTAGTCAATATTTTACTAACTATAAGTACTAACTGTACTACATTAGTACCTCTATCATTCCTCAATATATTTCAACCATTTTGATACAATTCCATGACAAAACTTAATTTCCGAGATTTATTCATGCTGCTCAGAAAAAGAAATCAAAGGATAAGAAAGTTAATGTTGTCGATCAAACAATAGAAGAAAAAAGTGAAACAGTTAAAGAGCAAGAAGATGAAATAAAAGAGAAAAAAGTAGTAATTGTTGTGGATGAAGCACCATCTAGATCTAAATCTAACTTGAAGGTAGAAATAATAAAAGCTTCATTTTAATGTTGTTCTGTTCTTTTGTTGTCTTCATTGTTTAGGATGATGAAACACAGAAAAGCATTTTTAAGATTTTTTCTATGTCTTTAAATGTATGACTTGCATGTATGAAATTTGGAATTTTTTGGAAGACAAAAATTTGTAATCCATTAATATTTAGTGATTTCACTCTTAGTTTTAGTCTCTCATGTCTATGTTGTATTTAGGCAGATAGAGTTCTGATTGACTCATGTGACTTAGAGAACCAAGAGCACCAGAATGTCATCAGAGTTATTATTGTAGGTTAGACTGCACTAGAACATCCCCATCCCTCAATCCCCCATCCCCATATACACAAGGGACAATCATTTCAGTGCTCATTCCCATCCCAGTGTATCGCTCGGTGTTGTTCTGTGTTTGGATTCCTGAACACTCATCATTATTAGTTAAATCCACATTTCATGTCCCCTAATGTATATACATGTACATGTAGATATTGACTGTAGTTAGTATCACGCCCGGTGATCGTACAAAATGGATGGAGGGGGGGATTAGGCGATTTCTGCAAGAAAACTCAACAAATTTGGAAGATTTATTTTTTCAAGAGAAAATTTACAACTGAATTGCCAAATGAATAGGCGCAGTGCATGGCAAAATATGTTAGGTCATCTAGTATTTTTTTTGAACTGATACCCTTCTAAGATATGAGATGTATTAAAAAAGGCGCATCACCACCAATGTGCAAAAGTCAATGTTTTTGCTATAAATCGGGCATCAATGGTCTACACGACCTGTAATAAACAGGTATAAGGGACGTTATTATCACAATACTTATGACATTGCTCACTTTTTAAAGTTAGTTTCCATGCGTTATACAAAAAATAATCGAAATAAATTAATATTGGATGGAGGGGGGGATTGGATGGAGGGGGGGATCACATGTATGTAAGACATGATAAGACATGCTACTTGAATTTATTCTTGTTACTCCAAATTTTCGCATTTTTCATGCTCCAGAGATATAATATCCAGTTTCTTAAAGGGGTACTGATTTTAGTTTTTTCAAATACATGAGTTCTTGAAAATTTGTTCCATCGTAAAGACATATTAATCCCCCCCTCCATCCACTCCCCCCCCTCCATCCAAAATTAATTTATTTCGATTATTTTTTGTATAACGCATGGACGCTAACTTTTAAAAGTGAGCAATGTCATTAGTATTGTGATAATAATGTCCCTTATACCTATTTATTACAGGTTGTGTAGACCATTGTTGCCCAATTTATAGCAAAAACATTGACTTTTGCACGTTGGTGATGATGCGCCTTTTTTAATAGATCTCATATCTTTGAAGGGTATCAATTCAAAAAAATACTAGATGACCTAACATATTTTGCCATGCACTGCGCCTATTCATTTGGCAATTGAGTTGTAAATTTTCTCTTGAAAAAATAAATCTTCCAAATTTGTTGAGTTTTCTTGCAGAAATCGCCTAATCCCCCCCTCCATCCATTTTGTACGATCACCGGGCGTGAGTATACTATAGGTGCTCTTCACATGCTTCACAAATCATGTTTTCAATTATCAGCTACAAACAGGTAAACCTTGTTAGGATTTACATTTACTGACTGTGACAGAATATTAGAATGTTTAAAATATCTAGAAATCACTACAAATTCTAAGTACATTTATATGCAATATGCCATGCTTGACACTCAAATCCTAGATGCATGAATGAAGAAACTTGATTCTAAGGCAATATTAAATTTTAACAATGCTGGAATATAACATGCAAAATTTAATGCAACTTAAAAGAACTGATTGGTTGCATAAAATGCAATTAATACCTTACAATCACAAAATGCAACTAATGCCATATAACTTTTGTAAGGAATTCCCTTCAAAGTGCGATTAATACCTTACAATCACAAAATGCAACTAATGACTTACAATATCTGTAAGGCATCCCCTCAAAATGCAATTGATACCTTACAATCACAAAATGCAACTATAAATTTTGTAAGGCATCCCCTCAAAATACAATTAATACCTGATTCAACAATGCAAAGATTTATTTGCGCTATTGAAGGGCTAGCTCTCAAATGAATTCTACACAAGAATAAGTCAATATAGAAATAGAGTAAAAATCAATTATTCAGTTCATGCATTGCTCAGCTTTAAAATATTGTTGAAGAAAATTACAGAATTGTTTTTCTCATTTCTCAGCATTTTCTGAAAACTGAAGAAAAAGTGAGGAATTTGATGAACTGAGTTAAATGCGCTTCATAGAATAATATGGAATATCTGGAGCACAAGCAGAGACACATTATGCACAGGGCATTATTGGCTGCCCTGTATATAATTTTTCTGGGTTCACCTTTTTATACACACCCCTACCCCACCCTGCAGAATTTTGTGTATTAAATTTTAACATCATTAGGTGTTGGATAAACCTTGGAGCAATGTGCCCCATATGGTATTAGTATCCTACTTCTTTATCCCCAAAATAATGTCTGTATTCAAATTCTTTGTAAGGCATCCCCCTTCAAAAGAGAATCATATTTATTGCACTCTTAGAAAATATTGAGCTGTAAATAAATACTAACTTTGTAATTGCTGCACTATACAATTTCTAATGCTTACCTTGCAGAAAGATTTCATAATAATTTCAATATTTTTTCTGCTAAACAGGATGAAAAGGTCATACAATCAGGCATATGTCAAAATAAGATCGACTTAGTGACTTAATACCTAATTCCCTTCACTTTTGTCCCTCCTTTAGATATAAGTCTGCCAAACAGATACACCTGGCATAATATTTTTCTGGGTGGATTAATATGGTTCCTCTTAGCATTCTGATACCTGAGGAATGTACTTTATATATTATGACATTCAATAAAGGATATTTGAATGATTCAGAACAATGAAGCCAATCAAAGTCCGCATAACGGTCAAAAATAAAAAGGTACATGTATATAGAATTGAAATTTCTGATATTTAACGAAACTCATGTTTTAGTAAAAAGACTTATTTTCATGGTTTGAATCAGTAAGGCACCAATTATAAGTTTCTCTCTATTTTCTCTACATGTATACAAAACTGAATCATGATATTTGAATATAATTGGAATTGTTTTTAGGAGAGTCGTCCAAAGCCAGGATCTCGAGGCAGTAATAAAGGAAAGTCTCCATCTCGGCCAAATACGAAGGTAAGCAGTTTGTCATGCAAAGTTTGGAAACCATGCATACAAATACAGACACAAGATTGATGATTTTAGAACAAATAAACAATATCGTATGATTTAGAGTGAATTTATTTTATGAAAAACTACATAAATAATTTAAGAATTATAAAAAATTGGAAAAAGCATTATGATATGAATGCTCATGTTGTTTAAAATAAGTTCATAAAGTTGTATCATGAAAAAATTCAACTTCCAAATTGAATAACATGATTTGCAGTCAAGTAGCGTCTCACCAGCTAGAAAACCACAAAGATCCAAATCTGAGATCGCCACCCAAGATGACGGAGATGGTCCCAATTCTGGACAAGTTGTACGAGGGCCACCCACCAGAGGAAGCCAACAGCATACAAACCTTGATACTGTTGATGAGGATTACGATATCAATGTTGAAGACCTCCCTGATATATTAAATGAGGACGCATGGGCAGTGCCAAAAACTCCACAGGATTTGAAATTGAAATATGCTCAGCACAGATTACTCGTGAGTAAATACCCAACATGGAAAATGCATATTGGGGAATTAATTAATAGTTACCAAAGACACAAACCAACATGTATCTTTGACATTATAATTGACATTAAAGCTGAGGTTCAATAAGGTTTATATAAAGCTAAAGTACTGAGACTCAATACAATGAAATGAATTGTTGGAAACATCCTTTTACAACATTAAGATCTTAGAGTGTTGTGATTGAAACAGAATGCACCTGAATTATGCTTTTAACTTATCAGATATCAATGTCAAGTGAATCAATAGATTTGTATATGGTTTGCAGAAAAATATATTCACTGGTAATTGAAACTTACCCTTTTCAATTCTATTCTTACTTCTTTAAAAGAGAGCTTCATGTACAAGGCTCTGACAAAGTAACGAAAACTAAAAATTGTCCCATACTCTTTGGCTTTAATTTACCTGGCCTATTTTTACCTTTCTTTTTTGTGCATCCTGTCTTAGTATAGTGCAGGGGGATATGTCTATCATTGCGAGATATCTCATTTCTATTATTTGACAGCAAAACATGTCTACTGTCTATCATGGCAATTGACTATAAGCATCCATGTTATTTGCAGAGTAAGCACAAGTTGGCAGAGCTAGGGGATGATGTGGAAGCAGCTAATGCCACGACACAAAGGAAAGTCAAAACACTAAAGGTGCAGTTCCAAGAACACAAGGCAAAATGGAGCAAGGTATGGAAATAATGAAGTGTTTAATGTTTCAGTATATCGTACACCCCCTCCAAAAATATGACAACTGGAAGGACATTTAGATTGTGTTGTAAAGCATGATTATGGTTGTTTCTAAATATTGAAAAGGGTTGCAAAATCATGCGAATAATTTTATTGGAATTGCCAAAAATGAATGCTATTTTACGTGATCCAAAGGGGATTTCCACTTGTCAATCTTGGGGGCGTTGAATGTATTGTGCGTTATTCTCAGTTATTGGGTGAATTAGATTTAATGAATTATCTCATTTACCCCTATTTTTCTATGTTTTAGATAGGCCTATAGCATATTTCCTGAGAACTTTCTTCAGGCCCGTAGCCAGGGGGGGGGGGGGGTTCGCAGGGTTCGGGTGAACTCCCTCTGGCCAAAAATTCTTTCAAAATCATGCAGTTTTTCACCATTTTGAGCACTTCTCAAGTGATTTTAGTCATATCTGGGCCAAAATTGTCAAATGTGAACTCCCCCTAGAAATTTTTGAAAACTGAACTTCGCAAATCCTGGCTACAGGCCTGTTCTTCAATATGAAATTGACTCTATGTAAAATTAATAAATCCAAAGGATTAATTGAAAAAATAATCTTTTTATTTGCAATGACTGACATCTTTGAAAGGAAACAATCAATCGAAATCATGATTGTCAGAAAGAATTCATGAACAAATATGAAAAAATGTGAAATCTCAAAATGGACTATATCTAATGAATGAAAAAATAGTTAAAGCATGAGACAATTACTGAATCTATGCTTCTTTCATATGATATATCAACAGAATAGAATGTGCCCACTTTACAAATGTGAGTGATTGCATAACATTTAAGAAAAATGAATGAATGTCCTGGGTTAAACAGCTAAAATTATAACAACTTCATTCAGGATTAAGCTTAGATAAATGAAATATTCAAGTCGTGATTGAGTTAAAGTAGTGGAGATTAAAACAGATATTCAGGACAATTGATACATCAATCGTATCATTTCATTTCCATAAATCTAAAATGTCACGATGACTTCATACCTGTACATCATAATTTGCTGATAGAGGAGACTGAATTAGTAGGCATTAATAATAAAGCGATCAAATATAATAACTCTTGAAATCATAGAAATAATATTACATATTTTACACTTAATAATTATTGAATACAACAGTTTCATTAAATCAGATGATAATAGTGTTTCATTGTTTGATTAAATTATTGGGTGTGTTATGAAAAGACCTGAATTTGTTTGATCTTTTTTATCAGTCATTAGTTTATCAGAGAATAATTCAGATTTAATTTTTAGGAGCGTGAAATTCTCATCGAACAAATCGAGCAACTTCAGAAACTTCAAAATGAAGCTGAGCATGAAGCAGATGAAGCTATGAACCAGTTAGAGACATTTATTGATGAACAGGAAAAACTTGAGAAAGAAGAGGAAAAATTACGAGATCACGTCATGTCCAGAAGTGGCATGACGAAAATCAGCTTGGATGAAGCAAAATCATCGCTACAAACTACTCTTGATGCAAATGCCAAATCAGATCTCGATCTACAGGAGAGGTTAATGCAACAAACAGATGATGCCAAGGTAACTATAGCAACGTAATCTTGACATGTTATACTGACAGCTTTCTAATTATTGTTACCATGGAGTAGTTTTAGCTCTTTTTCTAGCTGATATTTACATTATTCTTATTTAATGAAGCCTTCTTATGGTAACTGGAGAGAGTTTAATGCCTTTGTGCTGAAAAGTATGATTGATTGGTTGCTTATATCTTAATCTTCCCGCTTAATCAAGTTTCATAATGAGACTTTCTATTTCATTCTATTTATCACAGTGGAGAACACTTCAGATCAGGCAACTCCTTAGAGATAATTGCAAAATTGCAAATTCTGAAAACAAGTTGAATCAGCCAAGATTGAATTATTAATATTCAGTCAGGTATTGTTGCTAAGATATCACAAAAGATTTGATAGAGCAACCATTTTTCTATCTTTACACAAGGATTTATAAACACGAACATTTCTTACATTTACAATTGCTATACTCACAAACAATTATCTTTTTACTGATGAAATAAACAAAGGTTTCTGATAAATAACATTACTCACATGACTATGGATATGTGTACATGACTAAATGGATAAGTGTACATGCCTACATGTATATGGATATGTGTACATGACTATAGAGCCAAAGGAGGAAGCTGTCTGTGAACAGTACCCCAGGGGTACTGCCAAGTAGCAGGCCATACTCAGGAAGTAGTTCCATGACAAGTGGGGCACATACAAAGCCAGAGAGTACAAAGTCATTGCCCATAGGCATAGGAACCCAGGTCTGCGCACATTCTCACGTTGGCCAATATCTCCTCTGCAAAGAAGCACAGAAAACTGATGATACATTTAAACTTCGGTGATTTAAACAATGCATGCATGATCAAGGGTTTCATCAGAACAAATAAAATCAGCTTACAAATTCATGAGAAATTCTAACATTGCATAATGTAAACAGAAGGAAAATTTTCAAAAATAACAAGCGATTTTGGCAAAAATGGCTCAAATTTGAAATTGCCTACTGCCAATGAAATCCGATGTTTGCACAGTGAAACTTTGCAGAGGAAGTCTGTGTTATTGTATGGCCATTGTGAAGCATTTGAATGAAAACCATGGATCTTTAATTTCAGCATGCTAATACAATTTGTGTTTATTTGTTGCATTGACATTGAATTGTGTTTTCATTTTAGGCCACATTTTCTATTCTAGTTGTTATTATATCACACTGGTGATTGTTTAGCACTGTGGATTGGATCCATTTGATGTATATCAGCATTTATGTCTGTTTTTATTTTTGGGGATTATTTGAAAGTGAATCTTGTTTACACCTGACTTGCATTGATTTGCATGTATTGCATATATTTGCATGCACTATATTGGAGTGATTTACTGGCAGTGGTGCACCCTGGATCAATTATGCTGTTGGGTCTAGGCCCTTCACACAATGGTATTCATAATCTCCCAAAACTTGGTTTGCAATAAAAAAAATTATTTATTTACACTTGTGTGTTGATTATTGCACACATTTTCTGATTGTTTGATGCGCATACCAACAAAACATTGTGTTCAAATGACCAATTAATAAATATTATAATAACTGAAAACATCATCTCCCAGTACATAAAGTAGTGTAGACATAGTATTGTAGACTACTTAAAGATTCCTAAAGAAAGTTATAGTGATGTGCTGTCAAAGCTTATGATGTTCATATCATATTTTTTCTAGCATTATTTAGTAGTGCAACATATAGGAAAATGTGTCTTATTAAGTGATAGTCTTAGCTGTAATAAATTAATTCAATAACTTTCATTATAATGATTGATGTAGGCTACTATCTGCTTATTTGAAATTCTTAATGAACAATTTTTTCAATAGCAATATTATCGATTCAGTTATAGAATTGATTGAAGGTAACATGAAATCACATCAATGTCCACACGACCACAAAATTATTTTCATTTGCAATAGAAGCGAAGATGAAAAATCAATTGAATTATAAAAATTAGCAGGGAGGGTGTTTTTTTAGGATCATGACAACTGTTGATATATATGTGATTTCCATAGTTACCCACATTTATTGTTTTTTCATATTAATTCATGAATTATACTTTTACAGATTAGATTCCATTTGGGGATCTTTCATAGTTTATACTGATATTTAGAATCTGGCTGATGATATCACTTCCTTACTTATCAATCTTTTCCCCGATTGCTCGACTTCTCTTCAGTCAAACTATTCTTGTGTGAAATAGAGGATTTTCACTCTACCTGTATTTTGCATCCCTTTATAGGCAATTTGGCTATGATTACTATACTTTACTGTATTTATATTTCTTTGACATAGCTACTTCCTGTCTTTGCTAAAACATCTGCTTATATGCTATCTATAGGCTGAAGAAATGGCAAACAAACTCGCTAATCTTGGACGTGTAAAATCTGAGCCTGAAGTTAAAGCATCTCCCACTGAGGAGGAAGAGGTAGGTAGTCAGTGCCCTCTATTGGCGATCTATTTATCTTTAATTGTTGAGTCTGATTATCTGCAATTATACTAAAGAAAATCATGCATGCTAATTGGGCAATAAATATTTTTAATATGCAGCAACAAAATCATTGAATACAGGATTCAAACAGGTTTTACATACTGTGATGTCACTCTGTATTCAAACTATTGTTAAGCACACAAAATACAATATTGAATACATACGTACATGAATAATCTCTGTAACAGTTTAATGTTACCCATTTTCGGGCACATGTTATTTTCACACTGTTTATATGAGAAATTTTCTAATAGATATCAATGTGAATCAAAACACATGTATGGCTTTCCTTTGGTATATTAGTGCAGATAATTCTATGGAATGGGTATCTATTACCATTTGCTATTATCGTTGCCTTATTACTTGATGCTTTGTAATTGTAAATGTCGCGTATCTGTTTAGCTTTAAGATTTTAGATGTGCAATCCTTAATTAGAGGAACTTATGAAACAAATTTGCGTGAATTATAGTACAATGATATAGAATTAGAGGGTTACTAACCTTAGTCTGTAGTATAAATGACACAAATGCTCTCATAATTCTGGGGAATTAGCTCAGATTGCATGATTAAGTCCTAGCTTTAATTCTGCTTCAAAGCCATCAAGACTCTAGAGCTTATGCTAGATGGGTAGTTAATGAATGATATAATATTGACTCACTTGAATGGTGTAATTTGTCCTAATAGAATTTAACTAAGGGTCAGGCAAGTGTAATTGTGTCACTAGTCACTTGCTCATCAAGTTGATGATAATGAAAATGTATCGAACTGGGAAAAGGAAATTTTTTTAATTATTCTGATCACTTAAATACTGTTTTATGATATCACAATGTTGTCTCTAACTACTCCCTACAGCTACAAAGGTCTAAAACTGAACCACCGGGCGGTATACTTAAAAGTGACTTGAATGTGAAAGATCTCAAAATCTCAAGGAAAGCTGTGTCATTTGTTGAAGAACCTAAATCTAAAACCCCCTCAGAACCCGAACAACCTCCTGTTAATATTGAACCCGAAGAAGAGGATGATCTTGCACCTGAACAAATCCAAGCTCTAAAAGAAGTCAGAGAGATGATGGATGAATCAAAGATGGCTGCTGAAACATTTACTGTATTGACAAAACTACGTACTGATCTCCAAACAACTAATGAAGATGAGCAAGGTCTGAGTGATGAACAATGGATGAGAACTGCTACTATAATGACCATGTCAACTCGGGTGGCAAAAGAGGCCACAATCTTAGGCCTGAGCCCTGAGGGTGTATTTTACTCTTTCGCACGCATCAATCCAAAAGATGGTATCACTCAAGAAAGCCTGAAGAATGTGGACTTTACCCAGAAAGCTCTACCACAGCTTGATCCTCAATACATCAAGATGAAGTCAGCAATGGAGAGTGAGGTTGGCCTTGTGTGTGTCTGCGGTTTAATTTATCTAACAGCACCCCCCATGTTCCTGCACTGTTCGACTATGAAGATTGTTTGACATTATCTTAATTTATTAAGTTTGCAGTATCTATAATCCCAAATAGATTGATTTTGCTGTATGAGTAATCTAAAATATAGTTTGATTTTGCATGTTCATAATCCCCATTTGATTAATTTCACGGCATTTGATAATCCAAAATAGTTTGATTTTGCATTATTGCTATCCCAAATAGATTGACTGTATGAGTACTCCAAAATAGTTTGATTTTGCAGTATACTAATCCCAAAATAGTTTGATTTTACATTATTATTATCCCAAATAGATTGACTGTATGAGTACTCCAAAATAGTTTGATTTTGCAGTATACTAATCCCAAAATAGTTTGATTTTACATTATTATTATCCCAAATAGATTGACTGTATGAGTACTCCAAAATAGTTTGATTTTGCAGTATACTAATCCCAAAATAGTTTGATTTTACATTATTATTATCCCAAATAGATTGATTTTGCTGTATGAGTACTCCAAAATAGTTTGATTTTACATTATTATCCCAAATAGATTGACTTTGCTGTATGAGTACTCCAAAATAGTTTGATTTTGCAGTATTCTTATCCCTAAATAGATAAATAGACTTAAAGTTACTATATGTTTAATCCCAATTGATTTACCATGATTAATTGTTTCAAGTGTGACACTCAAAATGAATAAGTTAACTTTGAAGTGCTTGTATATTTTACCCAAAAATGACTGACTTTGTAATATTAGTGCATGTACTGTACTATATATTTGTCATTTCACATATTTGTTGTCTGACCATTTGTTTGATTTGTGTGTTTGTTTTTCTGCATGCAGAATTGGATTTTAGTGTACATTTTTATTGATTTGTGTTAACGTTGTTTGTTATGTGCTATATGGGGCCTAAATGTTAGGTTCCATTGTTTTGCTATATTTTTAATAACTGGCTGCATGTGTAAAGTTGTTCCCATAGAGTTTGACATTATGTGAAATAAAGACATTGTATTTACAGAAATTATATAAATATTAAAATGACATGATTTTAAATGTATTTTTAATCACTATAAATAACCATATAATTAATTATAGGTTACACATTTGCTGACATTAATATTATATTATATACTAATCTTTTATAAAATTTTATATTTAGCTTGAAACAGAATTGACTGGTTTAACTGGTCTTACTGGTGTATCTGGCCCTGGCATGGTTGCTGGAAACTTTGACGCAGTCTCTATTTCAAGTCGCAGTATTCCCATGTCAGCTGGAACAACCCGAAGCATTACTCGTCCTCAGGTGGAAATACACACGTGTGACCACTGCTTTTATTGCACCTGCTTGCCATATTTTAGTTTATGCATGCAAATATTGTCATTGGTGGTCAAGGTATCAGCTAAAATGACAAGGAGGGTTTACTCCCAGAATTCTCTCTCTTTCTTTTGACTGGCATGGAACACTTGGTAACAAAATTACTTGTACCCTAATGTTTATCACCTGACCCAGTATTTAGTTGAGAGATGGACATTTTAAATAATTACCAAATTGGTCTTTGCCAGTCAAAAGAAGATTGTGAGGGAATCCTGGGACTGCCAATGCTCCTTGCTAAAATGACACATGTTATCAAATATTCTCTTTTTCATGAATTCATAAGAATGGAAAAAGGTAATATCTCTGACCATCTTGACAAATTATTTTGTTTTCCACACGTAATAACATTGTTATAGGCTGTTAATACCTATTGCCTTGCAGTGCTACATATATACATGAACCATCTAACTCCACATAGGAAGCATATTTCAAGCACATATTTATTCATGTAGTACACATGTATTTTATTTTCTAACCCCCACCATAAAATGAGGCTGCTTTCTGAATGTAAAATTGGTGATAAACATCCTCATGTTTTAAGACTTTAAAACAAACCCCTGTTAATCATATGCACAGGAAAGCACCAACATTTCATTCAGAAACATAGCCCTGAAGATTATTTGACAGAACATAAAGAAAATGGAAGGGACAAAGATGAGTTGGGAAAGTAAGCTAAAAAAAAGTTGTCACAGTTTTACAGTATTTTCATCAATCAAGGTCATGCTTATTTTCTAAAAAGTCCAAAAGTTCAGAATTTATTTCAAAACAATTTTCAATTTTTAAAATTTTGAAAAACTTTTTTACTTCTTTAGTTTTAGTTAAATTTAGACATTTGTACATCCGAAATTATCGATGTTTGATCAAATATCTCTGCGAATTCTTTTTTCAGAAATAAAATCAATTGTAAAGCAAACATTTGCATGATTTCTTCCAATATTTTACACTTTTCCTCTTCCCTTTCCTTTAAATGACTAACAATTCACCAAGTTGCTGTAGGTTGGATGTGATAATGATAATGTAAAAATGTTGTTTTCACCAGGAAGTTGCTTTAAATATTTATATATAACCAAATGTTGTTTTTCAGTTACCCAATTAAATAGATGTTTATTTGCAAGTTCCATTAGCCGTTATTTACCCCAAAATATAGTCCTTTGGTATTGGTATTGGTATTATTACACAATACCAAAGCACAGCAGTATTTATACAAGAAATTATTAATAATATTAAAAAATTATCAATAAAACAAAAATATTGCAATTTGTCAAAATATAAAAACCAATTTGAATATATATTTAGATATCGGGTACAAATGAAGATGAGATCCGTGCCTCCTCCGTGTTGAGTCGTGTCTCTCTAAGAGACCAATTCAAGAATCACCTTGATGCCCAGCGGAGTATGACAGCAGAAAGACGTAGCAATACTCCTGCCATAGATGTTGAGTCATATAAATCTACAGTTCTAAATGAAGAGCTTGATGAAAATGCTGATATACCATTTACTGAAGGTAGGCTCTGTTGGTTTTGATATTGTTTCTTCAACAATATCATAAATTTCTTTTTTGGGTGTTTTCTGAAGTTTTACCAAAATGTGTCAGAGGTTTAAATATTAGTTTCCTTTAATTGATAAGAATTTGAATTAATGAATACATTGTGTTGCTGGATTTAAAAAATAGTTTTTTTCAAGAACATATATGCGCTATGGTATATGTTCATTTGAAATTTCTGCTTTCAAAGCATGAATGAACATTAAGTAAATGAAAACTTAAATGACATTGACTTAACTCGTGATTCTGTAAATGAACGTGCATTTCAAATTTGACTGTTGTAGAAGAAGGTACAGCAACCATGTCATTCCACAAAGGAACGTCCCCACCCCCTGGGTCCACGATGATGTCATCCTCCCAGCATGCCCCAAGTTTACATTCCAAGGCTTCAAGCAGGTAGGAATTCACATACATGTACATTTTATGTTCATTTTTGAAATAGCTTCAATGGTCACTTCTATTAATAAAATCTTCTCCATGCAATGTTATTTTCATATGGGGTTGAACCATAGATTGCCAGATCCATTCTATATTGAAATTAATTTAGAGATGTATTTACTAATGTCATGTGGACCAGCTGTAACTACATGGAAAGGGGTTTAATTCTTTGTGAAATTCCTTTCTCAATCTTGCCCAGTTCCTGAAAGAATACATTTATTTGTTTATTTTTATGAAACCTGCAGTTGTGCAAGTATTGAAAGCAGGTATATTAAGCAATTCAAGAGAATTGGTCAGTTATTTTGCATGCTCTAATCCTCTCCTTTTTCAAAGAGTTGTGTTCAAGATGGAAGTTTGCATGTAGATGGTTTCTCCCATGCATATGGATGGCCCCTGTGCATGAATATTAGCTCCTGTGCATGTAGGTGAGCTCCTATGCATGTAGGTGAGCTCCCATGCATGTAGGTGAGCTCCCAGGCATGTAGGTGAGCTCCCATGCATACATATGAGCTCCCATGCATGTAGGTGAGCTCCCATGCATAAATATGAGCTCCCATGCACGTAGGTGAGCTCCCATGCATAAATATGAGCTCCCATGCATGTAGAAGAGCTCTCAATAGATGAAATTAGATTAAAATGCATCTTGGATTCAACTTCCCCTATTGTTTTGATATTTATTTTATTTTTAAAATGAACCAGAGATTCTCATAATTTTGCACTTAATATGGCTTATAGATGAAGGTAGATTAGATAAACACTTTTTACTTTTAAATAGAAACTTTTAGACAAGTTCTTTTAGTTCACAACTAGTATCATTGATAATGCATCGTTATGAGAATACCTGGCCATAGTTTTCTGTTGCATGTGATATTAGAATAAGGTACCCTAGGTTGAATAATACCAAATAAAAACTGAACCCTTAAATTAAGGAAATATTTCAGACGCCCTTTCTGTAATTGTGATCACATTAGAAAGCTCTAATATCTACAGTTCATGTAATCCTATTCATTGTTATGATGTTGTGTGTTGTTATACAGTGCGGGCACTCTACAGAAAGTACTGACTGAGCAGTACTTTTGGCCTGATAATCAGACCAACTCAATAGAAGAAGATTCAACATCAGATCTCAGCTTTCCTAATCAGCCTGTTATAGAAATCATTTCTGCTACTCCACCTGATCCGCCCTCTCCTACTTCTACCCAAAAAGTCCCCTCTGCAAAGGTCCCCCTTGCAAAGGTCCCCCCTACAAAAGACCATCCCCCTCCACTCCCTAGAAGGGCCTCGTTTGGACCGACACTGATTTACACCCATAAAGAGACTCAGACGGTTGTTATGCCAACAATGTCATCACACACAGAGTAGGAATCTTGTGTATTTGTCAGGAACCTAACATGCAAATAACCAATATTTAAGATTTTTAGCTCACAACAAATTGCAACAAGCAGATTCAAAATGCCGAAGGCTGTCATGTATTTTTATTACCAAAATTGAGGAACATGACATCCATGGTATCTTTGAATCAGTGAATGATAAAACCAGGCAGCCGTTTCACAAATACGAATACAACATGGAACATACTATTGAATCATAAATGCTTACCTGATAAGCATATGCATATTCCTATTCATGCACATGTTCTGGAATATATATTTGTGGAATGGCCCCATTTTCATATAGATTCACATAGTAAACTGCATGTTTGAATATTAACAGAACTTGTATCTCAGTTTCAGTTAGTATAGAATTCCTGAATAATTGACACTGCCGAGTGTATTATCATGTAGAATAGAATGCATACTAACGATCTTACAAGTTGCACACTATTATTAAGGCAAGCCATATGGAATGCCTTTTGGAGTGTTTGCATATTATCAGTATATTTGCAAGCCTTCATGTACATGTATGTAGGCCATATACATGTAAATAGTCTATGTTAATTTTTCTTGGCTTTCCTTAATCAGTTTTTCCAGATATTTGTCAAATTGGACTTCCTTCTGAAAGAGATGATGTTTAGGCTGTACTAAACTCAATGTCATTTGTTAAGTCATCCAAATGTGGTACTTTATGTATAAAGTGATTGTATTTTAGCGTAATTGAATTACAACAGCCTTATCAAACCCCTGCTACAAGTATAATTGAGGTTGAAGCTTCATCCCCAGTTATGGTTGAGGAAATTGTTGAAGAGGAAGTATATTCAGAGAAAACAGAGGAAATCCCAGAGGACAACAATACAATAAAACTTCCTTCGACTATTGTACAGTCAGATTCTGGAGGGAGTGAGACCAGAGATGCTGTGCCATCACCAGCTCTTACACCCATGTCTCCACCTCCCCCTGTACAAAGGAAGCAATCCTTTATTAGACGGGTCTCTGTGATTAAGCAGACTAGAAATGTGAACACCTGGACAGGACATGATTGGGAATCATGGTACAAAACCAGCGTGAACATTTATAGCAACATACGCTTTTTTATACCAGCAAGCACTACTTATACCAGCGTGTGCTTTTTATTATACTATGGAGCACTAATTACATGTATGGCAACATTTATGAATGTCTTGTTTGATTATGATTCACTACACTGTATATGTATGTATATGTCTGAATTTCGAAAGACTTGTTTTAGGCCAATTTGTGAACTTGACTTGTCTCATCATTTTGCCCAATTTTGAAATTGTATTCTTGATTTCTTTTAAAGTCTTGTCGAGACAAACAATAACAATGATTTAATCATTCAAATTGTTTTTTTCAGTTTATTGAAGTTTCTACACAGAGTGTACACCAATTTTTATTGTACCTAAAAAGACACAATATTATCATTGGGTTGGTCATGGGGTTTTAAGAGAAACCCATTGGTTGGTCTATGCAATTCCAGAAAAAATACTTTACAAGTTTATTCGAAATTGAGGGATGTTTCTTGATATTATAATTCCATTAGATATTGAGCATGTTGGGAAAATCTAGACTTCTAATGTTGAATTTTTGGGTACAAAATTGTTCACTGTGTGTCTTGTTTGTACTGCATCATGCATTGCACGCTTGATTGTGTGATACTGCACCTGAATGAACAAAATGTTTAACAGAAAATGCAAGTGATTTATTTGTTTGCAGCACATACAGTAAATGATATTGTACTTATATTTATTGTACATGTATGTACTATGTATAACCCATCTACATGCATCAATATCTTAACATGTTCACATTTTTCTCGAAGGCACTAGGATTTTCACTTGTTGAACTGACAATTTCAACCATTCTAGCATTTGCTTCATTTTAATATCTGATTACCATGACTGCCAGTTCCACAATTAAGTCTTAAATAAAGTATTCTTTTATTATATTCTTAGTCGTATATATTTAGTTCATAGTGCTATATAGTCCTATAGTAATAGTTTATAAGATTACATACTTGTATTCGAAAATACAATATATGTGCTCAAATTAAAACATTGAGCTAAAATACTTTGCTGGCTTTTCAGGAAGTCTTTGTCTATAGCAGAGCACCCTGTAGTGAATGAGTACATCAAGACATATGATGTGGTGATCAACTTTAAAGACACTCTCAGCAAACTGTTTCTAGATAAAGGTGAGTTGTGATAACTTTCTTGGTAAATAAAATGGTGGGCAAATCAAACACACATAAAATATGAAGCACAGTTTTTGAATGTCCTGTGTGTGCAGGCATAATTAAATAAATATATGAAAACAATTGATAATGAAGTGAAAAAGTAAGTCCGTATAGAGTAATTGGATAAGATTGCAATTTTATTGTTTTACTGTTGAAAACGTATTTTCCAAAATTGAATGATTCGTTATCTCTTGCTGATAATATTGCAGACATGATGTCTTTAGCTGAGATTCTGGCTGATCTTGATCCTGTCATGTTCAACCGAGAGATCAAAGTCCAACCACAGATTGAGATGATGACATCTAGCGTGTTAAAAGGTGAAAAATAACATTTTAACAATTTCTATTTCTTTGCTTTTAGTGGCTTTTAATATTACCACATAATAGAATCTCAAGACATACATTAATACGCAGCATTAGTCTAGTAAAATAAAACAATGATATCATTTCACTGAAAACCTGATGCATGTACAACTACATGTAGTTGATTCCAAATTCATATCCATTGAGTTGATTAGTACTGGACCATGTGACTCTTTTATTGATATGCATTGTACTTATGTGTGTGATCGACTGCATGTATGTCACACTTCATTGATTAACTATCTAAATGTTCTCTGCTTTTCAGTATTGGAGGAGATCACAAGTCTGATATCAAGCATACTCTTCAATGATAGGGTAGGTTTATATTCTCATCCACATTATAACTTGACATGACATGGTCAACTTGACATGGTATTAATTCCCCTGGAGCTTAAGTTGTTCAAAAGAAGAATATAGAGAAATACAGTTAAGCCATCACCTTCAAATTCTTGTCAAATCTTAGCATGCAGAATTCAGATAAAAAATTCTACAATATTTGATTATAGAAGGATATGGGTGGGGGCAATTTTTTGAACACGCCTGAGCATAAGCATGTCGTTAATGGCACCGAGTGTGGTTTCTTCATGTTGCATGATTGAACTTTTCGCCCATGTCCCATGCATGACTAACCTCTGTTACATCGTTGCACCTATGTAAGAGTTATACATGTATAAATGCATGAAACTTAAAATAAATTCAAACTAGGAAGTACTGATACTTCAATGTGTTTGTCTATCTGTTATTTGTCTGTCATTGCTGCATCCTATAGGAATATCGCACAGCAAGTCGCATGAGCATGGTGAGCAACAGTGTTTTCCTGATACTTTTTTATTTTGATATTTATACTTTTTAATTGTCATTTACATTTATTTAATTGTCATTCTATAACTTTTAGATTTAAGGTTTCAAATTTAAGCATGATATTTATAAAGACATGAGAGGTCTTTGACTTTATGAATATACATGTATTGCCTTAATTTGAAATGTTTGTTTTGTCTGTTGTCCTGCAGAGTCTGTTAAAGTCTTGTGATTTTTGAATTTTTTTTTACATTTCTATGTTCTACATTGATTCATTGAAAATGAGACAGTATTGATTAAACAAGCTTTACTCTGGTAGAAGTATAAGAAATTAGATTAAATAATAAGTGTTTTCATTTGCCATAAGTCCATGATTTCAAATTCGCTGTTTACGCTATCAGGGAACCATGGATGAGAGAAGTGTTACCACATATTTATCTCCATCTCCCAGCCCAACCATTGATAAATCTGGCTCTATGGCTAAGATCCATCACTTGCAAGTCCCCTGGACACCTCATATATCTGTCCACACCCCTGACACCCCTCCTAGCCCCTCTGGCATTGTTACTATATCAACTCAAACTGAATACAGGGTAAGTTGCGTCTATGTGCAAATTAATATTCTTAGAAATATCAAAGTGGTAAAGCCTTTTTAAAGAAATAGAAATACCACCAAACAAAAAAACAATCAACTGATTTGGCATTTTTCTAAATTCATAAGCCTCTCATAAGAGAGGAAAATTTCTGACCACATTGATATTTTCACAGGGTATCTCCGTTTACATACAGGGTGACCGGAAAAAAAGGAGACCATTGAAGTAATCAATTTCTCCTAAACTAGACAAGTGCCATCAATGAAATTTTGCATACACTGGAACAGTTATATGGAAATTTGTTACTGAAGGTTTCAATACAAGCATTCAACTGGTTCAGGAGCTATGATCATTTACATAACATGCTCCAAATAGGCACAATTGAGACCAACGCAGAGTTGGATTCATATGGCAAACTACCCTTACATGTTCTGCCCTCTATGGCATTATTATGGCATTACATATAGCAGTGATTGCCTTCTTTAGGTCAACAATAGTCTGAGGATTGTTTTGGTATAGATTGTCTTTCAAATATCCATACAAAAAGAAATCAGCAGGATTCAAGTCTAGGCTGTAATGGCAATGAAGGGTTATCTGACATGTGGTTCATCATCCTGTTGCCAAAGTGCTGATTTACCCAATCTTAAGAGTCACTTTAGGTATTGGGCATAGTGCCATGTTACTAAAACCACTATATGGCACAATTAAATCCCATATGGAAACCAAGGGCTGCCCAAAACCTCCTTAGGATGATACTGTAACTGAGTGGGACCACTGAGTCAGAAGCCATAGGTCAGATAAGCTTCGTCTCCATACACCTCAAATTTGAATCCACCTGATTTCTTTTTGTGGGGCAATTTGAAAGACAATGTGTACCAAAACAATCCTGAGACAATTGCTGACCTAAAGGTGGCAATAAATGCTAAATGTAATGCCATAACAAGGTCGGAATATGTAAGGGTATTTGCCAAATGTATCCAGCTCTGCGTTGGTCTCAATTGCGCCTATTTGGAGCATGTTATGTAAATGATCATAGCTCCTGAACCTGAAGTTGACTGCCTGTATTGACACTTTCAGGAACAAATTTCCATAGAACTGTCCTGATGTATGCAAAATTTCATTGATGTCACTAGTCTATTTTAGGAGATATTGCCTATTTCAATGGTCTCCTTTTTTTCCGGTCACCCTGTACATGTAGTTCCATCTAGGAATCACTCAAGATGTCTCTCTCACTGAACATTGTTTGTATTTGGCAGCCTCACATGTAACAACTCTTAGTTGATGTATTGTCTATATTTTAATGTAAGCCATACATATGATATAATGGTATGTGAAAGGACATACAGTATTAATAAATGTATATGTAGGCGGATGTTGTTCCCGAAATCGTTAGAAGACATTATATAAAGACATACAGTCTAGCACACGTTACCCATATACACTTCAATTTTCTCCATTCATTTTTATTGGCAGGTTACTTTATTAGTGGTGTATTGAGTGACTTATGGACTCGATTATTGATGGAAAATCCTCTAAAAATGAATACTCGAGTTGGACTACCAAATTGAATTGAACAATTTTGATGATGTAGAATCGCAATTCCGTATTCCATTTGTGATTTTGCTTTAAATCATACACGTATACTTCACTGGATTGTATATTTCAATGCATTATACTTCCTTTTACATATCTGTGTACTTTGATTCATGGAATTGATCTGAATAAAAAAAATGTGTCCAAGTACGAGTATATCACAAAACAGTTACACCCCCTTCATAAGTGTAGCAATCAGAAGTCACCATTGGATAGTGAAAAGTTAAAGTTTGTTTATTCTTGAATCTTAACATTGTTTCTCAAACACAGTTTGTCAGATGATAAACTTGATGAAGTTGTTAAAATTGGCAAACATGAATATGTGTTTGATCCAAGAAGCGGTTCTGACTGCTATACCCGAAAGGGAGTGTGTTCTATAGTGAATATATTTGATGAATGTAATACTGATGTATTGAGTAATTGTTGTTGTTGTTGCCCTTTGTTGTTATGTTCTCTTATGTGAATTCAAAATAGTCTTGCATGGAGCCCTTGTGAGTCCCTTTCTCCTCAATGATGTGCAAGACTTTTAAACAAGTCATGGTTGGGGGGGGGACAGGGCTTGATGGAAGACAAGATTTAAGATAAAAATAATATCAAAAATGTATTTAAGGTATACAGATTGTTTTGATGTACAAATATATAACATCTCAACTATTGCATTTGTCATTTTTTATTTTACTCTCGAATATGAGTGATTTTCTTATTTGCCAATCATTTTCACCAGAGGTGAGATGTAAGAATGTAGACAGTGGCTCTGTATCTGTTTTAAATTATGACAGTTTTTTCAACTCTCTGCTATTTTAACTTTCTTTAAAATGATGTTAGAATGAAATGTGAATTTACCTTTTCTCCAAAACAAATGTTTCAATGAATTCCTCTCTTCAGTCTTCATAACAATAGCTCTGATTCCTTCAAATCCAAAAATAGAAGTGGCAATCACTTTTTAAACAAAGACAATTCCAACACTCACCATCTTCAAATAAATCATCGATCTCTTCAATTTGACTTCTAGGACTACAATGTGTCATCTCTACTGAATGTATCACGTGACCCCACACGTACATTAGATGCAGGGAGTACACACGGAAGCCTGAAGAGCGGGAAAAGTGTTGCAACAACAGATGATGTCAGGGAACTCAGAGATGCATATTTTGAAATGTGAGTAGAGTGTATGATGTATATGTATATAAGGAGGAATGTACAGTTCTTGTCTGAAATCGTATAATATTTCTTAATAGACCCGAAGACACAGGTACATGTACATGTAGCTCTATTATGGATTAAAATGGAAATTATGAATTCTGGTCTCAGTCTGGTTATCCAATAAGAATGCTGCCTTATGATTTTGAATCTTATTAAAACAAATTGTTTGAATTTCAAGACCAGTCATTGCATTTCTTGCCATTTTCTTTTTTGAGTAAATGAACTTGGAATTTGCTAACTGACTTTGTTTTGTTTGTTGTTTTCAGTGAGAAAAGACTTGAAGAACAAAGAAGAAGATATGAAGAGCAGAATAGGTAAATATAGTATTAGAATATTACCCTGATGCCCAGAGAGTAGTAATTATTACCCTTTCAATAGGAAAGACAAGTTTTAAATATTACTTCAGAATTAGGATGTCAGATTTCTGCAGTAAAACCCTTGTATGGGTACACTTCTAATTGAATATGAACATCAAACAGGATTTTAGTTCCATTTTTGAGTCATGGCTTTAGGACCTAAAAGTGAACACCTCTCAGGCCCGTAGCCAGGGGGGCCACTTTTTAAGTGATTTTGGCCATTTTTGAACCTAAATTGTCAAAAGTGAACCCCCCTGGAATTTTTCAAAAGTGAACCCCCCTTGGCAAATCCTGGCTATGGGTCTACCTCTGAATGTGAACACTTATGCTATCCCCAGCAGCGTTTATGAAAGATGGGCTTAACCATAAGTTTTTATAATTTCCAGTCACAACACAGTCCTTATGATGGAAATGCAAGACACCATCAATCAACTTCAGCGTGAGATTTCAACCATCGACAAAGAACGCCAAGACCAAAAAGAGGCTACATCATCACCAGAGCCATCTATTATGTTCACGCGTCTTGATGTAGAACGAAATACAAAGGTTATCAAACGAGCAGGAGATGAAGGGAGGTTGCCGAATGCTGTGATACAAGATGCTGTTAAGAATATGGAAGACTACAGTAGTCTACCTGCACGGAGATTGGTACATCTCGTCCAGAAATATGTCCATCACTGCCAAATGAAGGATATTGAAGGTATGTAAGATTCAAAAATATTCACTGCAATTCTACATTTACAATGTACTCTGTTGTGTAGCATCTATACACCCCTGTATGTGTTACATTAAGTTTTATGAAGAAGATTTGGACAAAAATCAACTTTCTTTATCGCACCTGAATAGCCTGACAACGGTAAAGCTAGATACCTTTGTCACAAATGGCGGACATTCTGTTGTCATTGGATATGAACATAAAATGAAACATGAAATGAGCTAAATACATGCACAGAATTAGCAACGATAAAATCCCATGAAATGAGGACCAAGTGATTAAAGAATTGAATCGACGGTTGTGTCCGCCATTTGTGACAACGGTATTTGACTTTACCGTTGTCATGCTATTCCAGTGTGTTTATGGCTCATCCGCGAGAGGAAAATATTTAAACATGTGAACTTGTTATAAAAACATGTGTTAATTTTACATTTGAAATGTGTTATATGTACATGTACATATCATGTAAGAAGTTGGCAGTGAGTAGAGTAGGATGCAAAAATAACCCAATTGACATCTATATTTTAAAGTAGAGCCAGTTCAGTTTTTCCATCGTGTGACATGGTCAGGAAGGAGACATTCATGAACGAAAATCTCCATCCTCTGTCAAATAAAATTCATTAAAAGTTAAACGCATTATATATAACTGTTAAATTTCTAGTTGTTTTATATCATATGAAGAATTATAGAGATTTAAGTTATGTTTTTGCTAAATGTTGACATTTGTATTTTCAGAAAATGTTCGTAAAAGTCGTAGTTTAAACGACAATGTATTCATGATCTTGGATAAGATGGAATCTCTACAAAATAAGGTATGTACTAAACTTATATAATTAAACACATAAAGGTAAAAAAACACAGAAAGCCTGAGTGGCAAATTATATATAGAAAATTATTTCAAGAAAAAATACTGGATCGAATCTTGGTGCTTTCATGTTGACATTGAATTATGATTTGAAAAAAATTCTAATTTAGTTTCATGTTGGGTATAAATGAAAAAACACTCAGGGCCGGGAATCGAACATTGCGTGGCAGGCGAGCATTCTACCACTGAACCACCAGTGCTTTCATGTTAACACTCAATTATGATTTGAAAAAATTATAGTTGAGAGCTTCCTGTTGGGTATAAATGCAAAAACATTGCACTGGCCGGGAATCGAACCCGGGCCGCCCATGTGGCAGGCGAGCATTCTACCACTGAACCACCAGTGCTTTCATGTTAACACTCAATTATGATTTGAAAAAATTGCAGTTGAGAGCTTCCTGTTGGGTATAATTGCAAAAACATTGCACTGGCCGGGAATCGAACCCAGCCGCCCGCGTGGCAGGCGAGCATTCTACCACTGAACCACCAGTGCTTTCATGTTAACACTCAGTTATGCTTTGAAAAATTGTAGTTTAGAGCTTCCTGTTGGATGTAAATGCAAAAACATTGCACTGGCCGGGAATCGAACCCGGGCCGCCCGCGTGGCAGGCGAGCATTCTACCACTGAACCACCAGTGCTTTCATGTTAACACTCAGTTATGCTTTGAAAAAATTGTAGTTTAGAGCTTCCTGTTGGATGTAAATGCAAAAACATTGCACTGGCCGGGAATCGAACCCGGGCCGCCCGCGTGGCAGGCTTCTACCACTGAACCACCAGTGCTTTCATGTTAACACTCAATTATGATTTGAAAAAATTGTAGTTGAGAGCTTCCTGTTGGGTATAAATGCAAAAACATTGCACTGGCCGGGAATCGAACCCACCAGTGCTTTCATGTTAACACTCAATTATGATTTGAAAAAATTGCAGTTGAGAGCTTCCTGTTGGGTATAAATGCAAAAACATTGCACTGGCCGGGAATCGAACCCGGGCCGCCCGCGTGGCAGGCGAGCATTCTACCACTAAACCACCAGTGCTTTCATGTTAACACTCAATTATGATTTGAAAAATTTGTAGTTGAGAGCTTCCTGTTGGGTATAAATGCAAAAAGATTGCACTGGCCGGGAATCGAACCTGGGCCGCCGCATTCTACCACTGAACCACCAGTGCTTTCATGTTAACACTCAATTATGATTTGAAAAAATTGCAGTTGAGAGCTTCCTGTTGGGTATAAATGCAAAAACATTGCACTGGCCGGGAATCGAGCCCAGGCCGCCCGCGTGGCAGGCGAGCATTCTACCACTGAACCACCAGTGCTTTCATGTTAAAACTCAATTATGATTTGGAAAATTGGAGTTGAAAGCTTCCTGTTGGGTATAAATGCAAAAACATTGCACTGGCCGGGAATCGAACCCGGGCCGCCCGCGAGGCAGGCGAGCATTCTACCACTGAACCACCAGTGCTTTCATGTTAACACTCAGTTATGCTTTGAAAAAATTGTAGTTTAGAGCTTCCTGTTGGATGTAAATGCAAAAACATTGCACTGGCTGGGAATCGAACCCGGGCCTCCCGCGTGGCAGGCTTCTACCACTGAACCACCAGTGCTTTCATGTTAACACTCAATTATGATTTGAAAAAATTGTAGTTGAGAGCTTCCTGTTGGGTATAAATGCAAAAACATTGCACTGGCCAGGAATCGAACCCGGGCCGCCCGCGTGGCAGGCGAGCATTCTACCACTGAACCACCAGTGCTTTCATGTTAACACTCAATTATGATTTGAAAAAATAGTACTTTGGGGATTCCTGTTGGATGTAAATGCAAAAACATTGCACTGGCCGGGAATCGAACCAGGCCGCACGCGTGGCAGGCGAGCATTCTACCACTGAACCACCAGTGCTTTCATGTTAACACTCAATTATGATTTGAAAAATTTGTAGTTGAGAGCTTCCTGTTGGGTATAAATGCAAAAAGATTGCACTGGCCAGGAATCGCACCTGGGCCGCCGCATTCTACCACTGAACCACCAGTGCTTTCATGATAACACTCAATTATGATTTGAAAAAATTGCAGTTGAGAGCTTCCTGTTGGGTATAAATGCAAAAACATTGCACTGGCCGGGAATCGAACCCGGGCCGCCCGCGTGGCAGGCGAGCATTCTACCACTGAACCACCAGTGCTTTCATGTTAACACTCAATTATGATTTGAAAAAATTGCAGTTGAAAGCTTCCTGTTGGGTATAAATGCAAAAACATTGCACTGGCCGGGAATCAAACCCGGGCCGCCCGCGTGGCAGGCGAGCATTCTACCACTGAACCACCAGTGCTTTCATGTTAACACTCAGTTATGCTTTGAAAAAATTGTAGTTTAGAGCTTCCTGTTGGATGTAAATGCAAAAACATTGCACTGGCCGGGAATCGAACCCGGGCCGCCCGCGTGGCAGGCTTCTACCACTGAACCACCAGTGCTTTCATGTTAACACTCAATTATGATTTGAAAAAATTGTAGTTGAGAGCTTCCAGTTGGGTATAAATGCAAAAACATTGCACTGGCCGGGAATCGAACCCACCAGTGCTTTCATGTTAACACTCAATTATGACTTGAAAAAATTGCAGTTGAGAGCTTCCTGTTGGGTATAAATGCAAAAACATTGCACTGGCCGGGAATCGAACCCGGGCCGCCCGCGTGGCAGGCGAGCATTCTACCACTGAACCACCAGTACTTACATGTTAACACTCAATTATGATTTGAAAAAATTGTAGTTTAGAGCTTCCTGTTGGATGTAAATGCAAAAACATTGCACTGGCCGGGAATCGAACCCGGGCCGCCGCATTCTACCACTGAACCACCAGTGCTTTCATGTTAACACTCAATTATGATTTGAAAAAATTGTAGTTGAGAGCTTCCTGTCGGATGTAAATGAAAAAAAACATTGCACTGGCTGGGAATAAAACCCAAAATTGTTTGATTCAAATGGGTTGGTTTTTAATTGCTAAATATTTTAATTTTTTATTTAATGTTAGAGGGCACAGAAGTGGGCTGACCGCATGGATGAAATGGGATCAGAGAGACTCAGGCTGGCAAACCTGCTTATGGAGACACTGAATGGCATTGAACAAGAGTCTGGCATATTCCTCATTAAACCAATGTACTCATATAAAGCCAGGTATGTACCCATTTAGCACCTTTAATGTCCATTGTTTTCTTAGTGAAGTTCTACTTTCTTTTTACTAGTTTTAGAAGGACCTATCCCTTCATCTGATTGGCTCTAAATATTTCAAAGGAAAATATTTTTTTTATTGCAAGGAGGATTGGAAACCAAAATTCAAACTCGATATCCTATTATCTGGACTGGAACAATTTGGTAATACTATTTTTATAAAGTTCATCTTGGGACCAAGTACTGTATCTAGTCTATAAATATACTTTACAAGTACTGTGGTAATATTCAACTTCTATGACAGTACTATTCTTCAACATATGAGAAATATTGTTACCAAAATGATCTATGCAAGGCAACAGAATATCGAGTTTGAATTTTAGCTGCCAATCCTCTTTGGTTTTATTGATGGGAGCTAAACATATCAGTATGTTACATCTCACTTGATATGCATGAACTTTTCTCAGTATGATGGCATTTCACCTCAATTCTACTGTGATGTCATAAAAACAGTTGCTATTGCAAATTACATTGTCAACAAACTTCAAATTGATTGTTCAAATCTTATTTCAGGTTAGTATTATTCAATTTCAAATATCTTTTTCTTGATTGAATATTAGTTGGAATATGTATATATTTTGCAAGACAATGTGTGCAATGAGATTCTTTTTTATATATTTTCATGAGACATTCCTGCAATCAGAGTGAGTACTCCTGGTGTTCTTGAAATAAGTTTTCCAAAAGGTCCAGAAAAAGTGACTCACTGATGAACTTATAGATTACTCTTTAATGCTTACATTTATATGTTTTATAGGGCATTAACTGATAAATATCAGGCTAAAGTGAGTCAAAAGGCCTATAGACCCCCTAGAGAGTTGTCCCCCCTCCCAGGGCATGGCAGGCATAGTCAACAGAGCCATCTAGCACCTGCCCCCACACCATCCTCAAATGCCAGAGGGTACAACAAATCTGATAAGGTAACGTTATGTGGGATCCCCTCCCAAAAACAGATGCATAGTTTTTATATTTATTTATTGATCTATTTGTTTATTTATTTTTATTTATTTATTAATAAGATTCATGCCAAAGCTTTTTACTATACATCACATACACAACCAGCTACCATATATCAGTAATCACAATGGAAAATGTAGAGATTTATATGGGAGCTTTGCAAATTCATTTTTGATATCATACAATTTGTTTCATGCTCAAAGAATGCTTTTAATTTCAGGTCATGTCTGAAGAGCGTAAAGCCTCCCCAGATGACCCTGGCGCGGGAATTCTAGGAGCAGCACCCAACTGGGTGGGTGAACAGCCAACATCTTCATGGAATGTAAGTCTATGTTGATTTCTGTATTTCCTCTGTATAAACCCTGACCCTTTTTGAATGTGAATGAATTATTGCAACAAATCATGATTGGAATAATAAATTCACTCCATGCAACATCAACTCTGTACCAATGTACCAATGAAGGGGGTTAAGAGCTACTGTAGATTGGTAGGCAGGTGGTGAACTACACTGTAACTCCTTTTTAAGTGTCTCAAATATTGATATCAGTGATCTCACCAGCATTAAAGCAAATGGCGCAGCACCCACCTGAGATTTGAAAATAGGCTTGCACCAAATTGAAAATCTGCATCTACCCTAAAATGAGAAAAAATCATGAAAATTGGGCATATTGTGACCAATTTTGGTCTGAATTTTGAAAATTATAATTTTTCACCCACTTGAGAAAAAATCCTGTGGAGATCACTGGATATGTGCTTCATGTATTTATCTGTGCCTCATGTTAATAGATGCCTTATATTTATTTCATGTGCCTCATATAATCACACATCTTCATATATTTATAGCCCGGGGCATCTGAGGCGGCAGAATTACCTGATGAACATCTATTCCGTATCAACAACCTCATGAACACGCCTAAGATACTAGAGATGGACGTCAACAGAATGCTCATAGGACAAAATAACATAAGGTAATAATAATATCCAAAATACTCAAAATATCAGCAAGTGGTGACAATGCATGTGACATCCATTTCTTGTCACCACCACAAGTGGTGACATATTGTTATGGTTTTCAACTTTTTTGGTGACATTGACTGGGGCAGTGGTTGGCATTCAGAGTTCGGCATATGATGACATTTTGCATGTTAATGCCTTGTTGTGACCTGTATTTGTCATTTTGGTGTTTTGCATGAGCATCTGTGACAAATGGTTGCACTTTTGTAATTTGTAATTGTGACATTTTTTATTCTATGCTTGTTTGTATACTGTTAATGCATAATCCAGCTACAATATACAATTATATTAGGAACCCTAACTATGTAGGAACCATGTTATGTGTACTATACATGAATACAATTTCCATGAAAAGATTAATTTGCTGTCACAAATAAAAAATATATTTCTATTTTGGGCATCAAGAGTTTGCTTATATTCCTAGTTTGATTCATATACTACATGTATAGGCTTTGTATTGTTTTTAGTGCCAAAATCATTGGTGGTAGCCCTACCTCCATTGCATCTAACCTCCGCTCATATGTCAGTGTACAAAGGCAGCCGCAGAATGGACCAATCAAAAAAGATCATTTGAGGCCAAAATCTACAGGTATTGAAAACTCACCTACCTAGAAGACATTAATTAGCATATTTAAATCTATTTATTTATCTATTTTGGCAGATATATATTTGTATGCTTTATTTTTTACTAGAAAGTTTGAAGATATGATACAAAAATGCTAGACATATTATTTAATTGCTCTTGGCCTTGTACTCTGAATATAAAAATTTATATATATGATAGTTCCATCAATGAAATTTTGTTCTATGTTTTGATTTGTAGACTACGTATCTTCAATGGACATAGCTTTAATGAATGAATATAGACAACGTATGAAAATCTTTATTTTCTACATTTTGCATGTGTGCTGCACTTGGCATGTTTCTAATTTGATATATCACATCGAAAATCTATTGATTTGAGATTGGAGATCTATATAAGCATGGTGTCCAATTTATCAATAGTTGTAGAATAGCGGAATTAGTTTCATCAGGGAAGGGGGTAAATTATGGTTTTATTTGATAAAGAGAGGGGTTGTGAACTCTAACAAAATTAACTTCATTTTTCTATGACTGTTGATAATTGAACACCATCACTAAGGGAGTTAGTGTTGGCCTCTTATTTGATGATAGACCTCCAAACGGAAATAGCTGTTTTTCTGATACTGTCATATTAGAATTAGAAGAATTTGATTCTATGAATTATGGAAAAAAATCAATCAATATTTTTCATAAATCATAGAATCTTTATCTTGATTTGACGTGAGAAAATATGTAATGGCACTCATTTTTTGGAAATAAAAACAGTAAACAACCGAAAAATGAGCGAGTAATGAATTAAATAGGTAGTTAATGAGGTCTCTAAATTGTATAGATTTCAAAAATTTAGAGATGTAGGCATGATTAGAGAGAAACTCTTGATGTGTTTTTGTCATTGTGCATGTAATGTTGAAAGTTTGTGATTTAATTAATTAATGATCACAAGTAATGAGCATTCTGTACAGTATTGTAATTTGTGTGAGTTTATCAAAATATCTATTAAAATGTGGCAATGTCAGCAACTGTATTGTTTACATGTACAGGATATATGCATGTTGTGTACATTGGGCTGTTTCTTATAGATAGAGGGGCACACAATTTTTGCAATTCAATCATCTTACTTGAATTGAATTTCAAAAATTGTTGTTAATAATATATTTAACATATACAGAAATTATGAATGACATGATGTTTAAATCTCATCTATTGTATAAAGATTGTCAAATGAAAAAAAGAAATGGAATTGACAATAACTGCAATATTCATTACATTTACGAATTAATTTTTATAAACCTTTCTGAGTTTGATATTTATGCAATTGAAAATATGTTCAGTAAAAGAGAATATTATCTGCCCCAATACAAGAGAAGATATTTCACTTTCATGATTTTATAACATGGGCTCTGTGGGAATCTACCGGACCTAGAAGTCACATTTTCAAAGAAAACTTAAAGAAACAATTTCAAAACAACATTTCTAGATTTGGTTCTATATGTAGATTTGAAATCTGATATCAATTTGACTAAATTCCGAACATTCAATGAATATGACAATTTTTATACTGCAGTACTCAAAAGACATGCCACATTCTTGAGTGTTAATTTTCATTAATTAATTAAGAATGTGCATTAACTTTAATAGAACAAGGCACAAGTGTTCAAATTAAAAATATATGCATATACTAGTAATTACATGTATACTGTTGTATACCATGATCCAAATCTGGAGGTAATTCTTATTAATCTGGTTTTGCACATTACCTTAAGTTATCATCTTTTATCTTATACTAAGTCAATATTTAGTTTCACTGTACCTTTCCCTGGTTAACATATAAATACACATATATTTCAGGTGGTATTGATTCAAGTGCTGCACCTCCCCCTGGTTAACATATAATAAATACAAATATATTTCAGGTGGTATTGATTCAAGTGCTGCACCTCCCACCACTCCTATGCGAGACAGTTTACCACAAAGTGCCGCCAGTATGAAAAGGGCAAGGTTCTCTGATATGGATGGTCATGTCTCAAAATCCCTACCTAATACACCCCCACCTTTACCCCCAATTACCCGGCAATCTACAAAGAGTTCAGGTAAGATTCAGTCATGTTTTTTTGTAAAGTGAATTTCCACTATTCTATTCATGTACTGTCATCATGCATCGAATTTAGTAGCTGGATGGGATATATCCTATATGATTTGAAATATGATTTGCATTTGAATAATGAATGTCTTATTTTATTCATTGTACAGTAGATGTACATTTATTAATAGTGATTTTATTTTAACATTGTATTGTGTTTCATATTGTATAACATTTACCCAAACTTAGACTCTAGATATGCACACTAGTCATCAGTTTAAGAATAGTTAATTAATGTATTGATAAGCAACATGGAATAAGCAAGCATAAGTCATGTATGTATGCACACAGTATGCAAATGGGTCATCGGAGACAAATTGCATTAAGCTTAAAATCCAATTGAAATAATGGTTATTATTTAACTGAAATAATATACATTTCAGGACTCTCAATATCTGTTGATATTTCTTATAAATCACTGGATTGATTGTACCTTACATGTAAACATAAGTATATTTGCAACCCAAACCTGTTTTTTCTGAGTTTCTTATCCCATCATGTTTCCATTTCTGTGATTTTACTTATTACCAAGCATTTTCAAACCCATTTTTCAATGTTCAAATCTGCATTTTTCAAACTTTTGTTTCTGTTTTACCTTTGAAAAACATGTTTCAGTTTTGCATTTCCAAACCCTTGTTTCCTATTTTGCATTTTCAAACCCATGTTTTCAATTTTTCATTTCTGAACCCATGTTTTCAAGTTTGCATTTCCAAGCCATTTGTTTTCAGTGTTGCATGTTTTTAAACCCATGTTTTCAATTTTCCATTTCCAAGCCCATGTTTCCTGTTGTGCATTTCCATACCCAAGTTTCCTGTCTTGCATTTTTAAACCCATGTTTTTAAACTTTGCATTTTTAAACCCATGTTTTTAAACTTTGCATTTTTAAACCCATGTTTTTAAACTTTGCATTTTTAAACCCACGTTTTCAGTTTTGCATTTTCAACCCCAGCAAACCACAGCTCATTATTAATAATTGGTTACCCTGTATTGTGCATATCAAACTGTCCATTGATTAATAAATTTAATATTTATTCTTAATGACGAATGGATGATTCTACATCATATTATATTGAAGCATCAGGCATAGATCATACATAACCCTTTTTTTTTATTAATTTCCACAAATGATATATCAGCTTTTTACCATCAATATCCTAATTTGACAGTAAAGATGGAATTATATTTTTGTGGTGTTTAAAGTGTCACTAAGTCTCTGGATATTCATGATATTAGTAGGGTTTAAAGTTCAGTAAAGAGGCAATTGTAAATTCAGTCTCCAAGATTAATCTAACAGTCACCCATGTATGCAGCAACCACTAACCAGTGGATAACTTGAAAATTATCTCTTACCCAAAAAACTTCAGCTTAAAATTCATTTGCTTTCAGAAATACATTTCAAAGATTTGTGTACTCTATATTCCATGTTATGAACATTGTGTGTCAATTGTATGTTTTAACAAAGTGAACATTTTAACATTATTGTATTAATGTATGTTTTACCTAATATTAGGTGCATGAGTTTTGTGTATGTTTTAACAGATAGGTGTATGTTTTAGATTGGAGTGAAGACTCAGAAAGTGTCTTACCTGCAACCCCTGTTGTTTAATTAAGGTGTGTCTCTAAACACTATTTGTCTAAGTCCAGTACTTGTCTACTTTTACATTGTATGTCTTAACACTGTTGTGTCTGTGTGTCTAAGCAATGTTCATCTAAACCCAGTGTTTGTCTTAACTCTCACACTGTTTGTCTAAACATTGTTCATCTAAACCCAGTGTTTGTCTTAACTCTCACACTGTTTGTCTAAACACTGTTCATCTAAACCCAGTGCTTGTCTTAACTTTCACACTGTTTGTCTAAACACTGTTCATCTAAACCCAGTTTTTGTCTTAACTTTCACACTGTTTGTCTAAACACTGTTCATCTAAACCAAGTGCTTGTCTTAACTTTCACACTGTTTGTCTAAACACTGTTCATCTAAACCAAGTGCTTGTCTTAACTTTCACACTGTTTGTCTAAACACTGTTCATCTAAACCGAGTGCTTGTCTTAACTTTCACACTGTTTGTCTAAACACTGTTCATCTAAACCAAGTGCTTGTCTTAACTCTCACACTGTTTGTCTAAACACTGTTCATCTAAACCCAGTTTTTGTCTTAACTTTCACACTGTTTGTCTAAACACTGTTCATCTAAACCAAGTGCTTGTCTTAACTCTCACACTGTTTGTCTAAACACTGTTCATCTAAACCCAGTTTTTGTCTTAACTTTCACACTGTTTGTCTAAACACTGTTCATCTAAACCAAGTGCTTGTCTTAACTCTCACACTGTTTGTCTAAACACTGTTCATCTAAACCTAGTTTTTGTCTGAACTCTCACACTGTTTGTCTCAACACTGTTTTTCTAAACCCAGTTTTTGTCTTAACTTTCACACCGTTTATCTAAACACTGTTCATCTAAACCCAGTTTTTGTCTTAACTTTCACATTGTTTGTCTAAACACTGTTCATCTAATCCCAGTGCTTGTCTTATCTTTCACACTGTTTGTCTAAACACTGTTCTTCTAACCCAGTGCTTGTCTTAACTTTCACACTGTTTGTCTAAACGCTGTTCATCTAATCCCAGTGCTTGTCTTAACTTTCACACTGTTTGTCTAAACACTGTTCGTTTAAACCCAAGTGCTTTTCTTAACTTTCACACTGTTTGTCTAAACACTGTTCGTTTAAACCCAAGTGCTTGTCTTAACTTTCACACTGTTTGTCTAAACACTGTTCTTCTAAACCCAGTTTTTGTCTTAACTTTCACACCGTTTATCTAAACATTGTTCATCTAAACCCAGTTTTTGTCTTAACTTTCACATTGTTTGTCTAAACACTGTTCATCTAATCCCAGTGCTTGTCTTATCTTTCACACTGTTTGTCTAAACACTGTTCTTCTAACCCAGTGCTTGTCTTAACTTTCACACTGTTTGTCTAAACGCTGTTCATCTAATCCCAGTGCTTGTCTTAACTTTCACACTGTTTGTCTAAACACTGTTCTTCAAAACCCAGTTTTTGTCTTAACTTTCACATTGTTTGTCTAAACACTGTTCATCTAATCCCAGTGCTTGTCTTATCTTTCACACTGTTTGTCTAAACACTGTTCTTCTAACCCAGTGCTTGTCTTAACTTTCACACTGTTTGTCTAAACGCTGTTCATCTAATCCCAGTGCTTGTCTTAACTTTCACACTGTTTGTCTAAACGCTGTTCATCTAATCCCAGTGCTTGTCTTAACTTTCACACTGTTTGTCTAAACACTGTTCTTCTAACCCAGTGCTTGTCTTAACTTTCACACTGTTTGTCTAAACGCTGTTCTTCTAACCCAGTGCTTGTCTTAACTTTCACACTGTTTGTCTAAACGCTGTTCATCTAATCCCAGTGCTTGTCTTAACTTTCACACTGTTTGTCTAAACGCTGTTCATCTAATCCCAGTGCTTGTCTTAACTTTCACACTGTTTGTCTAAACGCTGTTCATCTAATCCCAGTGCTTGTCTTAACTTTCACACTGTTTGTCTAAACGCTGTTCATCTAATCCCAGTGCTTGTCTTAACTTTCACACTGTTTGTCTAAACGCTGTTCATCTAATCCCAGTGCTTGTCTTAACTTTCACACTGTTTGTCTAAACGCTGTTCATCTAATCCCAGTGCTTGTCTTAACTTTCACACTGTTTGTCTAAACACTGTTCTTCAAAACCCAGTTTTTGTCTTAACTTTCACATTGTTTGTCTAAACACTGTTCATCTAATCCCAGTGCTTGTCTTATCTTTCACACTGTTTGTCTAAACACTGTTCATTTAAACCCAAGTGCTTGTCTTAACTTTCACACTGTTTGTCTAAACACTGTTCGTTTAAACCCAAGTGCTTTTCTTAACTTTCACACTGTTTGTCTAAACACTGTTCGTTTAAACCCAAGTGCTTGTCTTAACTTTCACACTGTTTGTCTAAACACTGTTCTTCTAAACCCAGTTTTTGTCTTAACTTTCACACCGTTTATCTAAACATTGTTCATCTAAACCCAGTTTTTGTCTTAACTTTCACATTGTTTGTCTAAACACTGTTCATCTAATCCCAGTGCTTGTCTTATCTTTCACACTGTTTGTCTAAACACTGTTCTTCTAACCCAGTGCTTGTCTTAACTTTCACACTGTTTGTCTAAACGCTGTTCATCTAATCCCAGTGCTTGTCTTAACTTTCACACTGTTTGTCTAAACACTGTTCTTCAAAACCCAGTTTTTGTCTTAACTTTCACATTGTTTGTCTAAACACTGTTCATCTAATCCCAGTGCTTGTCTTATCTTTCACACTGTTTGTCTAAACACTGTTCTTCTAACCCAGTGCTTGTCTTAACTTTCACACTGTTTGTCTAAACGCTGTTCATCTAATCCCAGTGCTTGTCTTAACTTTCACACTGTTTGTCTAAACGCTGTTCATCTAATCCCAGTGCTTGTCTTAACTTTCACACTGTTTGTCTAAACACTGTTCTTCTAACCCAGTGCTTGTCTTAACTTTCACACTGTTTGTCTAAACGCTGTTCTTCTAACCCAGTGCTTGTCTTAACTTTCACACTGTTTGTCTAAACGCTGTTCATCTAATCCCAGTGCTTGTCTTAACTTTCACACTGTTTGTCTAAACGCTGTTCATCTAATCCCAGTGCTTGTCTTAACTTTCACACTGTTTGTCTAAACGCTGTTCATCTAATCCCAGTGCTTGTCTTAACTTTCACACTGTTTGTCTAAACGCTGTTCATCTAATCCCAGTGCTTGTCTTAACTTTCACACTGTTTGTCTAAACGCTGTTCATCTAATCCCAGTGCTTGTCTTAACTTTCACACTGTTTGTCTAAACGCTGTTCATCTAATCCCAGTGCTTGTCTTAACTTTCACACTGTTTGTCTAAACACTGTTCTTCAAAACCCAGTTTTTGTCTTAACTTTCACATTGTTTGTCTAAACACTGTTCATCTAATCCCAGTGCTTGTCTTATCTTTCACACTGTTTGTCTAAACACTGTTCATTTAAACCCAAGTGCTTGTCTTAACTTTCACACTGTTTGTCTAAACGCTGTTCATCTAATCCCAGTGCTTGTCTTAACTTTCACACTGTTTGTCTAAACACTGTTCGTTTAAACCCAAGTGCTTGTCTTAACTTTCACACTGTTTGTCAAAACACTTCTTCTAAACCCAGTGCTTGTCTTAACTTTCACACTTCTTCAAAACCCAGTGCTTGTCTTAACTTTCACACTGTTTGTCTAAACGCTGTTCATCCAAACCCAGTGCTTGTCTTAACTTTCACACTGTTTGTCTAAACACTGTTCGTTTAAACCCAAGTGCTTTTCTTAACTTTCACACTGTTTGTCTAAACACTTCTTCTAAACCCAGTGCTTGTCTTAACTTTCACACTGTTTGTCTAAACGCTGTTCATCCAAACCCAGTGCTTGTCTTAACTTTCACACTGTTTGTCTAAACACTGTTCGTTTAAACCCAAGTGCTTGTCTTAACTTTCACACTGTTTGTCTAAATACTGTTCTTCTAACCCAGTGCTTGTCTTAACTTTCACACTGTTTGTCTAAACGCTGTTCATCTAATCCCAGTGCTTGTCTTAACTTTCACACTGTTTGTCTAAACACTGTTCTTCAAAACCCAGTGCTTGTCTTAACTTTCACACTGTTTGTCTAAACACTGTTCTTCTAACCCAGTGCTTGTCTTAACTTTCACACTGTTTGTCTAAACGCTGTTCATCTAATCCCAGTGCTTGTCTTAACTTTCACACTGTTTGTCTAAACACTGTTCTTCAAAACCCAGTGCTTGTCCTAACTTTCACACTGTTTGTCTAAACACTGTTCATTTAAACCCAAGTGCTTTTCTTAACTTTCACACTGTTTGTCTAAACACTGTTCATTTAAACCCAAGTGCTTTTCTTAACTTTCACACTGTTTGTCTAAACACTGTTCATCTAAACCCAGTGCTTGTCTTAACTTTCACACTGTTTGTCTAAAAACTGTTCGTTTAAACCCAAGTGCTTTTCTTAAATTTCACACTGTTTGGCTGAACGATGTTCATCTAAACCCAGTGCTTGTCTTAACTTTCACACTGTTTGTCTAAAGACTATTTGCCTAAGCCCAGTGTCTGTCAAACTACTCACTACCATTTATCTAACTTATCTAAGCAACATTTGTCACAAGCTTTCCTTCTTCAAAATATGAAGTATCAGGTGCTGAGGTATTCGAAATATAATATGGGATAAAGAATCCGGAATCATTCTAAATTAGAGTGTATTTAAATGCATTTCAGTATTTTAAAAACTAAGTACAGTACATGCCTCTATGCACATATACTATAGAATTTTATATTGTATACATTTTATTTAGTTCTTGGGAACTACATGTATATTGTAAACATTTAATTAAACATTTTGCCTCTCTTTCAGATCTACCAGTACCTCCTGCCTCACCCCCTGGCTCTTCTCTCCGTCAATCTCCACCAATCATGAATGACGATGATGATATCATTCCTAGTCATGTGACCAAAGTCATCGCAACATCTTCAAAGGGGGAGCTGACCTTAGACAATATGAATCCAGAAACATGATTGATAATGTATTGACAATGTATAAAATATAATGAAAGCTCAATTCAATTACAAACAGTGGCAGATCTAGGCTGGAGGGCCCCAAAAGTTATTGATTTCTTAGTTTAGTCCTCAATTCATTAGGCCATAATTTGACATATGGACTCAGTTTCATTTTCAAAAATAAGCCTCATTTTTAGAAAGTTGGCTTTATTTGGAAAAAGTGCCTCGATTTTAGAAAATTATTCCTTGAGACAACTTCCAGATGATCTGCCCCTGAACATTACTACAGTCATAAGACTCAATACATAAGAGTCTACCTATTTTGTGACATGTTATCAGTAGAGGAAGATATGGGATTACAAGATACTCCACTATACAAAGAACTATGAGATTATAAGTTATCAACTTCACATGTGCTGTGTTCACTTCATTTACCATGGAGGAATGGACTGTGAAGATTATAATGTAATTTGACTGTGATATTTGAATGTGATAACAGACTTACAAATGTTTTATTTCATTTTAAGTTTTATATTTTATTTCCGTCCAAATCAAGATTTATGAAGATTTATACATTCAAAATGTATTGTACAGTGTTGTAAATAGAAAGTGTATTTGTGCAGTCAAGGTAAATAAAATTGTATAACTTATTTATGTAAAAAAATAAATTAAAAATGTTATGTGTTAAATCATGCTTGATGTGGTCTTTTATTTGAAAATTGATGAAGTCATAGTCATCTTTTTATTGTCACTACAACGGAAGTTCAGTCTAGTGCTTTGAAAATATGAAAATTGCCTCAACTGAGCCATATACAACGTTGAATATGATGAACAGTAGTGACCTATTTAATCAATGTTGATTACCTAAATATTTTCATTTTCGTTTCTGAACTTATTTAGCAGATTTTTTTTAGGAAGAATATTTATTACTTTATTTTGATCCAACATTAAGTCTGATCACTCGGAGCGTTCTCATCATATTTACCATTATATTGACAACATGAATATACAAATGAAGTGCTTAATGCCTCAAAGAAGTGGTGACATTAATCAAAACTACTGTTTTTGTGACCGGCGTTCATGTCTGTGATTACGGCTAGATCAATGGTGACATTGATATCTAGTCCAAAGAAAAGTCTCTTTTGGTTGTTAATGTTGTCGATTACTCTATTCATTTAGTTAAAGTAAAGTACAGGCATTCAATCGTAAACTGGAAAATATTCCATTAAGGTATTTTTGAAAGGCCAAACGCACATTGTAACGCATTGTAGCAAAATTGCCTGTGGTGACATATGCACACCGGAATAGCCTGACAGCGGTAAAATCAGATACCGTTGTCACAAATGGCGGACATAACCGGCGCTTCAATTAGATTTTCTTGAACTGTATGTTCAATAGGGCCGAGGCCAATATAATATGTGCCCTGTTTATCCCATACCAATCTATGTCATCTGGTTCACATTGTTTAATTGGTCACAGTTCAGAAAATGTCCAACCAAGCGTGGAAATATTTTAGAATATTTATGCCCAGTTTTGTTTTCTTGGCCGTGGGCGGATTTTCCTGTTCTTTCAGATATCCATCCACATTTATTTTCTCGACTCTTTGATTATTAACAGGATGGTCCTTCCCTTCTTTAACCCATATCGCGATTGTCTGCGTTTTCTATTGGCGTCTACCGAGTTATTATGCGAACCTACATTCGATTATGACGTAGCGGGCAGATATATAGGGGTTATGCACTGGGAGGTTTTAGATACAAGAATATCCCGAGGGATATACAATATATCTTCCCGATGGACCGAAGAGACCGAGGGAAGATGTATTGTATATCCCAAGGGATATTCCATGAATCCAAACCGACCGTGCATAACTGGTCTATCTCATACTTGAGTGGGTTTAGGGTAGATATAACCTTTTCCACCTTTTTCAAATGACAAGATATTTATATTTAACATTTTCGTAATGTTCTTTTTGTTCAATACAATGAAATTGTAACATTTAAACTTAAAAAAATTAAATTTTAAAATTAAAACTTTTGATATTTAAACTTTTTTAAACTTTTGAAAAATTCCCGGGAGCGGGATGGATATATTATATCTGCCCGCATTTGGCCTGGAGCGGGACATATACAATATGTCCTGCCCGCTCCTCAGATGCGATATATATTCCCGGGTGATATCTACCCCAAACCCACTCAAGTATGAGATACACATGTATATCCCATGTTATTTTACCAAAGAGAAAACTCATGCTATCCATTGTTTTCAGCAAGTTTTGGACCCCTTGTTGAATAATCTTTTCATGCAGTAGAAATAGGACAAAGAAGATCTTTTGAGTAGGCCCTATTAGATCCAGCATTTTGAAAATGTTGACATGGGACCCCTCTTCATAATTTTATCGAATTGTTCGATTGGTATTTTTACTATCCTTGAGAATTTACTTTTTTTACTTGAAAGATTACATATTGCGTTAATGAGAAATGTCATACTAGAACTCGTGGTAAAAGATAAGACTAAATCACTTGCCATACTATATCTGGTCCTTTCAAACGTTGGTCCAACATATATAGAAACAGTGTCCAGTGCAATCTGTCAGCTCGCGGTAGAGTAAACATCCTTTACCATTCATGAACCAATAACACAGTCCAAGACCAAAACACAATGAGACATTCCAGTCATACTGAAGTCATGAAATAACTGTTTAATGATTTATCAAGTTACATTTATATAAAAACTCGGGTCCGGGGTTTTAGCGGAATTATTTCATAAAAATTATCCAATAATGGAAATGTGAAGTACTAGCCATTGCAAAATACTGAACAAGGGTGCAATGAGTACGTAAGTTCACTCAAGAGGCGGTATTCAGTCATTCCAGATAGTAATGCCCCAATCGCAATTTTTCTGTCGCCGTGTATTTTCTCTTAAATAACACTGTGCCTGTAGTGCTAATTATTATGGTTGTATAGAATGGTTCAGTGCCTAATATTGTCACTAAAAGTTTGGCTCCATTTGTCCACATATGTGTTGTCACAATCAGTTAAAATCAGAAATTCTTAAATTACGTTATTGTCGCCAAGAAGCATTTTTAGGTATATGGAAGAAAACAGACTAAGTTTATTTATCACAATCCGTATTATATATTTTCATGCGTAACAATGATGTGTAAGAAATATTCATGCAAAGTTTCAAATCCAAATGCTAACAAGAACCTCTTCTTTTTTACGTTATAATAATGTCGCCAGATTTGTGAAAGTTACTGCCTGTTGCATGTATACCTGATATGGAGCTTATACCAATGTGACGTTTACCTTCAAACAAACATCAAATACTAGTAAACATATGAAATATTCATGAAATATACAGAATTTCGATGTATTGACCAAGATATTTCATTTGTGACTTGTCAAAAAATATTTTTTGAAACGTATGGATAAGGACTTTAAGCTACGTTACCAAATATCCAACATAATCAAAGAACGAAGGCATCGTTTTCCACATATGTTGTACTACAGCCTTTGATGACTTGATATGAGACCCTACTGTGTCAGTTAGTAGTGAATTAATAATTGATTCGCTTTAAAATGTCACAAATATTAAATAACGTTACCTTAAACTACGTGAGTCTTTTTTTACGAAACAATCCTATTTGACTTGTTATACAACTACAAGCACAATAACAATTGGTCACATGGTTAGTTTTGGTGCGCTATGGCGCCATGTTGACTCAAAGCTGTATATTATCTCTGTAAATCGACTTAATCGCATCAAAATAGTTGAAAATATGTAAGTAAATACCCAACTCCATTTACAATCTCAGTAAAGAACATTTAAATGATTTTTGGATGATAATTTTGAAGCACCTCATTCATTAGAAACATGGTATTTGTGGTGCAAGAACAAAATTTTCAATTTGAAACATATTTGGTGAAATTCGATATTAAATGTTGGATAAATTACGTTATGTTCGGTAACGTTACTTAAAACGGTTGTCAATCCTTTTCCGACTTGATTTAGAGTTTCAAATAGGAGAACATTCTTTCGGAAAATGGGTAAATCAAGAGCAGTGATTCAAAAAGCCTATATTGAATGGAAAGGAGAAAAGATGGGGAAAAGTACAGAAAGAAAGGGCGCGTGTTAAGGAAATGGTGGATCAGAAACATTTTTGAAAAAATGCAATACCTGCTCATTTTATTTTCTTGTACAAAATAAAGTATGAAGGCATGTAGAAAATTCAGGAAAGTATCGTCACAGTGTCTTCTTTTATTGAGTCGGGTAAGAGGTAAATCTTAACTCCAGGGAATGCTGAAATTTCATGAAAAACATTCAAAATGGACGTCTTTTCAATTTTCCAATGTTTTCTCAAAGTGTCTGTAGTAACTTGATTTACCATGGACCTTTTACAAAGTTTATTAAAAGAAGATAATATGATAATGTTTTCCTGAAAAACAAGGAAATGCACAAATGCCATCATACTTTATTTTCAACAGAAAATAACATATAACATGTGCAGGTATATCAATTTTTTCAAAAATGTTTTCGTTACACCATTACATTAAGTGGTTCCACATACCCAGGGTATACCACACACCGCCCCTTAAAAACGTTTGTTTCTTGCTTTGATTCATGAAGTGCAAAAATGAACCCCTGACGCAGTGACGCAGACGAACCCTATGATAATGAAGCAGCTGTTATGTACATAATTGAAAATTATACTGCTTCAGTCTATGATCGTGCTTGGTACATTGGAAAAGAAGTTAATGTGGATGGCGTGCTACGAAACATCATTCATGATTAACAGACGGGGGTATTTTTAGTGGCCTTCACCAGATGTACTCTGGGTAGCCAGACCATGTATTCTGGGTAGAACATGCAAACGTTCTTTGCCAAATAGTGGCTTTGATTCCCAAGTGGGAGAATGCTAAAGTTAAAGTTACCTGAAAGATTACCTGAGCTGATGATGAACTATTTGCCTCCAAAAATTGAATCAAGAGACAATGACGTCTGGTGTGTGATTTTGGACAGATATGATTTGAAAATATGTTTTATTGTAAACATTTACTAGTTGAGGTTGACAGTACTGTTTTAGAGACGTTTCTAGAGATGTTGAATTGAGTGATAAAGTTCTTATAAGAAGTTTACATTTTGCATAGACTTTGAACAATATATTTGCTCTCGTTATCTAATGACGACTATACTGTTTCTTAACAAGCGTTACCAAAATTTGCTGATTCGGTACTAGGATGAGGGGTCTATATACCAAGTACATTTAGCATCATTGTTATTCACAATATGTAATGATTGGTTTGGTTTTTCATTGAAATGTCTTCTTGATCAGATTTAATGACACATGGAGCTGATGTTCTAAGATGTTAGTCTACGTTACCATTCGTTTAAATATAGTACGCAAATGCTACATTTTACATGAACATAGTTTGTTTTCATAAAATTAGTTTCTCTTATATATCAAACGGACCAAATTAATTCTTTGGAAACCACTATTTTGTGCAACTGATTGAATTGAAAATGTCAGTTCCCAGCAATTAATCTACGTTACAATATAGGCATGTTCAATGCTTGAATTTCTTTACAAATAGATAACCATGACAGTATCCAATATTAGTGTTTAACAATGCAGAGATATACTCCTTTGCTCTGCTAAAAAGTATTAAACCGAGGCAATGGTCACAAAAGATTTACACTTAATGATTGAATGACAGACAAACATTATGGAAATTACAATTTTAAGGACAAACATATAAAATATTTGTAATTGAGCAAAAAAAGTTCAAAAGCCAAAATCATTAATCCTCCTGATAAGTATCAGTGCCCTAATGTCTGTACTTTAAGGTAGAAAAACATTTTATTTGGTAGCACTGTCATACATTAAGAATTATTCAAATCAATTAAGATGGTACCTATAACGTAATTTAAAATGGCACAAAAACTTTAGATTTGGACCACATATTTCAAATCAAAATTACTACGAAACCAAAAGAGTCTAAAAGCCAATTTTTTAGTATTATGCTGTAGACATATAACATCATAAAATAACAAGGTATGAAGTGAAACGGAGAAACTTTATTTTTATCATTTTCTGAAAACCGATTGGGGCATTACTATCTGGAATGACTGATTAAATCTAAATGTGTCAAGACGTAGTAGGCTATTGTGTATGATGAAGTCATTGACCTCTTTCAAATTCTAAGATGAATTCTACCCATTCAAGCTTCATTCAACTAAATACATTTTTTCACACATTCAGATGTCGATAAAGAATGAACGGACTACTTTGACATGAAATGTTTACGAAATTGAATAATGACGGTAAGGGTGTTTATGCCAACGCCTTTAAATAAATATTAGAAATCTTTCAAATAAAAATGAAACTGCCCTGGAAATCTGTTTTTGTTAGACATGTTTTGCAGAGTTACAGTATGTCCTATGTGATACCAGTTGTCATTGGCGACCCTACACCAAGTCTTGACCCTACACTAAACAAAATGCCTTCCAAGAGTAATGCCGTCTTCTATAATTCTCTTTCATGAATCTAGATAACAGAAGAAGTTACAGAGCCCGGGTTATAACTTCTTTGGTCCAAGGGTATTTCACGTCGTTCCATAAATTGAGTAATAAATGAAGTTCTTGAAAGACGGATAGGGTTACAGAGTTACAACTCGTTCTTCTCATTTCGGGGAGACAACAACAGGGTTGATATGGTAACGGCAAACAACAATGGAGGAAGCAATACACAACAGACAAACATATAAACAAACAAACGAACGGAAAGAAAGAAGCCATTGAAAATGTCAACTTCCCATTGCGTTTAATAAAAATTCCAATAAAAAAGGTTTTTAACAATAACACTCTTTGATGGAACTTATTGATCCACCTACATGTAGTTTACCCACCCACTTAATTATACCTTAAATGTACTCATGGAAGGAGTTCGACCCCAAGAAAATATTTCAAATTCTAGAGGATCACCATGACATGCTCATTGTAATAAACATAAAATAAACATCAGTATTTGACGAATACGCCTAGCACGTACTTAAAGCAAAAGGTAAAATTTCCAGCGGGGATTTCCATGACGAATGAAATTTTACACTAATTTACTTCAAGAAAATACAGGTTGAATTTAATAATAATAATTCCAATAATAATTATTAGTTTACGCAGAGAAATGTGACTGATCATGAGGCAAAACACTCAGGGGTGGGATCTAAATGTTCAATAAATCTAGTTGGGGGGGGGGGGGGGGGGGGTCACAGCCATTTCAGTTTTCTACCTGACAAATATCAACATTTCATTTTTTTGCAATTTTGACTTTCTTCATCAAATTGCATGCGACATGGAATATTATGCCCCCGATTATGCCCAAAGTTGCAGTTGTTGTCACATGTTTTAAGAATTCTAAATAAGTTATGGTTATGCCCCCAGTACTCATGAGCGCACTTTTGCCAGAGTGCTCATTTATTACTATTTGAGCGCTATTTTAGTACTCATTTTGTGAAAAATAAGGTGCAATATTAGTACTGTTTTAGTAACAATATTTTAAGCACTCATTTAGTACTACTTGAGTGCTATTTTAGTACTAAAAAATTGCTCATTTAGTACTAAAGAATTACTCATTTTCTCAAAAATAAGCACTAAATTATTAGTTATTATTCTAGCTTGAAATTATTTCATATGCTTTGTTCAATTTCTTAACCTTGACGTAAGGAACTCACTTACTTTTCTCTAATGACGTATTGATTACCCATTTCATGCTTACTAATCTTTATAATTTCTCAAATATATATCTTTGACTTACTCTTAATTATTAAGAGCAGGGTTTATATATTTCCTTTTCTCAAGAATGGAGCGATATGGTGTCTGCAATTTTCTTTTCTAGCTTCATTCTGTTCCATGAAATAGCTACAGCAATTCGAATTTTTTGAAAAGTTTAAAGACGTGTTTATCCATGTTTTCATTTAATTGAAATGTAATTTATGACGTATTTTGTATTTTATTTCATCGATTACAAAGATAAATTAAATTAACTTTGATTAGATTTTTCGATCCTTTTTATCACTCATGGCATGAGTACTCATTTAGGGCTGAAAAATCAATTGTATGAATACTATTTTATCACTCATGATATGGGTACTCATTTAGCGCTGAAAATCAATTTTATGAGTACTATTTTATCACTCATGATATGAGTACTCATTTAGTGATGAAAATCAATTTTATTAGTACTATTTTATCACTCATGATATGAGTACTAATTTAGCGCTAAAAATCAATGAAATTAGCGCTATTTTATTACTCATCATATGAGTACTCATTTAGTACTAAAAGTGCAATAAATCAGTACTCATGTCATGAGTGCTCATTTAGTACTAATATTTACTGAAATGAGTACTCAATTAGCACTAAAATGCCATGAGTACTATTTTAGTACTCAGCATATCTCCCTGTGTATGTATCCAACAGACCGAATTAATAATATCTCAGACGAATAGGTCTAGTAATGCCCCCACGAAAGTCCAAAGTCCACAAAAGTCCGAGTCTACGAAAACACGTGAAAAGCCCGCGATCAACTTTCATGGTATTTAGTTTTGGTGGGAGAGGGTCAAACTCAAAACTATTTAGATTCCTATCAGACATTGAAATTTGTATGCCCCGCCTTTAAACAATAAACGAATGATAGATAGTTATACAACGCAAAAATCACGGTGTAAACATGAATGCATCCCGGGTCAATATCGAAATTTGGGTTAACATGCAACATGTTGACACAGTTTGGTGAGTGCGTCAAAAGTTTTAATTCCATTCCTAAAATATTCTATAGGTTTCAAAATGTTCACATGGTGTTTACTTCCACATAAAAAGGTTCTTTTTATAAAGAATACAGCTCTACGTTTTTATAAAAAAATAACCTTTCGATCAAAAGTTTCTTTTGATCAATTACACGGTATACAATAGAATTTTGTGTTAAATAGGTAGACGCCTGCGTACCATTTCAAATGAAAAACAGATTTCAAGCGCATGCAATGAGTTTTTTCTTGATAATATCTATAAGCTTTGACACAAAATATTTATCCTTAAAGTATAAGAAATTCAAATTGGTTGAATATGAATCATACACCCAAAAGGAGTGGTAAATACTAAAAAAGACTTGACGTTATCATAATAAAAAATCGAACTGAATTAATTCATTGAGAAGCGGAAGTTTTTTTAAACTTGAATATAAGTTTAAACATTTCAATTTTAACTGGGCAGAGACTTATATGAACTCACCATGGAAGGACCAAGACTTTATCTAGTTTTAAATTTGTTGTTCCTTTGCTGTTTATATAATCAAACAGAAGGTAAGTTTAATGATTACTAATTTAATTAAATATAATAGCTTGTTGATAATGAGCATTTTTTATTTTTCATATTATTTTTAATTTTTTTTAGATATACGGTCATCCAATGGTTTACTGTATTATATTATGGGCAAACAAAGGTCTAATGAAAATTAATTGAATTACCCATTTAAACGGTTAAGGAGGCTACCCCCTAAGAATTTTTGACAGCTTTTATCGTAGTTTGTGTTTTGATCTAAAACTTTCTGGCTTTTCTAAAAATTGAATCAGGCATATTTTATTGAAAATTGACAGTAGATCTGACTTGAAACGATAAATCCCTATGTTCTTAGAAAATGAATTTCTTCATCAATAATGATTTTTTCCGATTACCTTCACTCAACCGGTCAAATAAACAGTACAAATGAGAGAAATAATCCAAATGGGACCATAATTCTACACGTTCACGTAGTTTTTAGAATAGGGAGTTTAAGCTTGCATATAACACCAACCTTTACGTGTGACCAATTACCCATACGAATGCATCGCTTTAAAAATATTTTCCATTCACGTTTAGAATTGGAAGGAATCTATCAGTCGAATATTAAATTTTCATATTCCAAGATTCTGGCTAACCAAGCCATGTTATCAGAAAGTCATTATCAAGCAATGTTATCAGAAAACCATTATCAAGCAATGTTATCAGAAAGTCATGATCAAGCCATATTATCAGAAAGTCATTTATCATTTTACTGTTTGGCATTTTAATGTAGTAGCTTCGAAAGATTTCTAAAGAATTTCGAATTTACCTATTTCAATTAGTACTTCAGGAATATTATGCTCATGTCTCCTCTTATCATTTGGTTCATCCTAAGCTAAAATTGTATTCAGGCAATTGATCAAATACATCAGAGATCATAAAAGTAGGTCATGTGAGTACTTGAGAGTCTCTTTTATTTTTTTTCACAATGACGACAGCATGAGGCGTCGTGATTAGAAGAATAGTAAACTGCAAGACCCGAGAGAGATATAATATTTATGTACGTGTCTACACATTTGACAATTGTAAAAAAGTTTGTGTTAGAAAATTAAAATCTCACTTTCTTAGAACATTGTTGATTTTGTTATCAAACTTTGTTATTCTATCAGATGTTTGTCGGATAAAATTACGTTGAATTTAAATATTTTGATTTTGAAAGCTTAGATATATTTTATAAGTAGAGATTTTGTAACGAATAGCTTTACACGCAGCACTTGTATTTGCATGACCATTGATCTGTATATAAATGATCTGTATTTGGTTTCCAAATAGTGAAGTACCCCAAATAATAAATTATACAGGCCTACATTGACTTAGAAGAGAAAGTAAGTAGTGTTGGAGAATCTTCTCTGAAAGCATGCCTCACCCTTGAAATTTTCATTTCATTTTTTCTGAAAAAAAAGAATTGGGATATTTTATCAAATAGAACGAAGGAAATGTCGAAATTCATAAACAGATCGCGAACTATCAAATTAGAGATTATCATGAGATGAAGTCAAAACCTTTTTTTCAAACTCACTTAACTCGTCATATTCCTCTATACTCTGTGATTTGCATTTGAGAAACAACATTACATTCTTGATGTTGTTGGCGCCTCATCCTTTGTGTAATAAATGCCTTTAAGTAATGTAGGTCACTCTATTGAATCAAGGTGAATACTAAAAAAAGTAAATATTATTTTTCTAATTTCAGGGCAGAATGCTACATCCGAAAACATCACTACAGTTACCACAACAACATCTACCCAAATCCCCACAACCACATTTGTTGTGGCGCAGCGGAGCAATATGTTCGGGTTAAGTGACACGGAGTATTCTATTCTTATCATCGTTGTCTGTCTGGTCGTCTTCTTCTGCGTTGTCGTCTGCATTTGTTGGTGTATATGCTGGTGCTCCTGTTGTCGTAAATTACGACATAGACATGTCGATCATGTCTCAAATAGTGTTGAACATGAGTATTACAGACACAAACCCCCTCGAGAACCTTCAGAATATGGTTATAAGAGTAGTGAGGGAACTTATGACGACTTTCACAGAAATGCTCAAGATAGTGATCGTGGAAGGCGATATCATAACCACGGGGCATTATACAGAAGTGACCGATATAGTGCTAGTAGGTACGGCAGCGAAACAAGTGGTAGATATGTCAAAAGCAATCGCAAAAGCGAAGACAGTTACACTGGACGATCACGCAGTTACGATGATAACCGGAGTCGAACAGACGACAGTCACTCAGAACGTACCTATCATACACGTGAACGTGGCGACCATCCCGATGCAGAACCAAGACACGTGGTTGAAACGCGCGAAGTTGAACAATACGTTGCCCCGTCTGAGTCTGAGTTCCCCCGATCTGAGGTAGCACTCCCTGTTGGTCAGGTTCTCTATGGTGACTCTCAAATGGTTTATCCCCAAGCTATAGCAACAACACAAACTGTGTATCCTCAGTACGTCGGTGGGGTTGCCCCATACACTACAAGTAATTCTGGGTTCATGTCCGGTTATGTCTACACAAGCTAAGATTGAAATGTATTGATAGTACATTGCAAGAGTCGATAGTACATGCAAGAGTCGATAGCACATGCAGATCCGATAGCACATGCAAGAGTCGATAGCACATGCAGATCCGATAGCACATGCAAGAGTCGATAGCACATGCAGATCCGATAGCACATGTTAGAAATGATAGCGCATGCAAGTTCTGATTATCCAATAAAATGCAACATCCGATAATCATGACTGAACTCATGAAAAGTACTTTTTGTGAATAACAAGAGGTGATTTTGTAACTATAGTTTCTTGCCAATTGTGATGAGAGATGATTTAAATTTTTCATGCATTATATAAGTCAACGTGAATGGTTATTTAAAACTAGAATGCGGTAAAAGCGAATGGGATTAAGGGGATGGAAAGTTCTCTCTGTACATTGTAAGTTAATGGAATGACATTTTTAGGCCTACATATTTGGATATCATGGTGGAAAAAACATGACTGGAATGCGGTTTTGTGTTACGTGAAAGGAAATGATAGCTTCTTTCATATGTATGTAACACTGAACAAATGATATTATTATGAGAATGGTGTGTACCATTTTAACGTTTTCAATACGTTGATTAAGAGAATATTTATGGAACAAATGCAATAAAAAATAATTTTACAATTGTTGTGTAAAATTAGGGGACTACTAATATTTTCAATATAGACAACTGATACCATTCGCACAGGTGACTTATAATTTTGAACTTGGATTCATTTTTGTTTGAATTTCCGATCATAACTGCTGAATGTTTATTTTTCAATTCATGAACGTGTATTCGAATTATTATTTGTATATAACGTATTAAAACTGCAATTGTAAATAACATACAATAACAAACACATTAATATTGTATATATTGATTTAATGTTTCAAATGGTATGTTAGTGATTGTACAATACTATTTGCCAATGTTCAAACAAATAAATGATTCAAAACCAATACAAGAGTTGTGCTTATATGTCAGGGTTTATATCCCCAAGATCAGTTTCATTTTGAATATCGTTTAGGTTGCCCCACGCTCTGAAACGTCTATTCCCTGTCTTAATCAGACCCTACAGGTTATTTACTGGGAGGGATTCAATATGGGTTTTACTCCGAGGGACAATGTGATATTTCCCGAATAGGGCTCGGACGGGAAATACCGATATTGTCCCTCGGACATGAGGATTAAATTACACTACGCCTAAAGGCTCACAATCGTCATACGTTTCAAATTACGTTTCAAAATCACTCTTTTCAATTTTGTTTGGCAAAAATTCCCGGTAGATGAATACCATTTTCGTGAGCGGGATTGGGAGGTGAATATGATTTTCGTGAGCGGGATCGGGTGGGACTATACGATTTTTTTCAATGTCAAAAATATTCCCGAGTGTTATTCCGTACCGGTGTAAAAGAAATGATGGTCCCCCAGGGATTATGGTCCCCTTTCTTAACGGCCCTTACTGGCCCTGATTGCGTATAAGATAATCAGGGAAAGAGTTGTATTGAGGTCACCATATAAATCAATGGAGAGTGGGACCATAATTTGAGAGGACCTCCTACCCTTTTACACCGGGAAGTAGTAGTATACTGGGATGAACATGTATAAAATTCTTTTGAACTTCGTTAACTTTATCCCAAGCGTACGTACAGTACTCACACCGAATAGCCTGGCAATGGTAAAGTCAGATACCGTTGTCACAAATGGCGGACATAACCGTCGCTTCAACTCTTTAATCACTTGGTCCTCATTTCATGGGATTTTATCGTCGCTAATTCTGTGCATGTATTGAGCTCTTGTCATGATCAAGGACGTCTATCTCAATAATTATATAGACGTCCTTGTCATGATGTATCATATGAAATCCCAATTTCGATTAAATTGGGTCAGTGAATCGCCACAATAGGACATAGCGTCTTCGATATCGTCAATGAAAACGGAATCTGAATTTGAAAAAATTTACAAAGACTTAACGGCATATGGTAATGTGACATAGTCCGTTGTCCGGTATCTCACTTTTATTCTGCAATATCTAGTATAACCCCTTGTACAGGAGTAGCATGTGACATTTTTCCAACCATCCTAAAATATGGTTATGTCGTCATTGGTTGGCATATCTGTGATTGGTTACACACCACCTTGGAAGAAGGTAAGCTTAATCCTGTAAACACAAAAAGAGATTTGGAAGATTTTCCGGTAAAATACATACGTAGAGGTTATTAGATGGGAGCAAGCCCATGATGGGAGGGATGAAAAATATAAACTAATTATTCCGAGGGAAAACATGATGTTTTCCAAGAACGTCTAGATAGACGTCCTTGTGTTTTCCAAGCAACGAACAACCAAATCCACACAAAATTCAACAGCAGTATCGACATCTAACAAGTTGCTAGGCTTCCGGATCCGGTGTAAAAGTAATAGTAGTCCCAAGGAAGCACGGTCCTACGGACCGTGCTTCCTGGGTTTATACATCCTATGGATTGTCAATCCCAGTGTTTATGGTCTCAATAGGACTGTCATTCCTACTGTTATATATTAATAAGACCATGGACTATAATCACCAATGGACTTCTGTTCCTTCCACACCAGTGAAAGAATAAAATGTCCCGGACATTTAATCCCAATTTTATTGTCCCGGACTTTTATATCTAGGTCAAAGAGACCGTCATTTTACACATATTATGCATATAAGTTATGCATAAATATAAATAAAAGTTGAGTCTGTTCGTCTCACCTTTCTTGGCAAAATCAATAACGACTTGGTCCAGTGGCCGAGAGAATAGTGGTTCGATCCCTATGTGAGTAAACTTTTTTTTAATCTCAATACAGTTAAACACTTTTTTTAAGTATCCCAACACCCCTTTTTTTAAAGAAAATGTCATATTTAAAAAACTCAGATGTTTAGTTAAGCGTGGCCAACCTGGGTATAAATTGTTGCACGTGGTATATGTTATTCCTTTGAAAAGTGGATGCCAAGATGAAAACACAACTGGACATAAATGTTATTTATCAATATGTCAGGCAAAAATCGTATCCACCAGGTACAACAGTGAATGGAAAGAGGGCTATAAGAAGAGCTTCGACAACAAATTTCAAGGTAATGTTAATTTATTCACATTATAAAGTCAATCGTACCCAGATAATAACGTCCGACGCCACAATGAGGACACTTCCTCCTGAAATATGTTCACAAATCAAGGAGGATTGGCTCCCAGAGTGCACCACCGATATTCTGTCCCATATATGGGTATGTCGTAATACAAAATTCGAATTCAAACAGCCGCCATTTTGTTCACTTCAACATTTAAATCGTGAATTTTGGTCTTATTTCCAAACGAAAAATTCCAAAACTCACAAGAAATGATCGAGATATTGGTTCAAATCTTTTGAACTGTTTATTTTGAATTTATAGTCGGTTTTAATTTCAGAAAATAACGACATTTCGACGTTTTCATTGTTGAAAAATATCGAGTTTCGATCCTGGGAGCCAATCCTCCTTGTTCACAAATGTAGTCCTCGAGACTTTTCCCTCGGGTTACGACGTCCGAAAACATACACATGGACAATCTATCCTTGTTTATATCCATTTTAGTAGTCCTGGACTTTCCCCTCAGATTACAACGTCCAAAAACAACCACGTGGACCTTGTCAATATCATTTTTTATGTCCTGGACTTTTTGCCCCAGTTTAAATCGTCCGAAATTACACATATAACCAATTCATCATTGTAAATGTGGATACATTTTTATTAAGGTAACTCTGTATAATAGAAATTTTGATGCACTCCTCCATAGATCCACATGTTATTTTTCAAATATCGATCACGCCTTCCCAACATTGTCCACATCTTTCAGTTTTGCACAGAGTGCACTAATGTACCTAGAAAAGACTGTCGAGAAGATTTTTTTGATAAAATGTATAAAAACTAGAAAATTCAATGAGAACATTTTCTGAAAATTTTCTGAATTTTCTAACTGAATTTTCTCATTTTTTTATACATTTTATCAAAAAATCTTCTCTACAGTCTTTTCTAAATACATTAGTGCACTCTTTGTACAAAACTCAAAGATGTAGACAATGTTGGGAAGGCGTGGTCGATGTTTAAAAAAATAACATGTGACTCTATGGAGGTCTGCATAAAAATTTCTATCATACAGAACAACCTTAAATCACATACTTTTCGTATTTTGTTCACGTATGTTATGTTATGTTATGTTATGTTATGTTGTTCCTCCGTTTTATTGGAGAGAAAAGAATTATTACATCGTACTTTACATAACGTATATTAGAGATTGAAAAGTTATCAAAGGGTAATTATAACTGCGATAGCACCATCCACATTATGGCACCATCCGCATTTCGGTTGTCTCAAACTCCAGGGCCATTCACATTATGGTAGTTTCAGATCAGACCCAAACACCGTTCAGATTCAGTAGCTAATATTTTTGTATTCCATTATGCTATTTTCAGATTGAAAGGGGAGTGCTCATGCACAAAGTTTGTACTAAATCTGATGAGTTACATTGGACCAAAGTTCTTGAGAGTGAAGAACATAGAGAGGAAGCAATGGTTGAGTGCCATACTTCAAGCATAGGTTAGCAATAAATAATGCCATAAACTAATATTGCAATTAACTAATAATGCAATATAAAAGGGGATATTTGAAATGTACATTGATTCGAAAACATTGTAATTAATGTATACACAAAAGGTACTGAAAGCTATTTCACTTTTGTGCACATACAGGAGGTCCAAAACAATGTTTACATTTTATCGACTTCCACGATATGATTTGCAACTACTGATAACGGACATAATTGAAAACCTCCTAATAAGTGCTTGAAATAATAATACATTAATTGATAAAATATGTAATGGTATGTAATGGTAATCGTGGAGAAGAAGTAAATAAATGTAATAACTTTACAGGATTTGGCAGTAGGTTCATTAGTATTGATGCGCAACCTAAGAAGACAAGACAGAAAGGGGGGCAAGACGGAGGAGCCGTGGACTGGCCCCTTCGAAATTGCAGGGGTGGAGAGGGCAGGGATCTACAAGATTAAAAATAAAAAAGGACAAATTTTTAAAAAATCCGTAAATGGCTGTAACTTAAAACAGTTTCACCAATAACTCTCGAATAATGATGTAATAATTATTAGTATATAATTGTAACAGTGCATACTGTACGGTAAAAACTGTTCTGAAGATGATATTCTGAGATGATAATCAAGAAAAGACAGAAAGTATGGAAAGTTCCACAGGGAAGGTTCCAAAAAGGAGGCGAATAATAATTTCCCATAATTACCAAATAAATAAACCAATAATGAACAAATTAAAGTTAATGTCATATTAAATCTACTGGACCTCCTAAACCTCCTTTAAATGGAGGCAAATGTTGATTCCCATGAGGAACCAACATTTGAACCAATAGAAAGCCAAGTAGATTATGTAATACACTAGAATATCCTGAACTAAAAAATCCTCCTTTATGGGAATTGGAACTCTCCTGATAGAAAAGACATAACAATATGAAAAGAGCCAAGATTTTAATGTTATTTATGAATGATATCACGTATTGAGTGCAAGTGGACTTAAGGAGAATAAAGAATAGAAATGATGTACATCAAATGTATAGAACAATAACATATATCTTAAAACCTAAATCAATGTGATATAAAAATGAAGTTGTACCAAAATTTGATGTATATGAAAACCTAAACCCTGTTTCATTACCCCCAACTTAATTAAAAGTGTTTGTCCTCAAACACAAACTATTTGTACAATAAACATTGTCAACTAAAATATTCAATAAAGAAAACAAGAATGTTTCATTACCACCAACTTTGCAAATACAACACAGTTTTACAGAGTTTTACTCCATATAATAACTGTTCTTCAAACGCATTAATATTTAATAAAGGTTACTTTTACAATTTTTGTTTCATTTTCTCAATGCAAAAGTATGCATGGTATGTTTTCTAAAGCAGTATATCAGCAGTATAAAAGAATATGCATGGTTAAATAGTGATATTTGAAGTTGTAAAATATAAGGACTTAGTTACACATGTGTTGTTAAAAATTCACAATTGTTTACTATTCTTGTTTACTATGAAATGTATTGTTTACTATAAATTCAATTGTTTACTACAATTTCCTGGTTTCATGAATGTCATGTTATCCTAAAGTCAAAGGTTAGTAAAGTAGAACATGTTTATATTATTTAATGAAGTTACCAAGCAACAGGAAAGCAGAATAAAAACAATGTTTCACCTCTAGCCTCTTATTCCAAACTTACCATACATATGCATTATGCAAAGTTACATACAAGCAGCCATTAGCGATTCTTCAAATCGAATTCATTGTTAAGGTAAGATAATTTTTCTGTATAAAATGTTCTTGCCTAAAGCATTGGCACGAGATACTTTTAAAACAAATTAACGTGAAATTCTTCCATGACTTAGATCACTATAAAATTAACATTATTTGAAACAGATACAAAAGCTTGAATTATTTTCACTTTAGGGATTCGTTACAGAACTGGGTCAACTATGGTAAACTGAAAAACTGTCATGTCACATTAATTGTACCGATATTGGTTTTCATTAACTTTCATATTTTCTAAATGGTTCAGTACTAAATTATTTAGAAAAGCCTTTAACCTCCCCCAATATATACACATTCAGATGTAAGTTTACCGCATATATAGCATCCAGTGGCTAAAAGAAATAGCATAGAATCATAACCACATAGAATTGGTCATTGACCTTCAACAAAATACCCAACGACAATTAGAATCTCAATATCTTAAATCAGACTTAACTTGACTACAAAAAATGAATTGAACAACCAGAAAGTAAATACAATTTATCATGAAAATCAAATTTATCTCAAGGAATAAAAGTCATCCAGCATTTTCATGCAGAAATGTGTGCACCCAATTCCATACGAAAAATACTGTAAAAACCCTATTCCAAGCCCCTAAATTCTCTCACTCATACATGTACTTTCAATGAATAACCTTCTACCTGTATAGATTTCATGAAGTTAAATTAATTATTTTCACTGTAGTCAATCAGAGTCTGGTTGTCACTTCTTTCTTACAAGTTGTATTATTTTACAGTTTTCTTTGGGTGTGATTAGGCATTGTCTCAAAACACAGGTATCCAATATGGTATAAACTAAAATGGAAATGCCTCTATGGTCAGTATTTCAATAATCCATCCTTCTTCATCGCTCAAGCATAATCCATTATATATCCATAAGGCTTGTTTACATTTGCTATATCCAAGCATTGTATTTTGTCAACATCTTGCAGCAGTTGACATTTTAATATTCAAGCAATGTGATGCACAATTGGGTAATATGATTTCTTGTATATATCACATTCTTTTCACTAAACTTGTATGGTTGCACTTTCTGGGCATCATGGTGACATCTGGGGAACGATACATATGTTGCAACATTATCTTCGCATTAAAAGTACATCTTTTGGTTGAGACATGCACTGATACACTACCATGGGTAACATGGAACACGGGACGGCTACGACTGCACTCTGGCATTACGGGTTACTTCTCTGGGGCACGGGACATCTATGAATGCACTACCTGGCATTAAAATACTTCCCGGGGGTACGAACATCTACGAATGCACTATCTGGCATTAAAATACTTCCCGGGGATAAGAACATCTACAAATGCACTACCTGGCATTAAAATACTTCCCGGGGATACGAACATCTACGAATGCACTACCTGGCATTAAAATACTTCCCGGGGATACGAACATCTACGAATGCACTACCTGGCATTAAAATACTTCCCGGGGATACGAACATCTACGAATGCACTACCTGGCAAAAAATACTTCCCGGGGATACGAACATCTACGAATGCACTACCTTGCATTAAAATACTTCCCGGGGGTACGAACATCTACGAATGCACTACCTGGCATTACAATTACTTCTCTGGGGCACGGGACATCTAGGAATATAAACTCTGGCATTATAGCTCTCCCATTTAGTGTATCAGCTCACGACAAGTATGAATGTGCGTCATCCTACATTTTTCATTATCATCACATGTGGCAATTGTTTATATAAGGTTATAATATTCCTTAAGAGCAGCTTACAAGCGTTTTAAACACTCAGTTTATATACATATTTACAGTGAGAAACAGTTTATATTCAATATCCAATTTCCATGTCCAAATAATTTATGTATAGTAATCCATCTTCTTTAAAGATTACTGTCAACGGGCCAATGAGTGCAGCTGACCTAACTGCTGGTGCAAAATTGTCAGAATTTCTAACTCCAACTTGATGAATTTTATTTTCATATGCCATTTTCGTAAAAATCATTCTTATTGAAGGTTATGGTGACTTTTGACTTCTTTATAACACAATATCAAGGGCAAAACATCGTGACTAATATGCAATATCCATAAACGTTTTGAATGCCATCTTCCCGTAATTTTAAGTGGGGGAAGCATGACTAGATTTTTTTACTCCATGAACATTATGATTGTTAGGTGTCGGTAAACATTCCACTAAATAATTTCTAATTCATATGTGATCCAACTACATGTATGTGTTTTAGCCATAACAATAGTTTGCAATTAAACGCATATAGTTACCTGATGTACTAATCCAACACTATTCATAATATGATTTAAATCCGACGATGATGATAATCCAATTAGAGATGATAATCCAAGTTAATTCCAATAGCAATGATAATCCAAAATAAATTCAATAGTGATAGAAATCCCAAATTAGTTGAAGTTGAATCCAAAATTAAGTTATGGAAAACTTAATTATATCCTGGCAACGGCACCAATGAAACAGTTTTTTAAGTTCGAATAAAGTAACATACTTCCTAAACCTCCTTTAAATGGAGGCAAATGTTGATTCCCATGAGGAACCAACATTTGAACCAATAGAAAGCCAAGTAGATTATGTAATACACTAGAATATCCTGAACTAAAAAATCCTCCTTTATGGGAATTGGAACTCTCCTGATAGAAAAGACATAACAATATGAAAAGAGCCAAGATTTTAATGTTATTTATGAATGATATCACGTATTGAGTGCAAGTGGACTTAAGGAGAATAAAGAATAGAAATGATGTACATCAAATGTATAGAACAATAACATATATCTTAAAACCTAAATCAATGTGATATAAAAATGAAGTTGTACCAAAATTTGATGTATATGAAAACCTAAACCCTGTTTCACAGTACGGCCAAACCAGTGCAGCGTGGGATCCGTTCCGCCAGAAGCATATCAACATGCTGGAGCAAGTACAAAGGAGAGCAGCAAGATTTGTTACCAAATTTCACTCTAGGGAACCAGGCTGTGGCAACAAAGCTCTCGAACACCTACAGTGGAAATCGTTACAATAGCGAAGAGAGGCCTTACGACTTCCTCTTTCTACAAAGACTCACAACGTCTTACTCTTAAATACCATCTCTATATCTTGACCCACACACTTCAGGATAGCCAAGGTTAGACAGCTATCCATCAGTGCATCCAACCAGAACGGATGTTTACAAGTTTAGCTACTTTCCAAGGACAAACGTAAAATGCAAAGCAAGAAGCCTGAACTAGTGGTAATATAAAGAGGGGCAATTTCAACGCGGAAGCAGCCTGACAGTCTCTGGTCTCAATGTATTAGGGATTCATGGGGCAACCAGGGAGTTTCCTTTCAATTTTATAATGAGTTGTAACCTAACCAAACCAAAGATCTATTTCTTAGCCTTTTGCATATTATTGATGGAGATGTAGTCCCGGATGTAGTTGATGGATGTTTTGGGATAGATATGACGCCTAAATCACATAAAATGTTACAAATCCCGGGAAATTAAACATCCTGGAAAAGAATAGGCACGATAGCACCAAACGAAATGCTCCAAGTTGCAGGTACACTATCTGGTGCTGCCATCTAACAATGTGTAAGGGCACCTGTTGGAGTTTGGCATTTTGACTGAAATGTTATTAGATTATTACCCGGGATTATTACTACATAATTGACACTTTCTTAATCAAAATTATATTTTTTTGTAATCCATAAAATGTCGTCAATCTATTTAGATATAAAATAAGATTTGATGAACAGCTACAGTGGAATAAATGAATGATTTCGCCTAGTTGTTTATAAGTTTCGCACAATCGCTATAGAGATGACGTCACTTTATTCACATGTAAATAATGTTGTGAGTTGAATCCAAAGCAAACTCATAATAACGTATTGATTGCCACAAATTCCGCATAATTTCAACTGTTTTATAATCTTGGAACTGTTAAACAGCAAATACAGGTCAGTGTACACTTATATGTTTCTTTGTTGATCAGTTCTCTGGCGAAACAATGGACTTCACTTTTTTTGGGAATTTTTGTTTCAATTGATTGAAGAATTTTTCAATTTCTTTTTTTCATGTTATTTTACTTATTAGGCATAGGCTTAAAGTTATTCTGTGTTGAGGAAGAGGATGGAAACCCCAGAGCTTAGAGATGACAGACATAATTTTGTTTGATCAGCTTGGTTTGTCAGAATTTTCACAGGCTACTTACAGTGCTGGTATATATTAATTGATCAGTCGTTTAATCGGCATATTTTCTTGAATTTTAACATTTAATGTCCCAAACTCCCACAAACTGCAGAAAAGTATACCCCATAAATCATATTTACCAAAATGAGTGTCTCCAAGGCTTCACACCAGCGTATGCATAATGCATTTGTCACGAGTTTGAGCTGAAATTTCGCCAAAATGAAGTAGGCTAAGGGTAGTCTCTGCCTGGTTTGTTTATTGTGGTAAGCTTGTAAGTGCTCAGAAGCAACTAATTCATATGCGCAAAATAATCAAATAATCTGATTGGTCTAAACTTTGCTGCACATGCGTACAATGTGTGCCAGGTTTTTTTCTAGTGATTTCGTTTCGTTTCATGGAGTTTGCGTTTCAGTGTAACTTCCGCAAAAATGGCGTGACATGGACAGAATTAACAGGTAAAATCACTTCGAAATTTCAAGAGAACTTTTTACCTATAATAGCAAAACTTTTGTTTTATTTGTGCATTCTATCTATCATATAAGAGTCTCAGGGGTATGTAGGCAAATTCATTTTGATAGGAGCACTCTGTTTAGTTTGAAAACGCACCCTTAAATTTTATATATCAGCACTGTACTTACAAATACAACACATCGTCATTGGTGTAGCCAGGGGAGGGGGATGCGATGGGTACAAACGCACCCCCATAATCAATACAGAAGCATTAGATAGAAGAATAGAGCTTTATAATGCTTTTTAATTGAAGCTTCTCGCTCAATTTTGAAGGAAGTCTACATCAATTCATGGGGTTTCAGTTATCTAGTTGAAAGCCCATGATCAATTTTAGTAAAATTCAAAACAAATCTTAATTCTCTTTTTTGCCTTGCTTATGCCACGATCGCACCCCGCTTGACTGAAAACCAACAAGTTTTTGGCAATCACACCCCCTCCTTACTGAAAGCTGGCTACGCCCATAGTTGTTGTGATGTTTTATTTAATTTTATCAAATCCTACGACCACTTTAAATTGTGGTCGTACGCGCGAACCATTGGTCAGTCAGTGTTTCTACAATTTTGAAGAATGTACTACGCATTGTACACTTAATTGACCTTTCTCGACACATTATTATGTATTTTAGAATTCTTTTTATGAAGTTGAACGCCAAGTGTATGGGTTTATTTGCAGAACGAAGAGAAACCGTCAAATTCCTCCATTTAGTAGTACATCCGGTTCCGGCATGTACCATAAAATAAAATTCATATTTTGATCAATGACCATACTTGGATTATCATTGTCATATTTTTCTGACTATTGATGGGGGAGGGAGGGGGAACTTAATTTGAACTAGACTCTACCTGAACTAGCAATATAATTTTACTGTACATCTAATACACTGTATATTGCACATTTAGTAAAAAGTTTCATTAGAACAAAGTTAGAGTACTCTACAATCACATTATTTAATATATATAACCATGTTGCAGCCTGCAGATAATATGGGTTGTGGAAGTAGTACACCAGAAGAGGGGCAGCTTCATGAGAGACGACCAGTCAAGAAGGTTGCACCTTACCCAAAACAAGCCCCACAAGACGAGCCAGATGGCGAAATAAAGAAACCAGTTGCACCTGTTGCACCCATGCAACAACAACAAGTTAGTACTTTAATTCTTAAGATTTGCATGATTTGCTTCTTTAGTCTCGCATCAAGTCTCCCCACTCCCTCCTTAATGCGATTTCTCTACATTTGTGTGTGTTAGGGAACCTTGATGCAAGACTACATGTGTATAGGGCTTCAATGGATGAAAATGTTATGCTTTACAACAAAATTTCTTACATTTAAAAAGCTTGTTCCGAGGTATATAGAAATATAAATATCAACAAGTTGTGTACTTATAGCTTCAATACTAATTTTCCTATTATGGTGTCAGAGGAATAAGCTGAGATTCTGTACATATTTTCTGGTTTTATCTGCTTATGGGCTACACTATGCTTTTTTGCTATGGCTGAATCTTTTCCAAACAATTAATTTTATTTGTTTAATATAGCTAGTTTAGGCATTTTTCAAGAGATTGTAAAATATAGCTCTTTCAGCATTAGTTCTTGATGCATGCTTTTATAAATATATGCTTCTTATGCTTTGAAAATACTTTTGCTTAGTTCATTGCTTTGGTGCTTTGAGCCTGCTTTGCTTTCTCCAACGTATCGCTTCCATTTCAATTTTTAGGCATACAACCAACCCCAAAGTCAAAACCCCCCTCCTTATTCTGCACCCCCTCCACAACAAGGTGGACACCCCCAAACTCAAGCTTACCCAGTCCAACAAGCACCTGTTCAGCAACAACGAGCACATGTTCAGCAACAACAAGCACCTGTTCAGCAGCAACAAGCACCTGTTCAGCAACAACAAGCACCTGTTCAGCAGCAACAAGCACCTGTTCAGCAACAACAAGCACCTGTTCAGCAGCAACAAGCACCTGTTCAGCAACAACAAGCACCTGTTCAGCAGCAACAAGCACCTGTTCAGCAACAACAAGCACCTGTTCAGCAACAACAAGCACCTGTTGTACCTCCCCAATCCAGGCCATCCTCATCCTCCTCATCCTCCTCATCCTCCTCATCCTCATCAGGATCATCAATAAGTAGTGAGAAGTCTGTTAAAAAGGTAAATCATTATCCCATAAAGTTTTTGACAAGGGACTCCCAAAGACATTTCATGTTAAACATTTATTAAGTTACAAAGTTGTTGATTTTCTTTCTCAGAGATATTTATTTTTTTATTATTTGACGTTTCGTAGGATGTCCATCCTACTTCTTCAGAAATAAAATTATATTTGAATCAAACTGAAATAATTAATTATTACATAACAATGAGACAAATAGCAACCGTTACTATAGAAAATTTCATTGATGTTACAATTAAACAATTAATTGAGAAAAATAGGAACCGTTACCATAAAAAGCTTCAATGATGTAATATGCAATTAAAAACGTTACTAAGGTATTACACAACATACCACCTAGAAACGACACTAAGACATTATGAATATGAATATATAAACTATAACATCTTAAAATACTACCATTACATTACTACCAGAGAGATGAACATTCATAGAATTTATTAAGTTGCTTTGACTTATCTTTCTTTAATTGCTTATTGCTTATTTCATAAGTATTTAATTGCTTAAATTGCTTATTTCATAAGTTTTTAATTGCTTATTTCACAAGTATTAAATTGCTTATTGCTTATTTCATTAGTATTTAATTGCTTATTGCTTATTTCATAAGTATTTAATTGCTTATTGCTTATTTCATAAGTATTCAATTGCTTATTGCTTATTTCATTAGTATTTAATTGCTTATTGCTTATTTCATAAGTATTCAATTGCTTATTGCTTATTTCATTAGTATTTAATTGCTTATTGCTTATTTCATCAGTACTTTATTAACATTTTCTGCTTTCACACCATGCAGGCTTTAATTTAGTCCTAGTAGCATTGCTTTGAAATATTTTATGAAATAGTTACTGTTCTTATTAACTCCACACTAGTTTTATGCTAATGCTTTTTAAATGCTTCATATCTTGTCTAGCAGTCACCTGTTCAAGACCAACAAGCCCCTGCTCCAGTCCAACAAGCCCCCGCTCCAGTCCAACAAGCTCCTGTTGCAGCTGACCAAACACCTGCTGCACCTCCACAAACTCAAGTAATAGAGTCTTAGATTTCTAACATTTTTTGATTTAATGATAATTGTATATTGAAATGCTTGCTTTATGCTTTGTAAATAACATGTTCATATGTTCTGGTAGAAGCCATGATTATATTCAATATATTCTTCATCCCATCTGAAGAAAGTTTTTTGCACATTGCATAAATTGGTTTATTATCATATGCTCAATCCTCAAAGAAGGATACAGTATGATTTCTAAGACTACCATCAAATAATGAAATCTGTAACCTTTACTAAAAACTGTTTTGCATTTTGCATGTATGCCAGTTGTGTTTTGATATTTTCAAGATATCCTATATTCAATGTATGAAAAATGAATAAATTGATTTATCATTGATTAATTGGATAATATTTATTTTTTATTATAGTCTCAGCCTGGAGAAGAAGAAAAGACAGAAATTGAAGTGAAAGAAATGCCCATTACAAAAGATCTTCTCCAGAAATATATTGAGCTTGAAAAACAGTCCAGAATTTATGAGAAAAAGAATATACATAAGAAAGCTGCTGCCATGAATAATGACCTACAAAACATTGAGAAACAGATTCAAGAGATGGAAGTTCAATATTCAAAACTGGCTGAAATAACGTAAGTTCTCAGAAAGGGCTTTGAAACTTTAAAACATAGCATTATGATAGATTTGCCTGAGAGCACCACTATGTAGAACTTCTGTATGCAATGAGTGCTGCTATAGAAACATTTCATATAGAACATTTTGTCTTGCAGAATTTATTTTTGGACCATTTAGTAGGTTTATAAATCATTAGAGGTGTATTACATCGCAAAATCCCATGTCATTGTAAACAATGGTTTTATCATATAATTTTGTAACAAAAAAGCGGCAAAAAAATATATCCCCATTTTTATTCTTGACCATTTTAGCTAGCATTGACATGTTCATAGATCCTATATTTTCTGATAACATTTTAAAATATATTGCTAACTGATGGGAGTAATATGTAATACTTAAGTGATGTTCAATAAGTGAACATTTATACTTTTTGACAGCTCACATGGTGAGCTCCAGATTCTCTGTTGTCTTTTCTTCATGATCGTGGTACATTTTAGAACCACAACACACCTCATGGAGAACTCTGGGAGCTGATCCTCCTTGGTATAATTGATTCTTGGTCCAAGTTATTTCTATTTAACATCAATTATATAGTAAACTCTAATTACTACTGATCCACAAATTGTCTATACATTATTTAAAATGGCCACCATTCTTGCAGAATTCATTTTTGGACCATTTAGTAGGTTTAGTAATCATTGGAGGTGTTTAACATTGTAAAAACAATTCAATTCAGAGAGGCCTGGATGACAAAATGAAAATTTTTTGATCAGATCTTTTTTGTGAATCTGAATGTTACCTTATAACATTATTGATGTGAGTAGAAATAATCCTGATTTATGTCATAAAATATTCAAAATTCAGTCAAATTGATGTCATATTTGAAATCTACATGTAAAAGTACATCTAGAAATATGGTTTCAAAAATTGTAATTTTGAAAATTTAATTTTTTAGAAAAATGTGACTTCTAGTTCGGGAGAATATCTTTTCTTGTATTGGACAGATAACATTTTCTTTTACTGGACATATTTTAATTTGCATAACTATTAGACACAAAAGGGTGAATATTTAGGGTAAAGGGAACTTTCTACTATACCTGTCATGCTATCTGATCCGAATGAGCCACCTGGTGGTGAAACTGGTAATTACTAGTGTTGTCGCGATTAATCGATACGTCGCGATATACATCGCCAAAGCTGATTCTGGCGATGCATCGATGTCTGAAACAAAACATCGATGTCTTTGAAAAAAATTAATTTGCTACAAATCACCCTTTCTTATTTCATTTTGACGCAAATCGCTTACCTTTCTCATGTCTTATTTCATTTTCCAATGCTTTCTGATATTCTTTCGCTCTAAAACTGTTTTAGCTAGACGAAATGAACCATTAATCTAAAAAAATTACTTTACTTTCATTTTACCGTGACTAGAAGTTCCCGGATGTACCAGCGTACTCTTATTAATTTGTTCTGTTCGGTATTTTAGTGCATTAGCGATCGGTATTTCAGTGCACTTTTCTCGGACTTTATCTCGATGTACATCGCGATGTGCATCAATGTTTAATACTGAAAAGTGCCGATGCATCGATGTACGATTATGGCACATCGCGACAACACTAGTAATTACCTACTTGCATCTGAGTTATTTGGTGAGGCTACATTTGATATTCACATTCAGTTAAGGAGTGGATTTCTTGTGATAGGGATAAGGTCATACTGAAGTTTGATATAATTTTGTTTTCATACTTGGTCTCTTGTTTGAAAGGAACACACATTGCACTTTTTCTGAATCTCATCAACTATACTGTATACATGGCGATCTTGAAGGATGGTGCCTTAACATTTTGGATATTGTACATACTTTTCTTAAAACAGTGATAACCTCTAGTGATTGTTAGATCAAGGTAATTTAGAATATTTAAGGTCACATGAAGGCAGCCTTGTATTGTAGTTGGTTAAGTTTTTTGAGATCTTTTAGATTGTGATATAATATATCAGAATATTCAGAAATGGGGATTATGATTTGTACATTGTTTCAAGTGTTTTTGAGATAAGTTTGAATTCAAGGGATTTCAGGGATTTTAGTGCAGTTCGAACTTTGTCACAGATATAAGAGATGTGTTGGAATCCTGAGTAGGTTAAGATAAAGGGATTTCAACAAAGTTGTAAGTAAAGGAGGAATGTCTAGTCATAAGTTTGATAAGTTTGAAAGAAGTAGTGCAAATGTTTCTGCTTTCTCTTTTTTAGTTTAAGCAAGTTTGTCAAGTTGATGTCCATTTAAGATACTGTAAACTGTTATCGTGGGTATAGTTGCTCAAACGAGAATGTTATAAATTCTACATTTTATAGAAGTTGCTGGTTGTGTTTATATACAGATCAGGAACCTAATTATATTTTGATATTGTTTTGAAATGTTTATTTTGACATTTAATATTTCAGGGCTAAGGAAAAACAAGACGTTGACAACATGAAAGCACCAAATGTCATCAACTACTTCAAAGAAAATAATCTGTCATATGATTCTAAACTCAGCAAAGAGCAGGTAATTCAGCCAATTTTGAATTTTTAAGATTTTGAATGTGAAGTAAACTGATTGCGAGACAGTTTTTGATATATTCATTCACAATTTTATTTACAGATGATACTTTCAGTCATTTCAAATATATTATATATATATTTACAATTATTGTACTGTAACCATTCATTGATGAAAACATTTTGAACTAACTTTATGGCACACTAATGACATCTTATATGAGTGTGCTGTACTAAAAGCATAGCTTTTAGATCCCCATTGGATCCCCTTATATTGGATTATCATAATCCTAATCCACGAGGAGTTCCTTATATATTTTAAGTGATGAAACATGTGTTCAAGTACAATGTAACTTTGCATGAAAATTGTAAAAAAAATGAGGGACGATGGTGAAAATGACGATTGTATTTTGAAAAAAGCTTGTTGATGGGTGGATTAAACATGGCTTATGAGATAATCCAATTGATCTTGAAACCATTCTTTGAATTTTTCTTAAAGATTATACATTTGCCTTTCATATGCATTCATTTTTGTACAGCCAGAAACTACTAGAAAAAAATTATTTACTGTCAAAAATCTGTTGCGATACTTTCCCTCGCTCTTTGAACGTGTAATATGTGACCCTAAGCAACATTGTTCCCCCATCCAACGGTTTATAATAATAACAACTTACCTAAGATCTTTATAATAAACTAGTCAAATTTAAAGATAACTTTGAGAGATATACTGCAGGGAAAAATGAGTTTTACGCGTTCAGCTAAAGAACGTGTAGCTTAACATCTCTATTGTTTTTTTTACAGTTGGCGGCGATCGTGACAATTTTGAAGACAAAAAGCTCTATATTAGCAATATTGAAATAGATTTATTGTTTTTGCATGTTACATAATATAAGCTTATATTCTTACAGTTCATTGCATGCTCTTTTATTAATTTTGATATAAAAATGTTACACTGCTGCCGCTGCAGATGTTTATTTCTTATGAATATTTAGCAAATATTTCATTCTATTGTGGTCAGGCCCGTAGCCAGGATTTGCCAAGGGGGGGTTCAATTTTCAAAAATTTCCAGGGGGGGGTCACATTTGACAATTTTGGCCCAAATTAGGCTAATATCACTAAAGAAGTGCTCAAAATGGTCAAAAACTGCATGATTTTGAAAGAATTTTTGGCCAGGGGGGGGTTCGCCCGAACCCTGCGAACCCCCCCTGGCTACGGGCCTGGTGGTGAATACCTGTACATCTTTCACAAGTGATACTAGTGTTCCACGAATCCCCCCCTGGCAAATCCTGGCTACGGGCCTGGGTATTAACCGAAAATAAATGAAATATTTGTTTTATTCAAAGACGTCCTTGTTTTAATTTATGACTGTCCAGTGTCCAGCTTACATCTGGGAAGACAAGATTAATCTTACTCAACATGTCAGAGCTATTTATGATTCAATACTCAGTATTGATTCTTGTAATGAAACGTGTATTGAGCGTTTTGTGAAGAGAGAAAATTGGATATTAAATTATGATATAAACCACCCTATCATTACAAAATAATTTCATGCAATATTTTATTGCATTATAAAATTGAAGAATGTCAGTAATGGAATTGAAGGGGGGCTGAGATTCAGGCCCATAGTCAGTTTCTCTACATTTTGAGCAGTGAACACGTGCTTTTGGGCGAAAGTTGTCATTGTTAAATGTGACCCCTGGAATTTTCCAAAAAGTGGCCTCCTTGGTATTCCTGGCGGGCCTGACCTTCCAAAGAATTCTACCCAAGACGCACTGAGACCTGCTTTGTCGATGATTGACAGAACAAAATTCAGATTCCAAATGGCACCAACGATGAATTGTTATGCAACAAGTTTTGGTTTTAAAGAGATGATCGGACTCTTGTAATGTTCTCCTCTCCACGACATTGTGGGGTTAAAAGTATCATGTACATTTTACTATACCAATCTTTATATGATTTACAAATATCTAACACTCAACATGTAGCTGTAACTTCAATGCAACATTTCAGTCCCCAAGTCAAATGATCAAAAATAATTATGTTTTCATTCACGCCTTCCTGCTTTACAGTATAATGTAGGCTGCTATTGAAGAATATGCCAATAAACTCATTTCAGCGGGTACCACAGTCAAACGACTCTGTCAACAAACCGTAGCCCGTATTTCTTTAAAAAGAATACAGGCTGCAGTAAAGTTGCAAATTGAGGATTTTTGAACATTTCCATATTTCTGAAGGGATACAATCGATTTACTACTTGTATATATCAAATATATTCATCAAGCAGTTTGCATTTTATTATTACCAGAAAATCCCATAGACAAAGATCATGGGCTCTGCAAAGATAGAGAATACCTCTCCATTTGCATCTTCACTGCAGCTTGTATTCCTATGAAAAAATACAGGCTAGAGTATGGGGGTAGGGTAGTGTGATAGTGGATTATTGGACCGCCCAAGGGCCGAAGGCCAAATGTCTAGTTTTTCAGTGTGTTCAATGCTGAATGTTGATATTCATTTTGAAAAACCACGACGACTGGCCACTGCACTATGGCCCGCTATTTCTCAAGTCATATAGTAAAATATAAGACTTCTAAACTAGTAGTAATACCCTTAGAACAAGGTGGTTATTGTGGTTGTCTTGTTCTGCTTTTAGGGATTGCTTCACATGATGGATTTGATACATACACTTGTATTACAATCGGAAACAAAAGTTTTATATTTGTCAAAACAATAAGTATTATTTAAAAAACAAACAAAAGATTATTCACTAATCCATCAATTTCCCTGTTCAGCGGATGTTTGTCTACTTTGATTACAGTGAAGTCTAAAGATCACCCAGGACTCTGATTACAGCAGAAGTCGTCTAGGACTCTGATTATAGAAAATATCGTCTCAGCCTTTGATTACAGAGATCGTCTAGGTTTTCACCTTCAGACTCACCTTGTGGATTGAGTGTATCATGAGCTCTCGAGAAATCAATGACAATATTTGCCCTTTCAGGATCGTAGCCATTTTCCAGAGTGATGGGGGCAGGGGGTCCACATTAAACAACATTGGTCATCACTTAAGTTAAAAGAGCTCAGAATCATGAAAAACTGCACGATTTTAAATAAACTTTGGAGAAAGGCGTGCCCCCCCCCCCCTTCTCTGACTACAGGTCTGACTTTTTTCAAATGCCATGGAGGTCGATTGCAATTATATTCGAGGGTCGCCATTTGAATGAAAGAAACGCATAAATTAAATATTAAAACTTTCCCACATTTTCACGTCTTTGCCTTTCTATGTTTGAATTTTTATTTTCTTATCCTTCAGGAAAAAAACTAAATATATAAGGATATGTGACTTGCTCCTATATCCTATACCCCTAAAGGTCTCAAAAGATTAAAATTATTTTTGAAAAACCTTTCCTACAGAAATAATACCGGAGGAGGTGGAAATTACTTTGAAGCCCTAGAATTTTTTTTTTTTTTTTTTTTTTTTTATAATGTTACTAAAGTACACGCACGTTTGCGTAGATGGATTGAATACTTCACCTGGCAAAAGTTCTTAACTAACTATCAAAACAAAACAAAGCATGCAATTCTATTGGCGATCCTGCCTAAGTAAAAAAAAACAATAACAATTAACACTGGAAAAAATGTTCATGCCTTATAATCAGCCATCTCAATGCAGATAATACCTGAAAATCCGTCTAGAAAAAGTAACAATAACAAAAACAATTAACAGATTCGTGCCAATTAATTAATTATCGGACTATGGATTTTTCATAAATTATGCTTGCTTCAAGCAACTGCGTACCCCTCTCTTGTTAGTAAACATAGGTCGGAAGAAATCATCATAAGATTTTGACATTGTACCATCTAGTTGAAAGCCCATGATTGTACTTGAGGCAATTTTCATAAACTATAAAATAAAGACCGCCGTGTTAAATTATTGACGACTCATTAAACTGCGATATTATAAGTTATTGAATGATTTGAAGTGCAATACAGGATATATTTTGCTCGAGAAATTCCGTATTGGAACGAGACGAAGTCGAGTGCAAATACAGAATATCGAGACAGAATATATCCTGTATTGCACTTCAAATCATTCAATAACGTTTTTATCGTGTGATCCTCTGTATTGCTACTGAGATTGTCCCCTCCGTACCAATATTTTCTGTATTACGACGGAGATACTCAACGGGGACAATCTCAGTAGCAATACAGGTTGGTACAGCACAATAACTGACCAATCATTTTACAGATAATACGATAAATTGCCGTGTTGTTGTAACCAATTTCAAGGGGAACCCGTAAAACAGAATACAAATATATTATACAATATATTAAGAACGGAATGATAAAGTATGAAAATTCCCCTCATTCGTGATCCGGAATCGTATAGGAAAACAGATGCGATAGATAATTCTATTTGAATTAAATGAGAAAGTTTACTATACAACCTCGGAATTCAAAAATTTCCGGGCTGATTTTATTTGCCAGTCACATTAGGCTCAGAACGCATAGACTCCATTCTGATACTCAGACCATCTCTGCCATGCACAAGAATGTTCTAGAAGGACACTGAGAGAAGGCTGTGATATCTCACGATGCATAGACTCTGTCATATCATCGTATCTCATGAAATATGTGTTTGAAATCTAATTATTACAATTAAGGTTTAGGTCTTCAAAACTATTCTCGTCACATTCAAAATTGTATCTCTTATAAAAATCATTTTGTCTGCGATTCCCCTGTCATTCTGATTTCCAGTGCTGGGAGATTAAACCAGTAAAATGTTCCGATCGTCACAACATTCGATGCACCGAGAGGTTTCACTAGTTCATGTACATGCAGCAATTATTATTGGAAGGATATATGGAATGTACATGCATACTGTGCTGAATATACAGTATGCATGGAATTGTATGAATCCGTGAAATCTTTCGATGTATCGAATATTGCGACGATCGGAACATTGACTGGTTTAATCTCCCGACACCATTGTGTGATCTACAGCAAGTATCCTTTGGCATACCAAAGGGTTAGATAAAGTGAGACTCCGATAGATCAAAATGTCCCGACACGGGAAATCAGAATGACAGAACAAATATAATTTTGAATACCATGACCAGAGACTAAATCTATGAATGGGAGGTAGCGAATCGCACAATTTTGTAATTCCAATGCTGCACTTGTCTTTTATCAACGTTATACAATGATGCAAACAAAACAGATCGTAATAAATCTTATTTTAATTTTATTTCCAACAGGAAATCTCACCCCCCCTAAAAAAAACTGGTGACATTTGAAATACTTTATCAATTCATGCAATTCAAACAATCAAATCAAATCAGAATTAAAACATGCAAACAGGTATATCTGCTTAATATGGAGGAATATCCGAGGAAATGTGTGACTCTGGGTTCTCAGTCCTTAATCGTCGCTAAATACCTAAAAAGCAACTTATCTGCTTATTATAAATTATGAAATAATTTAACAATTAAACAGAAAACGCAATGCATGCCAAACATTTATCTATTGTTATATCATGCATGTATGGGTATTATTTCATAGTTTGCACTTGTATCGAGCACACCACTTGAGGCAAGATTCACAAACTATCTCCACGGGCTATACTTGAAGAACGCCACTGACAGGTCTGTGCCCTTTAGGATGGGCCGTATTGTTCTTGTATGTATCTTACCCACGGGAACCTACAAAACAGAAAAATATATAATTACATTGTGAGGATATATAAAACCCCCTAGAATAAGATACAAGCAGTGTAAACATCCATATTTGCAAAAATAACGATAAAGCACTGTCAGTAAGTGGTTGTAGTACCATATGCGTATAGCTTTTGGAAAAGATGATAAAACGCAAGATATGATTGAAATATTTGCTGAAGTCTTGGATCGATGATCTGATAGAAAATTTAGGGAAGGCGTTGAATCATAATTGGAGAGCAAAATAATAATAGTTGCAATTTATATATGTTTATCATTTCAATTATTCCGAGAAATCAAGAATAAAATGTAACTTTCTTCGGATATCTGTCGTATTTGTTTTACTGGAAAGGCTAGTTCCGGGGGGCTACATGTAGTTTAGTCATATTGACGAATTTCCAAAATGACAAATTATCATGCTGCGCGTTAAATTGGGGTATCTTTTGATTCTTTTCCATTGAGGTACGCTAATATCTAATCTAATATCGTACTTCAATAGTTTTGTTTTAACGAAATGAAAACAAGATCTTTAATGTAAACATCCCCATTTCAAATCAAATATAATATATCCTGAGATGATCATAGAATAATTCTGTGAATCCCAAGCACAACCCATTACAATGGTCTATCAGTCAATCTGCATTACAACAAACGAATAACAATCCTGGAAACATTTCAAATATATTTGTCTTTGACTTATTTGTTTGAGAGGTGCACGCAATGTCGGAATCAAAATCATCGACGGTCCAACTTCAACGTACAATCTACGTGTACAGACATAATTGCAGACTTATCTTACTAAATAAGCATTTGTCCTCATTGTGATTTGCCCGTCTGAAAGATTATTTTATAGATTATACAGAATTTATAAAAGGATTTCTACATTTTTAAGACGGCAATAGTTATTACACTACACCGATCGGAGCGCCGATCGGAACATGCCGATGTGACTCTCGGCAAAAGCAGTACTGTATACCACTCCAGCATTATTTGTACACTGTTTGGTTATGTGTAGAGATTGAAAGTACAAGTAACTTGGAGTTGTTGAATTGACGAAAAAATTACATGATAATGTAAAAAATGTAGAAGTTGTGATTGTGTACATCATGCTGATTTTGCTTACATAGGAAGAGTACCTTGACGCCTTGAATGCTCAAGAAGTTGCTAAGAAAGAGTTAGACCTCCTGAAGAACAACGAGACAAAGATGAGGTCAGATCTTGACTCTATGAAAGATGAGGTGAAGAAACTGGATGATATCTATAAGGAACAAGATGAGATGTTGGGTAAGGTTTTGAATAGTAATTTTGCAGGAGAAACATATGGAATGTTTTCTGCTTCATTATTCGTATTTTACTATATGTATTCGTAAATTGAACTTCTGCATTTGTTGAATGCACATTTATGTTCGTAACTTTAGTATTTTCATTCATTTTTTGTATTTTCTGTTCGTGAATCTAATTTGTTTCGTTAAAGCGTATATGTTCGTGTTTTATGCCGAAATACATTCAAAATTCCTTATAAGCATTTATTAGTGACACATTGTATATCCGTATACAAATAAAAGAGCATGTAAGGTATGGCAAGCCATTTTCAAAGGGCTATATCTTTAGTTCGAAGAATAAGTTAACCACAAAATCAAATGGTTCTGTTAGATCCATGTCTTATCTTCAATAAATGACATAAGGATGATAATCAAGTTGATTGAATTATCTCTTAAGCTGTCCCTAATCAACCCATCCTCACCAATTTTCCCTAATTCAGATGCAATTTTCACCAAAAGTGCAGGCCTTTTTAATTATTTTTAGTGCAAAGTTGTATTGAACTTTAAGACATGATTTAAACTGTAAAGGGGAAAAGTTAATTGTAAACCTACTTTTTGATATTTTTTTAGTGATTTTTTCGTATTTTTTTCTGATATTTTAAAGTGCTTCATACTAATATTATACAATTACAAAATAGAGGGCAGCTAAGTGCCATAAATAATTTGTTTGTTACAATGTTTCAAACACTCAGATAGTGACTTACTCAGCGTTATGGATTATAATCTTGTATTTAACCTTGTATTGTTTGTGTATAAAACAGTTGTGTCATTCACGTAGAGCTATTTATATACTGAATGGTACTTTGTAATTACATGTGCCTGGTTTTGGCTATTCAACCTAGATTCTTTGTTAGGGCAGGCTGAAATGAATAAGTGTGAAAATAAAATGAATTACAGGGTGAGGCAAAAATGTCATCCAAAGAAATGTTATTAACTGATTCATCCAGTAAGAGTTGAAATCATATTTAGTTAATTTTACCATGTAAAATCTTCTTGCATTTTACCATGTTTCAAGGGTCCATTCCTCAAGGTCACAATTCTATGGCCATTCTACAAATTTCAGCCTCGTCCCTTCAGGCAGACCTGCACTGGTCGGTTGAGGTTGTAAGTTCATGGTCACAGAAATGGTTCTCCTACTTGTTGTAGGGGTTGACATTATCTCAGAGATAGCCCGTAGTCATGAGATGAGGCTGGCATTTTGGACCATGTTTCGTTTTATAGCCATAAAATCCCAACTATTGGGGCAGGGCCAATTTAACTTAGTAAAATACATTAAACAAGGTTTTATTATGCGAAATAACATTTTAACATATGCGGAATTAGTTTGGGCTACATTTTTGGCTCACTCGGTATTAGACTGCACTTTGATTGTATTTATGATGTCATATGTTGGGTAAAAGGCGATGATTTAACCTACTTTTGATGGTAAATTCATTTTAATATGAATGAAATAGTGCCAGGTACTATTTATATTTAATGAGCCATATAATAGTAGGTTGATCTGGCAGTTGTTAGTTGAATTCGCTATTACTACTTGTAATGGGGTTTCAAAGCCCGTGGTCACCTATGTAGTTTCTTCATCCTAGGTCAAATCGACTCAAGAATGGAGTTATATTAGATGCAGCATTTATTGATTTCTGGAATCACAGCACCCCTAAGCGTTATCATAATTCCATCGATTGACCTACAGCATAGGCCTAGGGAAAAGTAGTAGGAAGGAAGGCATAAGTTTACTCTTTACTACTTTTACATAGACCTATGGCCTAAAGATAAGTTTGGGATCCCTTATTAAAACCAAAACCTCTATTTCTAATTACAGCCCCTAAAAGCAACAACCCCGAACCAAGTGGCAGTCATTGAACCCAAAGGCATTTTTATGTGCCAACCTATAATGAGACCCCCTTTAGTGAATAACAACCAAGTAGTCATCTAAGGTATAACAACATGTTCAGTTTGTAATTTTATAGAAGGTCACTGAATCTTCTAATCGTTCATTCAGTTACAGATAAACTATGAGTACTGGGTTTTATGAGAAATAATAGCAGAGGGGCTTGGCCTGAGGCTATTAGTTCTCATATGACCCATCTCCAATAGTTTATCTAACTTAAACTCCACACTGATTCTTATGAAGAGTAATTGACCCATGATCCAAGTTTCTTTTGTATTAACTATGTGGTAAATGTGTAGAGAAGTGGGTTGGTTTGATTGGTTCAGCTTCAATGCACTGCATGTATCAGGCAAGGTACATTGAAAATTGTATTTATTTTGTGTTTACAATTCAACTATTGAGTGATTGAAAATGGTTTAATAAGAACAGCTTCGGTGCACTGCATGTGACAGTCAAGGTGTAAATATTGAGCCAAACACTGTCAATCATATTTTGTGCCACACTGGTTTTAGATTAAGCTGCAGTGTCCATTCTTCAAAAACAATACAACAAGAATGCACTCCTCTTTCTTACTACTGTACATTCATATTCTTTAAGGTGAAAACGGTCTTAAATTGACCAATTTTTCAAAAATTCATATCTGACTTTACAATTGACCTTCAATGACCTTCTCAAAGTAAAGAGGGTCTAAAAGGAATTTTTCAACTTGCTTCGAATTGACCGAATTTTCAAAATCACCTACAAGTTCTCAGAAGTCAAATCTGACTTTTGAATTGACATTTGACCTCTCAAGTTCAAAAAGTTCAACAAGGCATTTTTCACCTTGCTTCATATAATCGTTTTCTTTTCAAGATTTGACTTGAACTACACGGTGATGACATTTTGTAATGGCAATGCCTTGTTCTACATGTTGTTATTTCATGATTTCTTTACGAAGTATTGGCTTCGTACCTCATACCCATGTACGTGGGTGGTGATGCAGTTTTTGAAGGGTTCAATTTTTAAAGTTTTAAAAGATTATTCAATTTTAATGCTATCTGAGGTATAAATACATTCATAGTATCCATAGATGTGAACTTCGTCTAGTGAAAGATAGATAGATACAGAGTCATAAAATAAAGCCAGAATTGTTAATTTTTTGTTTTTCATTGATTGTCAAAATAGCGCCATTCAAAGGACTTTTCAACAGAGAAAAATCCATTCTAAATAGGTATTAAATATGTCAGGGTATCATTTTATATAATCACAGCATGATTAAAGATAATTGTAGTCTCAGGAATCGTAAATTCACGTTTTAGTGTAGATTGGTTCTATAGTGAACGAGCATTTCAATTAGGCAATTTTTATCGAAATAGCAAAGGTAAACAATTTTGCAATTCTGGCCTTATTTATGACTAGATAAATGTTGGATATATAAGACATACACGTAGGTCTACAAGTGCATTAATGCACCTACAATTCATATGATCAGAATAATCTGAAACTTTAGAATTGAACTCTTCAAAGAATGTATCACGCCCCAAGTACGCCGGCACGTGGGTACAAGGTATAAGGTTTTTCATACAAAGCCCGAAGTATTGACTGAGAATATAGAGTGATCGAGTGACAATATCATAATTACACAAGGCCATAATTACACAAGGCCATATACATATTGTCAAAGGGTAAAACCCAACGCATTAAACTATTTATTCCATAAAAATTTCAATCAGCAAAAACAATCCAATACAATTTGAAATGAACAAAAAATGCAACAAATGTTTGGCCAACCCATTGGAGAAAATTATTATTTGCATGTACTCTGTATACAGTGGTACCTGTATCAATACCTACTACATATAACACTATTCGAAAGATCATTTACAGCAAACTCCTTCATAAGGCACTTTCGAAACCCCCAATATGGTTGATGATAAAGAAAGATACACATGGGAAGAGTTAATTCAAATAAGATGGTATTGAATCATGTTTGCTGAAACATCGCAAATGTGTAATATTTCAAATATTCATTTACACTATACAATTCAAATATATGAACAAGTATTTCCTCTTATGTGTTTTACTAGGTGTTAAACATATTTATGTTTTACTGTACATACTTTACACGACCCAGTCATGTTGACATATCCATGCTCATTTCTATAATACGCAATTATGCAACAATGAATACACAGAGTATCTAGCACTCACCCATGTAGAATATATCATGCCATCTATGGAACATATATAACTCTATCTATAAACATCATTGCATAAAATAGGGTACATCTAAATGTCGCTCTAAGTGACATATTTTCATACACTTCATACTAAGGTCATGGCCTATGAGGTAAAAATGACAAATGGATTATCAGATAATGCTTATCTCATTTAGATCACTTTTTTCTTTTTGGAAATCAATCATGTGACATAGCTCAATGTTTTCGTGCATTAATCTCATTAAAAAATTGCTACTTTTATATGGAATGTTTTCTGCTTCATTATTCGTATTTTACTATATCTATTCGTAAATTGAACTTCTGTACTTGTTAAATGCACATTTATGTTCGTAACTTGAGTATTTTCATTCATTGTTTGCCTTTTCTGTTCGTTAATCTATTTTGTTTCGTTAAAACGTATTTGTATGTGTTTTATACTGAAATACATTCAAAAGTCCTTAAACGCATTTGTTAGTGACACATTGTTTGTCCGTATACAAATAAAATGAGTTCATTTTGTACCTTTATCATTGTTTCTGCAAATATATTAATTTGATATCTAAGAACTGAATGTCGAATTTAGCAATGAATAGGTACTAGTCTTGGCATTTTTATATTTTTTAATTGTCGAATTTATTTTCGTAACAAGGTAATATGTTTTCGTAAAAGTGCCCATTTATTGTTCGTAAATATTGTCATTTGTATTCGTAAATTGCACTTTTATATTCGTTTTGCATTGGTTTATTAAGATCACCTGATCATTCTCAACGAGACATGGTCAACCCATGGTCAAAGTCATCGCCCCCTCCCCCTCACATGTCATGTCACGTGACCTTTGCCTCGAGACTTGCAGTTTATATTCGTTAATTCACATTTGTATTCGTAAAGTTTCATTTTATCATTAGCTAATGTACGAATATTCCTTTGCTTTCTGCAACAATTCATGGGTAATATGCAAGATTATTATTGGTAAAAATACATCTCTTCGATAAAATAACAGGCAATTTTGGGGAAATTTACGAATTGTAAGCTGGTAGTTGGCGAATAATAAATTGTTAGTTACAAATATTTCTAGTCCTTACAAACATAAAATGCACCAGCATTTAGTATATGTTTGTTTATTTGATACATCATATTTTTATTTGTAATTTGGGAATTTTATTTGTAAATGTTACATTAATATTCGTATAAGGGAATTTATTCTAAACGAATAATGAAGCAGTTATGACGCTATACTTTTAGGTAAAAAATTCGGCCTAAAAAAAGTTATTGTTTTTGGATTATCCTAATCCCAAAGTAATCAAGTTTTCCTTTTTAGAGGTAGATCATTCCTTACAATAAATTGTAATTTTGCCATAAAAGCTGAAGTAAAATGCTGCATTTTTGGTGAAAATTGCGTCCGAATTAGGGAAAATTGGCGAAGATGGTTGGATTAGGAACAGCTTAAGAGATAATCCATTCAACTTGATTATCATCCTACTGTCATTTATTGAAGACAAGACATGGATCTAACAGAACCATTTGTTTTTGTGGTTAAAGTATTCTTAGAATTAAAGATATAGCCCTTTGAAAATGGCTTGCCATATCTTACGTGCTCCTTTGAGTTCATTTTGTACATTTATCATTGATTCTGCAAATATATTTGTTTAATATCTATGAACTGAATGTCAAATTTATCAATGAATAAGTACTAGCTTTGGCATTTTATTTTTTAATTGTCGAATTTATTTTCGTAACAAGGTAAAATGTTTTCGTAAAAGTGCACATTTATTGTTCGTAAATGTTGTCATTTGTATTCGTAAATTGCACTTATATATTCGTTTTTCATTGGTTCATTGAGATCACGTGATCATTCTCAACGAGACATGGTCAACCCATGGTCAGAATCATCACCCCCTCCCCCACACATACCTAAAACTCTCGTGTCACGTGACCTATGCCTGGATACTAGCATTTTATATTTGTAAACTCACATTTGTATTCGTAAACTCACATTTATATTCGTAAATTTTCAATTTATTATTCGCTAATGTTTGAATATTTCTTTGCTTTCTGAAATAATTTATGGGTAATATGCAAGATTATTATTCGTGAAAATACATTTCTTAGATAAAATAACAGGCAACTTTTTGAAATTTACGAATTCTAATCTTCAGTTTGCGAATAATAAATTGTTAGTTTTACAAATGTTCTTAGTCGTTACAAACATAAAATGCTCCCGATTTTAGGATCTATTTGTCTATTTGATACATCATATATGAATTTGTAATTTAGGCATTTTATTTGTAAATGTCACATTGATATTCGTATAAGGGAATTTATAACAAACGAATAATGAAGCAGTTATGACGCTATAGAAACACAATGACCTGGAGTATATGGAATGTTTTCTGCTTCATTATTCGTATTTTACTATATGTATTCGTAAATTGAACTTCTGTACTTGTTAAATGCACATTTATGTTCGTAACTTGAGTATTTTCACTCATTGTTTGCCTTTTCTGTTCGTTAATCTATTTTGTTTCGTTAAAACGTATATGTATGTGTTTTATACTGAAATACATTCAAAAGTCCTTAAACGCATTTGTTAGTAACACATTGTTTATCAGTATACAAATAAAATGAGTTCATTTTGTACCTTTATCATTGTTTCTGCAAATATATTAATTTGATATCTAAGGACTGAACGTCGAATTTATCAATGAATAAGTACTAGTCTTGGCATTTTTATTTTTTAATTGTCGAATTTATTTTCGTAACAAGGTAATATGTTTTCGTAAAAGTGCACATTTATTGTTCGTAAATATTGTCATTTGTATTCGTGAATTGCACTTTTATATTCGTTTTTCATTGGTTTATTAAGATCACGTGATCATTCTCAACGAGACATGGTCAACCCATAGTCAAAGTCATCGCCCCCTCCCCTACACATGTCATGTCACGTGACCTTTGCCTCGAGACTTGCAGTTTATATTCGTTAATTCACATTTGTATTCGTAAACTCACATTTATATTCGTAAAGTTTCATTTTATCATTCGCTAATGTACGAATATTCCTTTGCTTTCTGCAACAATTCATGGGTAATATGCAAGATTATTATTGGTAAAAATACATCTCTTCGATAAAATAACAGGCAATTTTGGGGAAATTTACGAATTGTAAGCTGTAGTTGGCGAATAATAAATTGTTAGTTACAAATATTTCTAGTCCTTAGAAACATAAAATGCACCCGAATTTAGTATCTGTTTGTTTATTTGATACATCATATTTGTATTTGTAATTTGGGAATTCTATTTGTAAATGTTACATTAATATTCGTATAAGGGAATTTATTCCGAACGAATAATGAAGCAGTTATGACGCTATAGGAGTATTGGTTACTTTTCTGATTATGTATGTTCTGATGCAATTCAGATTCATGAAATCATATATTATTTATTATATAATGTCCCTGATGGATTCAGAGATTATATATATGTATAAAAATTTTCAGTCTCAAATACCTTTTTGGTACATGTTTATGGAATGTTTTCTGCTTCATTATTCGTATTTTGCAATATGTATTCGTATATTGAACTTTTGAATTTGTTAAAAGTACATTTATGTTCGTAACTTGAGTATTTTAATTCATTGTTTGTATTTTCTGTTCGTTAATCTTATTTGTTTCGTTAAAATGTATATGTAGGTGTTTTATACAGAAATACATTCAAAAGTACTCAAAAGCATTTGTAAATGACACATTGTATATCCGTATTCAAATAAATTTAAGTTCATTTTTTACCATTATCGTTTTTTCTGCAAATATATTAGTTTAATATCTACGAACTGAATGTCAATTTTATCAATGAATAAGTACTTGCCTTGGCATCTCATTTTTTAATTGTCGAATTTATTTTCGCAACAAGGTAATATGTTTCTGTAAAAGTGCACATTTACTGTTCGTAAATATTGTCATTTGTATTCGTAAATTGCACTTATATATTCGTTTTTCATTGGTTCATTAAGATCACGTGATCATTCTCAACGAGACATGGTCAAGACATGGTCAAAGTCATCACCCCCTCCCTCTCACACACCTAAAACTCTTGTGTCACGTGACCTATGCCCCGAGACTTGCAGTTTATATTCGTAAACTCACATTTGTATTAGTAAACACTCACATTTATATTCGTAAAGTTTCATTTTATTATTCGTTAATGTACGAATATTTCTTTGCTTTCTGCAATAATACATGGGTAATTTGCAAGATTATTATTTGTAAAAAGACATTTCTCCGATAAAATAACAGGCAACTTATTTGAAATTTACGAATTATAAACTGTAGTTGGCGAATAATAAATTGCTAGTTACAAATATTTCCAGTCCTTACAAACATAAAATGCACCCGATTTAGGGAATTATTTGTCTATTTGATACATCATATGTATTTGTAACTTAGGCATTTTATTTGTAAATGTTACATTAATATTCGTATATGGGAACTTATTACAAACGAATAATGAAGCAGTTATGACGCTATACATGTTAGCCTGTTAATTTGAGGATAGTTACATTACTGTATATCTGTCAGTGATTGAATACTGGAAATCCTTACCTCAATGCACATATTCTTTCAGCTTCAATATTTGATGGTAAATATGGAAGTGAAACTGAAAACAAACTGGAGATGGAATTAGATGGTGTCATGGAGCGTAAACAGCGCGTCAGTGTAGCCAGATATAAGTGGTCCAATGCTAAAGTTCTCTTACAACACTCCTGCAACCAACTAGCATTCGCATGTAGGAAATGGCAGAGTCTAAATGCTTGTAAACCCAAGTATGTGTTTTGTCTATGAACATTGTTTTTTTTGTTTTTCAAGATAATTGTTGTTTTTAATGAAAAAATGTTCTTTTGGATATTTTGAAGATCAACTGATTGTATAAGAAATTTTCAAGTAGTGAGTTGATTCTCTGTAGCTCAAATAAACCTGTTGTAGCTGAGGGCTTGTACAGTAAAAGTATGTTTCGTCCATTAGAATAGAAACTGCTACACAATTGAACTTAAAGCACATATTTTTAATCTGTTCCTAAAAATCTCTGGAATGGTTAACCATAAGTTAAGTGGAAAAGTCAGATGAAGCATTTTTGCCATTACGAAATATCTGATTCTACTCAAATGTTCTTATCTAGTGACACAAGAGGAAGATACCAAGCTGCTACAGAAACCCGAAACAACCTCATTGCTGCAAGTCAAAATATCGCAAGCGCCCAACGTTACCTCACAGGGATAACCTTCCCCTATTGTAAACCAGACGAGGTTGAGACTCTAAACAAGGCAGTGAATAACATCTACAATGACATGCAGTCTCCTGACAGGCACAACCATGCACTGCAGTGTTATACTGTCACACATAAGAGAGCTGCTGCCCTTGTTCAGTGGTTTGAAAGTGTATGTAGTATTATAGGCTTTGTATTTTGTTTGTAATTATGGATTTCCTGGAACAGGGATTGCGTCATGTAATATAAGAATCTGAAATCCCTTTAAATGGTCTGACACTACGTGCATGTCTAGTACTTTATGGCCTGATGCATAAATAACTTTTGGAAATATTTATTAGCCTATAAATAGATTGGGACTCCATTCATTGCAAGACTTAATAATTGAATTTAGCTATTATAGTCCATGTGATTTAGATGGTTTTTTTTTTCATAAATTAAGAGTGTATTTAGAATAAAGTATTGATATGAGTATGTTGACAATTTTTTTTTATTTAAAGGTAATAACTGGGACCATAGCCAAAGATCTGAATGATGCAAAAACCAAAGAAAATGAACTTGACAAGAAACTGCGAGATGAAAGGCTTCGACTGATTCAACAGAAAATTAAAGAGGTTATTGGAGAAGATGTAGATATCGATGTCACAGGTATGTCTTACCTTCACATATATTTTTATATGAAGGTTACTCATCAGTGGTTTAATATACATCTACAGGGTGTCCCGAAAGTATGGGGCCCCCCCTAGCCAGACATATTCCAGTGTCCTCATAGTATGTGTCATATATCATTTTAAAGCTTATCCAAAGTTACATTGATTTGCCAAGTATCGTGGTTTAACTCCCAAATGGGAAAAAGTTACAGTCATTTTAAAAGTTAGTGTTTTGTCAAAATAAAGTTCAATTTTACACCACACTACGAGTCAATGAGTCCCCCTTTGGTCATGTTAACAATAGCAATTATTTTCAGATATGACCTTAAAAGCCCTTCAAATAGGGGTGTGGAATTTTATAACCCTCTTAAAACCTGTTAAGGCACTTTAGAAGAGTTTCCTTAGAGTTTCTACCCTCACCGTTCTCTTTTTCCAACTCAATATCCATCCGACCCGAAAAGAATTGCTGCTGTTAAGATGGCCCGGAAGGACACATTGAGTTGTGATTTGATGTAAAATTGAACTTAATTTTGACCAAACACTAAATTTTGAAATGCCTGTAATTTTTTCCCATTTGGGAGTTAAACCACGATACTTGGTGAATCAATGTAACTTTGGGTAAGCTTTAACATGATATATGATACATACTATGAGGACACTGGTATATGTCTGCCTAGGGGGGGGGGGGCATACTTTCGGGACACCCTGTACATTTCAGTTTTAATTGCTTTATATTGATATTGTTTTTGCAATTATTGCTAGAATCTGCTATTGATATTGTTTTTGGTGTTGATATTGTTTTAAAAAGAATGAATCAGAAGAGTTTGATGTCAGAATTCAAACGTACTGTATGAGACAATACAATTTTTAAATCAATTTTATTTTTTGAATATGATTCACCATTACATAGATCTGTTACAATACACAATGCTTAGATAACTGCAGAAATTAATGTTTATACGTCTTATACATCAGAGGTTCCAAAATCAAAAAATAACTGGAAAGCATATTTTCAAAACAAGAACAAATGCATAGTACTGTCAGTAATATCATGAACAACAAGTTGTCACTGGTCACATAGTCATGGACGGTTGAGGCCCATAGCCAGCTTTGGCTATCCTCTCTCTGGACCTCTCTTTTTGTTATGTTCATCGGAATGCAAGTAACTGTGAGCTTAGGACCCTTTGATTTTCAATTTCATGGACCTTCTGGAACTTCTAGAAAGTTCATATTAATATGCTTTTAGAAAAAATGCTTTAAATGGTTTGCACTTAATTCATTTCAGTAAAAACAGGTAAGCTTTAGGTGTTTAATGGTTTCAAAAATGTTGTTCGTTATGTTGTTATCATTTTGGTGTGATAAATGATATGCCAAAGTCTTTTTTTGAAAACAGTTTAACAGTGCTTCACATTTTCACATTTATCACATTTTCACATTTATGTCTATATATTTCATTATTTATGCAAGTTGTCATTTAAATGAACTAGAAGGAATAGAGAGTTTAAGATGTTGGAAGCATATTTTCAAAATCATGCCAATGTTTTCCTTACAATCCTGATTTCATTTTCTCAAAAAAGAATTGAAATATCTGATGAAATATGGGAAGCTATATACTGTAGATGCAAAAATGTTCAAAATCATAAATCAAAGGACTATCCAGAAATAAAGTGATAACTGTTGGACTTTTTGGAAAATAGGCATGAGATGGAATGATGAGAGCAAAAGATATCGTAGAATTGTGACACTTTTTAGAAACTTACTTTCAACTCGTCTCTTTCCCTTCTAATACCTTTAATAAAGTTTATTTTGTGCATTTTTCATATTTTATATAATATGTCTGTTTTCATGATTTATGTGTGTCATGTTTGCATATGTGTCATTCAATAAAGTATTGTTCATTTGTGTCTGTTAGTTATGGTTTATGCAGCTTGTCATGATTTTAGACCATATGTGATGAAACTCATATGCACATCACCACTTGCTACTTTTAACTCACATGATTGAGGTGTTCTTATCCTTAAATGGTTTCATTCCAAAAATGTGACTAGGTATAAGGTGGAACATAATGATTTCCTTTTAAATTTTGCAGGTAGTTCTATGCTGTCTGTTTTTTATGTTTACTTTCATTTTGAGCATTAATTGTTTTGAAGTTTCTGTAAAAAATACTACAAAATCTTTCAGCAGTAGTAACTTGAGTTTATAGGTTTGCAATATTAAAAATATTTTATAAGGATTTATTGCTTTATCTCCAAATTTTCAAAATTAATTGTTTAGATACAACAAAGGAATCCATATTGCTGTTTTCGAATTTATGTCATTTGTAATACCTTACCAAGGCACATATTAACTATAATGAAACTCATATCATTTCTTAGTAGGAATAACTAAAGCTTTGATGATTGCAACCAGTGATCAATGGTCGTTACTTGTAGTCTCAAATGAATATGTGTTTGAGGATTGAGTTATAATAGAAGTAATGAATTTATTCTGTATCGCAGATGAGACTGAGTCTGATGGTGATGATGTTGATGAAGTCATGGCACAACTCTTTGAACCTGACAATGTTTCTGAGGCAGGAGATTTATCCAATGGAGGGGTGAGTTTTTTTTGTTTTCATGAATAAAGAAACATTGAATTACTTAGGTTTATAAAGCAGTAATGTTCCTGGTCACAGCTTTGAAAATTTAGACCCACAAGGCCATAATTTTTCTCTTTCTATCATATTTTTTTTCTAATTGTTAATATTTTATTCAAGAAAGCATTCAAAATTTCTCAGCAGTAATATACCATTTTAGTAGGGACTAACCAGGTGGCTCATCTTTGAGATATCTACCATCTCTTATCCAGAGAGAGAACTATTTTTTTCTTTTTTCTGTTCTTGAGTTGTTTACTGGCAATAGGTGGCTCTGTGCTATTCATAGTAGCAATGATTTGATGAGTGTTCATCTTTAGGAAATATAAATTTTGTGATATCACACATAATAAAATGATTCAATGAATTATATACCCAGTTATGGCATTTTTAGCATACTTTTGTTACATCATTAGTGACATATTAGACAAAAACATACCAAAGCTGAAACATTTTGTAAACAACCACCTGTGATGTCAGGAGGGAAATCTCCCAAAATTCAATGTTGGTATTGGGTCCACAGTTTCAGTGTGATAGAATCATATAAGGCTTATATGACCATATAAGAGTCCAACTTACTGTTGTCCACCATTTTGAATGTCATGTGATAGATCCATATAAAGCTTGTGGGACCATGTAGGGAAAGCTAAGGGGAATTCCCTAATACCAAGTAATACCGGAGAATTATGGGAGCTACTCACCTATTCTGTTTAATGTGTACCGGATTTTCTCGAATATACGCCCCCCTAAATTTAGGCCCATGGGCCAAAAATCGAATGTAGTACGCTTATACGCCCATGGGCCTATAAAAATGACTATTATTGATTTTTTCAATAAATTCAAGAGTATTTTGTCACTGGCAGATTGTTCTGTCTTTACTTTGTTTCAACATTAAGTTCAATGCTGTGCAGTAAGTGGCAGTGGTGGATCGTTCTGTTGTTACTTTGTTTCAACATTAAGTCCAAGGTTGTAGGTGACATTTCCTTTAAAATTTTTACAAAACATGCGGTAGGACTACAACAGTAGGTACGGTTCTTCTCACCTTTACGCCCACTGGGCCAAAAATTGAAAGTAGTATACTTATACGCCCATGGGCGAAAAATAAGAGGTAAAATAACAGACGAAATTACCCCTTCTTTCAGTTATACGCCCAGGGCTTATATGCGAGAAAATCCGGTAACTTAATATCATTTTATAATGTCAATAAGTTCGCAACTTAAGTCCATGACATAAGTTCATGCCTTTTACAATGGACATGTTATCTACTATTTTATTTTATTTTAATAGATGTCACTGTCTCATTTCAAAACAAATGTTGGAGGAATTTAAGTGTCTGTTTATTTGCCGGTTTATTTGTTTATTTAAACTTGAACTTTGTTCTCTAAAAGATAATGTTGGGAACATGCACATGCGCATTGAGACACTATCAATTAAAAGTTATATAGGTCAACAGAAAATTGGTGCCTTACAAAGATGGATAGTTTATATCAAAGCTACATCTGCTTCTGTATAAAACAATGGAACCTTGATAACATTTTTGAGTCAGTAATCATCTGTACTCTAAAGGTTAGAGGATGCACTACAAATAAATATATACGATAAATGGATATTATATAAGAGCACAGGAGCTAAGGAGCTCTAAGGTGGACCCTATCCAATGAGGACTCATTGTTATTATGGGATTTCACACTGTGAGTAAAGTACAACTATGATGAGTTTTTCTTTAGACATACACTGATACACTGTATCTTTGATCAGGCAAAATGGCGACCATGAGAAATGAAGTTAAAGCTTTGTACTACATATTTTCAACACCATGCAGGATTTAGTTTTTCACCCTGGGTAGATAATATTGGTTTCAGAATAATCACATTAATACTTCATAAAGAATAATCTTTATATATTTTAGAGTCAGATATTACGAATTTTATTTGTTATTGATATGTTGATAATTTTGACCATAATTTAAACATTTGAAAGGAAGACTATCTAAAGAGGTACATTATAAAAGGCCTTGAGTGATTAAGTAATTATTAACACAAAAAGTCAAGTTAATAATGAATAACTTAATTTCAAATATTAACTTATTTTGATTAATAATAAATTGAGCAAATAGTACATCAGTCAGCTGCATTATCCCCGGGAATATTCTAAGCATTAAACTTGCAGTTAATATGTATATAAAAAGATATAATTGTATAAAATTATCACAATTTATCACAATCACAATATCACAAGTATTTTGGCACTTACCATTTATACCATTTAAAATTATGGCACTGTGTGGTTATATCATTAATCCCTTAAAATTACATCCATATGTACATGTATACTGTTCATTGTTCATATTGCCCTGATTGATTCCCTTTATATACTGCACTTCATGCTCAGCAGTTGTTTTAAGTTCAAGAATGTTTCTTAATTATTGTTTTAATTCTCAATTGAATTCTGCTATATTATTCAAATGGTCCTGAATGAGTTCTCTTATATTGTTCAAATGGCCGTGATTAAAAACTGCATGGATTATATGCCCATGAGGGTGTCATCCAGTTTGATAATAAACAATATTGAGTTTTGCTACATTGTTCAAATCGTCCTGATCCATTTCAGCTGTATTGTTTAAATCGTCCCGTATAGCATTTTAATGTATTCTTTTTATGATTATAGGACGTTGATAGTATAAATCTCCTAAAAGTTACATCCATATGTACATTTATTATGTTTATTGATCATATTGCCTTGATTGATTCACTTGATATATTGTAGTATAGAAAAGGCAATAAAGCATTGTTCCACCGGTCCTTTTGATGTCTGTTAAATACTGTATGTTTCTGAGTGATTCCAATGTGTCAGTTTATAACTGAATTAAGTCAATATTTTCAATTGGGATTTGACATCTTTCACAGATTGGAAGCGGATCTATGTCTCCTTGTTCTTCATAGCAATGTGGACAGTACCATGCTATGTGTCCACACGGTGCATAGATACCAAACATTTTACGGTTATTGCAGAAACGACACATTAGCCCATACAGTATCCCAGCAACTGAATGAAACTTTGCCAAGCAGAACCGTGCTACTGCGAGTCTCATTGTAGCAATCCATCTCTGTACTTTCAGTGTCCATAACTTGATTGCATAGTATACTCTAACAAAGGCGAGCCATATTCCTTGTAGTATGTAAGAGAGAGGTACTGCAACCTCATATAGAAAACTGAACAACAGTTGTAGAAGAGTGGACAGGACAGCAAAAACTCTAGATAGGAACCCCATGGTGTAGCTTAAATAAAAATAAATTTTAAAATAGAAATAAAATTTTGGTATAATATAGAGTTAGCTAATTTTTATTATACATTTGGTTGTAATACATGGTACTAATATAAAGAAAATTGCAAAATTGACCAACCATATACCTTGTGCTATGTAATATAAAATTTATTTATTATTTCTGATAAAATATGCCTGAATTAAACATAATATTAAACACAGCAGCTAAGAAGAGAGCTTGCTAACTTGAAGAAAGTTAAACAATTAAATAAATATACAATTGAATAAAGAAAAGCTAGCTGATAGGAAGAAAGTTAAACAACAAAGTTAGAATAAATTTAAAGAAAAGCTAGCTGATGAGGCAGAAAGTTAGAATTTAAACAACAAAGTTAAATAAAAACAAAAAAAACTGTTTTACCTTGTGTAATAATGCTGTAATTAAAGGCAGAATCAGATCTATAGGGGTGAAAAAATTACAAGCAATGTGTACAATTGACCTACCAATCTATTTCTTACAATCTCAAATACAATATCTCCCAAAAGATTCACGCTATGTTATAAATTGGTGAAGTTATAATGGATTCAAAGTGCAAAAATGAATGAAAAATGTTTAAATTCTCCCAAATAATAAGAATGGTAACCATTCTTATAGAAAAATAATACGTTATTGTAAATATCTTTAGTTTTCCTGAAATAAAGTATGCACTTTGGTGATTTTTAGAAAATAGACATGAAAAGGAATGACATGAGCCAGAAATATTCTAAAATTGAAACAATTTTCCTATAATAATGTTTGTTACATCCATTGAATTTGAGCATCATGATCATCCTGGTTATGCATTGGCTATCCTGGATGATGTCATAATGTTCGTTAATCATTTATCGTATGCATTTATCATACTTCAGAAGGTTGATATTTATAGCAATACACATAGGAACTCATGTACATATGCGTAAACATATTAGCATTAAGTTAATCATTTACCTAGCACTATCTTCATAATAAAGATAGAATTTTGTGTAAAAGATCTGTATTTGTTTTAACAAATATGACTGAAGAACCTAAAATTATTCAATCTAGACTAGCTATAAGTTTAGAATTGTTGCATTTGAATTTGTTTTTATTTGTATGCTTGAAATGTGATAGGTTCACAAATAGACTTGTCTTCTTTAAATTATAAATATATGAATATACTTGTATTGCTACAAAGTTCCTAATTTCTCTGGAAACTGATCTAATGTTTACATGTAGGGGCCTACATCAGTTGAAATTAACCCTTATCTTGTCTTGCCATATTAAAATGCACAGATGTCATCTTATTCCTTTCACTATGTCTTGGAACTTCATGTCATCCTAGAAAGGGCTCCCAAGGAGTATGTGACAAGGGGACCTGGCCTCTAAAAATGTGACTAATTGCAACTAGAGGTGTCACAGTCCAAAAGAAATTTGGTACGGTACAGAACAGTACAAATGGTCTCGGGACACGGTACTTTCGGGACGGGACAGAACATTAAAAAAATGATGCAATGTTTGATGAAGGCAGTTTCACTTTTCAGAATCATATTTCAGAAATAAAAAAAACGTTGATTAAAATCTAATATAATGCATCTGCTGGGAATGTGATCGGAATTTCACATAGCACGATGTACTATCACCAATTTGTTTACCTTGTGATATCGGAGTTCCAAAATACTTCCA